TCTTTATACCAGACTCTAGAAGTATTTGTGTGAATTTTTGTTGTTTTTCTGCAGAAAACGTTTCAGACTTTTCTATAATATTTTTGATTCGTTGTACCACTTCCTTCTTTCTTCTTTCCTTCTCTTCTACCATGTTTTGATCGGTATCATTAAGAGAGAGAAATGTAAGAGCGTCTTTTAGAATATCTGAAGCAATAATCCTTTCGATTTCATTCAAAAAAGAGTTAACAGCTGCTTTCACTTGATTAAGGTCTTGTTTTTGAAGAGCTATTGACAGCTCCTTCCGTTTTTCCAAGGCTCCAGAAAATGATGAAAGACAGGTATGGGTTTGTTTGAGTAATCTAACCATATTAGTAGGAACCTGACTGTAAAATATTTCTAAATCTTGCTGATTACCTTTTTCCAGGGATTTTACAAAAGAATTTATCATTTCTATGATCCTTTTTGTTTCATCCACCAATCTTTGAGTTTTGTTTACCTTGTGGGATGTTTCTTTTCCAAACTGGGTCGAGAATATTGTTAGGTTCTTGGAGTAGTTATTATCAAAACTTTCTACTTTTAATCTTAATTTCTCATCTCCAAAATTCACAACTTCCAGGATATGACCATCAATGTTATTGTACAATTCATTAAGAAAGGTAGTTGCTTCCTTCTCAATATTGTCCATACTTTGAATGAAGTTTAGTTTTTCCTGAAATAATTTTGTTGCATTTTCTACAGCATTTCTCAATGACTGATCTTTAAAATCAAATATATTTTGCTTTAAACCTGCCCTATAGACAGTTAAAAGATGGTGGATCTCTTCTAATTTTTCGTTTTTGATAGAAACTTCAAGGCTTTGCAAAAACTCATCTCTCTTTCTTCCTTTCCATCTCCTTAACAGAAATGAGTTAATGATCAATATAACTTTACCTACATTTTATCATTTCCTGTAGAAAATTCAATAGAATTTAAAAAAGAATCCAAGTTTTTTTGCAAATTAACAATACTACCACTAACTTTCTCTTGAAATCTTGAATATTGAGCTTGCATAGATTTCATTTCGTCCTCTATGGAGTCAATTTTAGTCCTTATTACTTCTATTCCTTGTGAAAAATCATCTTGATCCAATAAAACAAAATTTTCCTTCACATTCTTATCACCAGTGCTTTTTTCTCTTGGGTTTGAAGGTGATTTAAGATGGTCATCTCTTTCCGAAGGACTTTCAAATCTTGGTTGGTATCTAATCAAGCTTGGGCTTTTCGTTGGACTTTCCAAACGTAAAGTGTTGTTACTACTATTATACAAAGATGTGTTTTCAAGAGAAGTTTCCTTCCTCACTGGTGATTTTAAAGTTGGCGAAGCATATCTTTTGAATATTTCACTGGGAGTAGAAAAAGTTGCTCCAAATGTCTTTGAGTGCGATGATGGTGTTCTCCTCTCACTCATTGTTGTGACAAATATTTTTGATGATAAGAATGTGGGCAGTGCTTAGAACCCTCCAACTAACTTGTAGTCAAAAATGCGCCAAAACAACATTTAAAAAAATGCAATGATGCCTCAAGTCGATAGAAACCCACAAACTACTCAACCCCTACGAAGGTTGGTTTTTATTCCTGAATCTATGAAAGAAATGTTTGGAAAACGGAAGATATCAATTTCATCTAATAGACATGAATTAAATGAACAAAAAAAACCAAACTTCAATTCCGATATAATAGTACCTCAAAGAGACCCAATAACTACAGGCCCTTTGAAATCTCTCCATATCACATACAATTCAAAAATACTTTCTAGAGATTATAAGGAAGGCGAAACGGTCCATATCCAAGATTGTCACAAAAACAAAGATTTACAAAAAGAAAAAAAGCTTTCACATACTACAACCAAACAACAAACAGAAGCTCTTCAAAATAGTATCAAAGAAATAGAACCCACACGAAATAGAAACCAAACTTCATCTAGAAGGGAGAACAGTTTGTACACAGCAGAAAAAATGAAAGATTTGGAACAATCAACATTATTTTGGCTAAGAAGTTTGGGAATGTTACCCATTCATAAACCTATTCCAGTAACGTTAGAAGAAATTGAAGAAGAAATCAGAAATGGCACATTGTTATGCAATTTAGTAGAATTTATTATTGGAGAACCAATTTTAGGAGTAAATAGAAATCCTAAAATTGAAACATCATCAAAATCCAATATTTCAAAGGCATTCGATCCCCTAAGAAATAAGAAGTGGATGCACCAGAAAAACCTAATAGAAGAGGATATTTTAATTGGAAACAAAAACACTATTCTAGCTCTATTTGAAGATATTCGAAGATACTACGATGGAATTCCTCAGAGAACTTCAAAAACCAAGTCTCCTTATCTTGGGAATTACTCCCCCATTGGTCTAGGTGTACCTCATTACACTTTCCAGAATATTCCACCAGTTCCTAATGATTTACCCATTCAACAGAGCACAAAACAATCCCTTATCCAACAAATGATGAGTTCAAACTTTTATGATTGTGAAAAAATCCCATTTACAACAGCTTCTCCGACAGAGCTTAAACCAACTACACCAACTCCTACAAGGGGCTCAGCAATAGAACAAAGAGTATGTCCAGAACCATTCTTCCCATCGTCACAACTAAAATCTGTATTCCTTCCCTCGCCCTCAGACATTATTCAAACTTTGGAGCTAATGAATAAGGACTCGAAGACCAAACAGACTAATACCCCAATTCAACAAGACTTTGAAGACTGTGATCTAGTGAGAAACGAATTCAAAGAAAACCAATTTATAGAAGAATCAAAAAAAAAGAAACATATTCTTTCGTGGATTGAAAAAGGGCTAGGTATCAAAGTAGATATGGACACATTCTTTTTTGAATTAATGAATGGAACTAAACTTGCCGAAATAGTTGCTAGGTGTGAGATGTCTCACGAACTGAGGGGAGTTGAAAAAAATCCAAAAAAACCAGCTCACAAAATTAACAATGTAAATAGAGCTCTTTCAGTACTAAGGGAGCACAAAGATATGACAAATTGTAAATTTATTTGGTCAACTAATGATATTGTAAATGGTAACGTATCTGTAATATTGGGACTTTTATCTGATTTATTTTCATGTTATTGCAGGAGTAAATCTAGATACTTTGAAGAATAATAAACCATCTAGGACTTCAATTTAAATGCTCAACAAAAAAAATTATTTACTTCAACAAAAATTTTAAAACAAAATGTCTCACAAGAGAAAGCGATTACAGCTAAATGATGATGACCTTATAGAAGGAAGAGCACTCTATAGTAGTAGTGATGAGGATTCCGATAATGAAGATTTTAATGACATTCCTCAACAGTATGACAGCGATAATGAGAGGGAATATAAAAAGAATGTACACAGACTTGCTGCTGATGAAGACGAAGAATCAACAAACGAGCAAGCAATTCCAAGTAGTACCAAGAAATTCTCTTTTGATGTTAGAGGTTCCGATCTTGGAAAACGTCTTACAAGAAAGATTAACCAAAATCCAAAAATTAACAAGGCTATTAAATCTAAATCAATTTTTAATGATGAAGAGGAACAAGAAGTTAGTGATGAAGAAGAGGAAGAGCAAGGAGAAAATAACATCCTTTTAAGAGCAATGAGAAATGATTCCGATGAAGAAGAAAATGGACAAGTTTCAGCATTCGACGTACCTCCTTCTGCGTATGGCAACTTGGATGAAGAGGATGAAGAACTTGATGAAGAGGATGGAGAGCTTGAAAGAGGTAACGAAGATGATGACGTAGATGAAATGAATGATGATGAAGAAATACCAGATGATGATGACGTAGATGAAATGAATGGTGATGAAGAAGATGGAGAAATTTCAGAAAATAATGATGAAGAAGAAGAGCTTGGTAGACATGATATTATTAAAACACTTGGCAAAGCTAGTAACTCAATAGACAAAAAGGAAAACAATATTATAGATGAAAAAGATGAGGACAATTACGACACATCATTCTTCTCTGAGGCACCTGCTGATATTGAAGTTTCCAAATCATTTAATGATATGAATTTGTCACGCCCACTCTTAAAAGCCATCTATGAAAAGGGATATGAACATCCAACACCAATCCAGTCCAGATGTATTCCTCTTTTGTTAAAAGGTAGAGATATTTGTGCTAGTGCAATGACAGGTTCTGGTAAAACAGCAGCTTTCATCTTGCCAACATTGGAAAGATTATTGTACAGAGATAGATCAAGAAAGGAAACTCTTGTAGTTGCATTGCTTCCTACAAGAGAATTGGCAGCTCAGTGTTACGAAGATTGCAGCCATTTTTTACAATATACAGATATTAGATGTTGCTTAATTACGGGAGGAAACCTTAAAATCCAAAAACAAATTCAAGTTTTGCAATCAAAGCCAGAAATTATTATTGCAACACCGGGAAGAGTTGTGGATCACTTACTCAACTCTCCAAACTTCCGTCTTGATGAAGTTGAAGTACTAATCTTGGATGAAGCTGACAGATTACTGGAATTAGGTTTTGAACCTCAAATCAAAACAATCTTGGATCACATTCCAACAGCAAGACAAACAATGTTATTCTCAGCAACAATGACAGATGACATTGAACAATTAGTGAAACTCTCATTAAAGAATCCAATCAGAGTTTCTTGCGATTCAAGAACAGGTGTTGCAAGTGGATTGACTCAAGAGTTTATCAAACTTGCTGATGATGAAAATATTATCATGAAGCAAGCTATATTACTTTCCTTGTGTACAAGATCTTTCCCAAGTGAAGTAATAATATTTTGTAACACAAAATCTATGGTAAGAAAACTGAAAATGTTATTATTTTTGAAAGGACTAAAAGTGTCTGAACTTAGCTCATCTCTTACACAAGCTGTTAGATTGAAGGAATTATATAAATTTGCCAGCCATGAAACAGACTTTTTAGTGTGTACAGATGTTGCCTCTAGAGGTTTGGATATTAAAGGCGTAAAGACAGTTATCAATTTTGATATGCCTCTAAATTTGAAAACCTATATTCACAGAGTAGGTCGTACAGCTCGTGCTGGTGCATCAGGTGTTGCTGTTTCAATGAGTAGTGAAAGTAGCATTGCTATCTTGAGAAAAATTGTTCGCCACTCAAAGAAAAAGGGACAATCAGTACAACAAAGAGTAATACCGACAGAATCTATAGAATTTTGGACAGATAAAATTGAAGAAATGAAACCACAACTCAAAGAATTAGAACAGCAATTAAGAATGGAAGAAGAAATGCAACAGGCTGAAATGTTAGCTGCCAAGAATGAAAATATCGAAGAGTTTAGAGAGGATATTATGAGTAGACCTAGAAAGGAATGGATCATGTCTAAGGCTCAGAGAGAAGAATTGAATGAAAAGGCAAAAGCCCAAATGGTTGAACAAGATGAACCAACAAAGAAGAAACGTAAATTAGATCCTGAGGAATATGAAAACGAAGAAGAAATGTTAGCTAAACAACCTGCTGTTGAATATATGGATTATCTGGAAAAGAAACCTGTTGATAAAAAGAAGAAAAAGAAGGAATCTTTTAAGAGGGAAATGAAGGAAATGGGCATCAAGAACTGGGATTCATATGTAAGAAAATCTGGAAAGCAAGCAAAACTCATCCACAAACTTAAGCGTAATCATATTGAGTCTGATTTGATCCATAAGGATAAAAAGGAAAAAATCATGCAACAAAAAGAAAAGAGAAAGGCAAAACTTGCCTTTAAGGAAAAGAAAAAAGCAAAGGTTGAACGAATCAAGCAACAAAGAGGAGCCCAAGACAAAAAATCAGAGAAAAGAGCTGCTGATGCTTTCAAAAAGACTAAGAAACAATCTCACTCAGGTTTCAAGAGCTCTAAGAAATATAAGAGAAGATAATACCCATTTTTTAAAGTAAAAATTTTAGTTACTAAGGGGTCTTATCAAATTGAGCAATGTTTTCACAGAATTAATTGTGAGTATGTTACAATCCTGTACTCGTGTTAGAAGACTGTTATCTTGAAACCTCTCTTGCATGGCTAGAATTAAATTGTAGTGAGTTTGGTATTTTTCAACTGTTGCCAAGTTTACACTCTCACTTTCATTTACTTGCATTGGTTGAGTATTCGAGATGTAACCACATTTTTCTTTTTGATATTTCAAAAAATCCCATGCATTCTCTTGATTAAAGTTTTTGCTCTTTACATATTCATCAACTATTGATAAAGTAGCCACCTCAACGTCACTAATAATCTTTGGTCTAGATTCTGTCAAAGTATTCTGAATTCTAAATAAACCAAAGTCTCTCTTTACAGATGGATGGAAATTCCATTTTGTACCAGAAATTGCAACCATCAAACAAACATGGGCCATCCCCTCATAAGCATGTTTTTCCATGTTTTGACTTTTTTCTGACTCTTTTTCTTCTTCGAACTTGAAAATTAAATTAATTCCAATTTTTGAAAGATTTGATAATAATTTTGAAGGATTAACCCATGTTTTTGTTATTTCTGCCAAAGAATCACTAAATGGAGAAAGGAGCTTACATTTATCCTTATTGATAAGGATAGTAATTTCCTCTATTGACTTAAACCCACTGTCTTGGTAATAATGTCTTGGACTAATTTTCAAAACAACAGCATCTCTCCCAAGAGAAGGAATAGGGAACAGTGTCCAATTTTCGAATGGCTTATCAAGATGTTTGTTCTTAATTGTTGTTAGAAATACATAATTTTTAAAACTTACATATACAACAGCTAGAGGACAGGTCAAATGGCTTGTTAAAAACCCTATTGTCTTTGACTCCAAGTCATAAAAAGTGTTTGCAATACCATCTGTTGACCAAATCTTTTCCTTTTCGTTCCACCATGCAATTGTTGGTTTATCTGACCTGAGCATGATGTTAGGAAGTGGAATAACAACCTTGGCTGGTGGTCCCTCCACTTCTTGGTTTTCATTGTTGGTAATGGAATAAGCCTTTCGTTTGACATGGGTAGATAACTCTGTTATTTGTCTTATTTTCCATTCTTCGCAAGTGTTCACAATTGGTGGGATATGCACTATATCGATGGAAAAAACTCCTCCAATTACAATAAAGTTTTGAGGATGTGAAGAAGTAGAAGAATAAATGTCTTCCTTCAAGTACATTGCTCTAATTGCTATTTCTTGATATCCCATTCCTTTAATAGCCAATTCTACAATAACATTTAATTCGGGATATTCCACAAAACGAGTACTATTGGTAAAATGAATGTTATTGAGATATTAAAAAAATTACGTACAGATTTTTGGAAATATTGGTCCAAATGCCATACTTGATAAAAGGATGTACCTTTTGGTATTGGTCATTCTCAGAGGAAAGATACTTATCAAAATATTGCATAATATGAGCAGTAGCGTCATCCATTGTTTGAACTATACAATTTGAAAGATAGTTCAAGTATTTTGTACAATGGGTTTCAAGATCTTTCTTGCTTTGTGCAATTGATTCGACTAATAAATATTCTATTTCATTCATAACTTTACACCCTTCAACTACCATTGCAAAATCCTCGTTAATATTTCGTATTTCTTTTTTCAAAGCAAGCTCATTTAGATCACGCCATGAAGAAATAAAATTATTCATATCAACATCGTCATCAAGCTTTGGAAGATTTTCACAATTCACAAATTTGTTCCATTCGTCCTCTTCTTTAGCAACTATCATGAGAGTATGAAGCTTCTCTTTAAAGGAAGGGATAACTTCACTATCAAAAGATCCCTTTTCCTCATCCAATCTTTTTTTTTCCTCCTCTGCCTTCTTCCTTCTTTCCTCATTAATTTTTCTCTCCTCTTCTTCCTTTCTTTTTCTTTCTTCTTCTTCCTCTTTCCTTATCCTTTCTTCCTCTTCTTTTCTTTGTTTTTCCTCTTCCTCCTTTTTCTTTTGTTCAAGTACTTTTTTTTGTTTAGCTGTTAGCTTTTCGCCTTTTTCTCCTTTTTCAGCCTTAGTTGATTTAGAGGATGATGGCTTGGACGGAGCCGATTGGTTTTTGGTTGGAGAGGCAGTTGTACTACTTTGTGTTTTTGCGCTTGTTGGTGGTTTAGGCGTGTTTCCTGGCATTTTTTTGATTTAACTTTTTGCCGCCCAAAACTACAGCCCCTCCACTAAATTTTTGTAATTGTGTATTTATAATTCATTTGACATGTTTTGCATTGCTGTCTGACACCATCAACTAATTACATTAAATTTATTTTTGAGGTTTTCGATTGTCTTTTGTTTTTAGACCGGCCCTCTTTTTTGCTTGCTCGTTGAAAATATCCTCATACACAGGGATAGTATCCAAGGAATAGGATTCTGCTCTTACACTGATTTTGTTCGAGTAACTATTTCTATAAGATGAAACATCTTCGTCCTTTTCAACCTCAAACCCTTCATAAACATCGTTAAGGAATTCTTCCAACTCCTCGTTTGGTTCATCAAGAGTGTGTAATTTACGTTGCTGAACTTGGGCCAAAATATCCATTTCCACATCATTACTCTCGGTTCTGGCAAGAAACATTGGTTCTTGTTGCTTCTTTTTCTTCAATCCTTTTACGATATTGCCACAATAAACTTCCTTGGCTTTGTATGTTAAGTGACTGCTAGTGTCTTCTTCTTCCAATTGTTGATTTGATGAGAAAGGATGAGACGGCTTTCCCCTGTCACTTGATGCTGTCATTGGTCTGCCCCCTACTGAGCTTGTTGTTGTTGGTCTTATCATAGATGAAGTTGTTGGTCTCATTTGAGATGTGGATGGTCTGAGACCAATTCTACTCTTTGACATGCTCCTAAATATGGAGGAAGAAGATGTGGAAGGTCTCCTAAAGAAGGAAGCAGATTGTGGTCTGCCTCCATCTAATCTTGGAGTTGATGTTGTTATATTTCGTATCATGTTATTATCTGCAGGGTTATAAAGACGATTGCTAATTGTCAGAATTAAGGGGTTATCATTAAGGGTTTCATCCAAGGACTCCATTCTTGTAAATTTGATAGATTTTTTCAGCATTTCAAATTCATTTTCTAATTCCTCTAAAGAAGGGGTTTGCCCATCTTTTTTAATAGGACTAATACCTCTGTCGTCCATTTCATCCTCAATCAATGGTGAATCATCTAAATACTCCAATGTTTGGAGAGTACTCTTAACCATAGACCTATATCCAATCATTTTAACAACCAGTGGGTTACCTGATAAAGTTAAACTTGTTAGATGCTTGCAATCAGAAAGATAAATTAACTGTAACTCATCTTCAATATTATTTCCTTCCAAATCCAATACTTCCAATTCTTCCATTCCCGATAGATCGGAAATGTCTTCAATGTCATTATAAGAAAGATATAATTCCTTCAATCGAGAGAATGTTGATATTCCATCCAATTCCCCAATGCCACATCTCGATAACCATAAAATTCTTACAAACTTTAAACTTGTTCCAAGATCTCTTATGGAGGGAATTGTGCTTCCATTTAGTTTTAACTCTTCTAAATTGGGCAATTTGGAGCCAACATCACCAAGTGAATTTTTGGTTGTATTTACAATAATTTCGAGATGTTTTACATTGTTAAGGTTATCCTCGCCAGTTGCTGCCTTGAGCTTTGACTCTGATAAGTACTCCTCCAGAGCTAGAAGATTAGGGTCAATTTCTTCAGAAGGTAACTCATTCAAATCAAAGGAAACAATAGATTTGACAAGACCAAGAGGAAGACTTGTACTAGGTATTGGTTTTAAATCATCGACTTCTGAGGTTCCTCTATACTCCACCCTCGCCTCTGTTTGTTTCCTTATGAACTCATCATCTTCATCGTCACCGTCGTTACTTAAAAGTGATGACACACTTTCTTCGGAAGGAGTTTCTATACTTTCATTGTCATCATACTTTTCATTGTCCTCTTTCTTTTTGATTTTTTTGCTATTCTTTGGGTTGCCCAAAACACTAACCATCTTTTTGTTTTCGATTGAGCCAGAACGTTTTGGCAAAATTGGATTTAGAGGCTCCACAACTTTTTGTCTGACTGGTTTGCTTTGTAAGTCATCCTGAAGAGTTGTTCCCATATGTTTTAAAAGTCTATTTCTCGTAAAAGATGAAGCTGATTTTGTTTGTTCCACAGAAAAATCAGAATGAATAACTTTACTGCCTCCTTCAAACTCCTTCCGATAGGAAGACTCTAAAGATTTGTTCAACATCCAATTTAATTTGATTTTTAAAAATGCTGAAGATTAAGATGTGTTGATGTTGTACTGGGTTAGGAGATTGCTGATGTGAGTTGTATGGTCAATTTTTTTTGTTTTTAAAAAAAAGTACAAGAAAAGGCGGGAAGAAATACTATGAACCTGATTTGTACAATCTAAAAAATATTTAATATTTAAAATTAAAATTATTATTTTTAATTAACGTTACAATTTAATTAACAAATCCTACGCTCCTATTTAAACAAAATTATTCATCCTTATCGGAGGTTGGAGTCATTGTTTTTTGTTGTTCTTGGACTTGTTGTTGGAGCTTCTTCTTGACATCAGTTGGAAGACCCTTCTTCTTCTTGGAAGACTTCTTAGCAGAACCACCCTTAGCAAGGTTAGCAACTTCCATCAATTCCTTTCCTTCATTCAAATACCAGAAATAAGCATATTGAGCAGTGAAAATCAACAACCACAACATGTATGGAGTATTGATATAACCTGCAAATTTCAAAATACTATTGAATTGACTTGTAGTGAACATGGAAACACCAATCAAGGTGATAAGGTTCAACAAGGCCAAACTCAAATCTTGAACCCACCATAAAGAAACTGAAAAGAGAACATTAACAACCAAGTGCAAAGCATAAACAGTCAAAGCTCTGTTCCAAGTTTGTCCACCGTGAACATATGACAACCAAGAACCAATAGCCAATGGAATATACAAAGCAATCCAAATATTGAAAATAAGAGATTCTGAGAAATAGTATTTTCCTTTTTCCAAATCCTTATACCACTTTGACTTGATGCCCTTGTTTCTGGCAAACCAAAAGATTCCAGCAGCGACGGCAACAGCAGCTAAACTCAAAACAAGTGCAAAGAAGTTTTCAGAAATAGCTTCAGGAGTAATATACCATTGATCTGGTTGGAAGAGGTATTCCCATGATACATCAGGTTGTTGGGTGAGCAAATCTTCTGGGATTGTTGGATCGAAACTGGAAAAGTCTTCAGCCTCCATTTTATATGATAAATATGATGATGATTTTTTTTTAAAATTTTAAATAAAATTGTTGGGGTTGTGTGCAAGAAGAGAGCGTGTTGAGATGATGACTCACGCAGGAAAGAGCAAGCCAGCACAGGTTTACAAATTCGCATTTTTGACAACGCATTAAAACAAGTGGCCAGTTAACCAAAGATTAACAAACATTTAAAAGAATATCAGATTTATTTTGTACCTCTGTAGAACGTGTTTAACTCATCTTGAATCCTTTCTCTGTCCATATCCATTTGTTGAAGTAATACCTGAAGTCTCTGTATTTCATGTTTCAAATTTTTTTCTCTTTGTCTCAGTCTTGTTTGGGTTTCACTTTCTGTTAACAGTTGTTGTTCTTTCTCCTCTATCTTCCTTCTCATTTGTTTGAATTCTTGTTCCATATCAAATATTTTCTTCTCTAAGTCAGGGCTTCTCTTTTGTTGTTCCATTGTTAGAGATTTTGAAAGTTGATTATTCTTTGAAAGAGTATCATTTAGTTGAAGTTTTAAATGTTCATTTTCTGCTTGGAGTATTCCTGTTTGCCTTCTCATGTTGGAATTCATATCTTGTAAATCAATAACTACATGTTGTGCAGTGGAAAGGTTTTTCAACATCTTCTCCTTCTCCTTATCAAATTCAACAAGAGCAATGGATTTTGAGTGAAGTTGGTCTGATAATTGGTCAATTTGTTGTTGGGATGATTTCAGTTTCATTATGAGGTGCTGATTTTCGTCATCTAAGTTTTTGGCTCTTGATGAAAGGTGTGCCAGCTCATTTGTTTTAAGTTCTAACCTTGTTCTTGAATCTCCTAATTCTCTACTTAGCTCTTCAAATTTGTCTTTCAATGCGAGGTGATCCCTATTCAGAGATTTGTAATTGAACATTATGTCTTCAAACTCTCTATCCTTAATTTTTAATCTGTGCTCCATATCAATACAAACAGAAAACTTTTCCTCGAGTTTTTGTTTCATCTTGTCCATTTCTTCCACAGTTTTGTTTAGTTGTGTATGTAAAAATTGATTTTCTCCAGTTATTTGCTTTAAATCTTCTCCTGCATGCTCAATTTCCTTCGATTTGAATTCAAAGTCGTTCTTGAGTTTTGTGTACTCTTTTTGTATTATTTCCAGTTGCTCCTTTTGATTGGTAAGTAATCGGTCCTTTTCTTTTAGTTGCTGTAATTGTTGTTGAATTCCAAGTTCGATTTGATTCGATTTAGTTTTGATTTCCAAAAGTTCCTTGCCCAGCTCTGAATTCTTTTTTTCCAAAAAGGAAAGCCTTTCATCTTTTTCGTCTAATTCTGTACTCATAGCATCCTTGTTAGAGTCAATCTCCTTAATAATATTTCTTAGATTGTTTAAATGATTATCTTGGTCAAGTATTGTTTTTTCAAGATTTGAAATCTTCACTTTGAACTCTTGTTCATTTACCAATTTTTCATGACTTCTATTATTCAACTTTTCAATTTCTTGTTGTAAAACTTCTATTCTTGAACTTAAATGTTTGGATAAAGTTGTTAATTTGGAAACATCTCCTTCTTTTTGATATAAAATCTGTTGAGATTGATTAAGTTTATCCTTAAGGGATTGAACTATTTCTTCATGTTGGCGGTTATGTTTGTTGAGATCAATAAATGATCTCTTAGTTTCACCCAAGTCGCGCATCAATTCATTCCTTTCTTTGGTAATAATAGTTAATTGTTGTTTCATATCCTTGTTTTCCTTTTGTAATTGTTCAAATCTCTCATGCTCTGCAGAAATATCACGAGCGGTATCTAATTGTTGCTGTAAAAATTCGATTTGTTCTGTAAGGTTTTGTATTGTATTAACACTATTAGAATATTCCCTTTCAGATTTGATTACATCAACGGTTTTACCTCCTCTTTCGTTAACTAATTTTGTTAATCTGTCTATTTCTCTTAAAAGTCTGTCATTTTCTTGTGTTAAAACATCTATTTTGGATTCTTTTAAATGGGATACAGTTTTTTTCAGTGTTTCGTTTTCATTTCTTAATTGATCATTTTGTATTTCTGTCATTTTCATTACATCCAACATTTGAGTTTTAAGACTGGATTGAAAAGGTTGGATTTCCAATTGTTTAAGGTATTCGGAAAAAGAAGATTCAATCCTTTCTCTTCGATAGGCAGAGTCGGTTTCCTTGTTTGATGTTCCTGAATGGGAGAACCAAACATTTGTTTTTGACATATAATTTTCAAGTCTCTCTTTTACCTCCTCAACAGAATGTTCCATCTCCTGATTTCTTAATTCTAATTGTTGATTTGTATATAATAAAGATTGATTTTGTTGAGAAAGCAACCGTATTTGATCAACATATTGAAGTGATTGTTGTTTGAAAGTATCCTCTCTTTTAATCATCATTTGATGAAGCTCATTGTTTTCTCGGGTGAGCCTCTTCTTATCCTCCATTAGAAGTTTGTATTCATCCATTTTTTTGTTGTTGGTGGCGCCATTTGTAATTGTGATTTTGTACAAAACATTTAATAATTGGGCGGCAAAAGTTTTACAAATGATTTTTAGATTGTTTATTGAGAAGCAGAATTAGGTGAAGAGCTAATTTGTCAATTAATTCATTCATTACTGACAGTATGGGAGTTTCAAGGAAAAATTACAGAGTTGTTGTAGGGTAAGTTATTCAAGCTTATCCAAAAGTTGTAAACGGCTCAAAATAACTGGCTTGGCAGTTTCTTGTATTTCTCCTGCCATGTACATTTCATCAAGGATCATATATACCTGTTGTAATAATTGAAGAATTATATTTTGATGATCATCTGTTTAGTTAAATAAAAAAGCTTACCTTGTGGAAGTTAAAAACTAAATCCAATTCGCAAACATTTCCAAAGAATTGATCCAAAACTTCTACAAAAAGATGAACAGATTCAAGACAAGCAAGATCATTATCATTAACATCAACTCCCATACTAAAGTATAATCCGGCATATCTACGATAAACAACTTTGTATTTACGGAATTCAACCATGTTGGTAAATTTTTGGTCTCTTGATGTGATTAAACGATGTACTTCGATTTTTATCTTTTCCTTTTCATCATCCTCGAAGGCTTCATACCATTTGGAGAGACGAGTTTTACCAGCACGGTTTTGAAGAAGAATAAAGTGGATCATCTTTCTCGTATTTTTTGTGATTGATTTTTTAAAAAAAATAAAATTAATTTTTAATTATTATTTTTGACAAACAACGACAAATAGCCAGATTTATTATTATTAGAGTTCGTCTTTCTTTTCAGTTTCTTCTTGATTCACTTCTTCTGGTTGAGTTTCACTTTGAGGAGGTATGACAGTTTCATTCTTTTCTATTGTTGTTTCTGGTTTTGGTACAGGTTTTTTGGCCAAAATTAATGTACGTTCAGAAACCTTACCACATTCTTTTTTAATTTCAGCTGCTAAAACTGTTGGAGCTTCAAAAAGGGGGAGCTTGTCTTGTTTGGAAATAGTATCACTTAAATACTTTTCTTTTTCTGTTATCAAATCTAAAAGTTCTTGTCTCTCTTCGTCAGTAATATGCTTTTGGTTATCTTTCATGTACTTAACAGCTTGATTGGTTACATTAAAAATATTTTTACAAAAACCAACAACTTCCTTTCTGGCTCTATGCTCCCTGTGTCTATCGTGGATTGGATTTGTAAAATCAGTAATAGTTCTGAGTTTTGTATTGTAAGTATCAACAACAGATTGATCCACAGTTCCTTCATCATAATTATCACTCAACCATACCTCCAATTCATCTAAAGCTTTGTTGATATTATTCTGTTCTGTAACTGTAAAATATGGTTTAAATTCAGGATTGTCAAGAATCTTGTCTCTTGTACCATATAATGTTGCTTCTAATGTATTTCTGGCTGCAGAGATTTTTCTTTTTAAGGATTCATATTTTTCAACATTGTTAATCTTTTCTCTGGATGCTTTTAATTGTTCTGGAGTTAATTGTTTAACAAGAGATACCTCTGTCATTTTGAAATCTAAATCAACTTTGGTAGTTTTAGTATCTTTTTTGTAGGTTGGTTCAGGTTTAGTTTCATTTGAACCATCCTTGATTGTATCGTTGGTTTCGACTCTAACAGTAACTGTTTCTTCAAGAATAGCATTAACAGAATCTAATTCAACAAGGCCATATCTATTGAGTTTGAAAGTAGCCTTTACCTTTTTTTTCTTACCACGTTCATCCTCAAAAGTCCAATTAGACATTGTCTTTGTTACACCATTAATTTGATAAGTAGAAATAATAGAGTTTTCAGTAGTGTAAGATTTTGGAATGGAGTTTGGAGAATATTTCAATGTGATAGAAAAATCTTCCGTTCTTGGTACAGTAATTGTTTTCTTGGAATCAATTTCATCATTTGAATTAAATAAATTAATATCCTTATCACTTCCAGATAGAGCAAAATTAATTTGATATGGAGTAATATCAACAAGTTTAAATGTTTTGACATGGAATGATGGAGAATTTGAAGCTCCAAAGAAACTTGCACCCATAGCAATTGCTTCATCTGCATTAAGACTATAACTCAAACTTAATTTGTTTGCAAATTTGGATAATCTTTCTTGAATTGCTGGAATTCTAGATGAACCTCCAGACATTTCAAAATAATCAATATCATCCATTGTTAAGTTGGCAGTTATAAGAGCTTCCTTGATTGGATCAACTAGTCTTAAAAGTAAACTCTCACTCAACTTTTCAAAATCTTCACGAGTAACTTTCATAGAGAGATCTCTGTCGTTATAAAGGCTTTCAATAGACAAGTGTGCTTCATTATTAGCGCTCAAGATATGTTTAAGTCTTTGAGCCTCTTCAACAAGTCTGGTTGCTGGTCTTTTTTCAACCCTTGGATCTTGCTTATACTTTTCTATGAATTTTTCAGCAAAATAGTTGGCCAAAACATTATCAAAATATGCTCCACCTAACTTTTCATCTGAAGCAACACCTAAAACCTTAATATTACCAAGACTATTCTTTTCCTTATTTTGAGAATATTCAACAACACTTACAGTTGTTGAAATGGATCCAATATCATAAAATAAAGTAATCATTCTTGGTTTTGTTAGCTCTTTGATGGTTTTAGTATTCTTAATACCATATTGTAAAGCAGTGGCAGCATGATCATGAATCAAAGCCAATACCTTAACGTTGGCAATAGATGCTGCGTCTAAAATGGCTTGTCTTTGTGAAATTGTAAAGAAATGTGGAATAGAAATTACAGTGTCAACAACTGGAGAACCTTTGCTGATATCATCCGCTAATTGTTTAATGTAGAGAAGAATCATTGATAAAAGTTCCTCTGGACTATAAGAAACACTATTAGAAAATTTGACATCAATTGTTCCTCTTTCTTCATTCTTAACGAGTGATACTGGTACTTTCAATTCATTATAGCGTGTTAAAGTTTCATTCATTTCCAAATTATAATTCTTTCCCAATAGGAAATTCATGAAACGTAACATTTTTTCAGGGAAACGGGCTACCATAGTATATGCAGCCTCTCCTACATATCTATCTTCATCTCTAAAACCGATAATATTTGAAGTTTTACGTTTAGATTGTTCATTTAGTACCAAATCGATTGGAGAGCCTGATTTAGCAATGCCAATCTTCAACCACCTGGAACCAAGATCAATACCAATCAAAGGTCCTTGTTGGGAAGATGATATGAATAAACAAACAATTAAAATCACAACCAAAATGGAATGGGTAATTATTTTGGATTTGTTGATACCTCCTCTTTGAGGTGGTAAAGAGTATCCGATCATTCTTTTTTTGAAAATTACTATTGTCTAAAACTTTGAGTTTGTAATCGTTTCGGTGTTTGTATTGGTTCTTGTTGTATTTTTTTGATTTTTTGTTTTAAATTATCGGAAGGATTCCTTTGAGTGCTAATAAAACACGTGTTCGGGAAGACGTATTGTGTGGACTGGATTTTGTTTAGATTTTTTCATATTATGCTAGTCATTGCTACTAGCTAACAACATTATAATTGTTGTTTTTAAATTTTAAATTGGACGAATTTATTATCTTACTAGTACAATATCAATACAAGTAATTTTCTTCTTATTACCTCCCAAAGTCACAAACAATTAAAAAATGCTGACAACCATAGAACATCAGTACGAGGCACAAATTTCCAAACTCAACTCGTCAATGAGTTCGGGGGTTGTTGGCAGTATCAAAAAGAGTCATAGTGGACTTCCTATCCAAAATATCAGATGGTTATCAACTATGAATCTATTGAACAAACCATCTGTTCTAGTATCAAATAATGTGATTTCATCCAATGCTGTTGGTGGGATAACAAATGTAAATTTACAATCATCGTCACTATCTAGTGGAGTATCATCAGCACATTCTAATTTATTATCGGCTCAACTTATTTCTGATCCGTTATTTCTGTATAGTAATGTTAATAGTAATCAATCAAATTCTCCTTCATCTATTTATTCTAAACAAGATGTAATCTTGGAACAATTATATACTAGTAATACTTCACCAACAACATCTAGAAGTGACAAACAAGAAAAGAGCAAAACATTTACCAAACAATTTTCCTTTGATATGCATATAGCAGAAATGGGAGGTAAAAGTGCCTCTACTTCCAATTCAATATTTAGTAACCAAAACGTAAAGAATATTCTGGTTGACCCACAATTAGAAGAGTTACTAAACCGTTATAGATCACAAATTACTTGTATTAACACTTCTGATAATGGAAAGTTTGTCGTTTTTGCTATTAAAACCAATGAAACATCCTCTAATAATAGTAATTCTACACCAGTAGTCTCAAAACCTAATATTTTAATCATTATTTACTCTAGAAGCCAACAAATTCAAAATATGGTTAATAATTTAAACAAAACTAATCAAAATTCCCAACCATCCATGTCTCAAAAGATAAAAACATATTTTAATGGATCTAGTAATTTAGATTCGTCAGACTCCAAAAAAACAAAGAAAGGTAATCTTGGCCATTTATTAGGACAAATTAAAGTAGTTCAACCTCCTCGTGGTATGCAAGAAATGGACGGATTGAGTTGGAGAAAAAAATTAAAAAGTGTTGAAACACTAAATAGAAACATAAATGAAAGAAATATTTCAAAGGGAAACATGGGAGATAGTAACGATTTTATTAAGGGAAGCAGTCATACTAACCAACCAAGTAATACTATTAATATTTCTCAACTTCCTCCTGTTTCTGTCAAACAAATTTTTATTTCTAATGATGGTTATAATGTTGTTTGTGTAACAGAAAATAATGATATTTGGTTATATGATTGTTTCCCATCAAGTAGATCAAATATTGCTAATCTATTTAAATATGAAAATTCAATGTTTAGGATTAATAATAGTGGGAATCTAAATAATTCTACCAATATGTCATCAAGATCGAGATCAGCATCTTCTCCACAATTTGGAAATGTTGCATCATCTTTTGGAAGTACAAATACTGATAGTAAACGAATGAGTGACTCTAGAAATACCATTAATGCCACCTTACTTCCTTCCAGTAATATAGATAGTATGCTTGAAGAGGAGACTTTTCACAGATATTTAATGAAAACAAATAATCAGGGATTATTTGCAATAGATGATTTTGGTCTTCACTACCAACCAAGAAATTCTGTTGTTGGTAATGAATTACTACCTACACCCAGAGAGCCCATTGTTACAGTTTCAGGCATGAATATTCACTCTTCTAGTTCATCATCAATTGGTAACTATCTTCAGTATTCAATTGAAGAATGGACTATTTTACCATCACATTTAGATGGAGTAGACAATGTAAATTACAGGTCTAAAGAAGGGACAGATCAAAAACAAGTTCTACTCCCAAATGAAGATATTCATTTTGACATCAAATTTTGCCACAGCCCTATCCATGGAAGATTTTGCCAGATTAGCTCGGCTATTGTAAGCAAAATGTTTGTGAAATATGAAATTTACAAAAAAATGCAATCAATGTTCCAAGCTAATATTGAATCACCTGAAAAGAAAAAAGTTAATGCAAGTTTGGGAGTTATTAATAGTAACAATGCTTCTATTATGAAACATGAGGGTTTTTCTCCTTTAGAAAATCTTCCTTCCAGTTCATCCCTTTTAAAAGAGCAAGGTTTAGTTATAAAGGATAAAAATAAGAATAGCGATGATGAAGATATTGGTCCAAACATAAAAGCAAGACGAAGCCCTTCAGTATTTAGACATATGGCATCAGCAAATATTTCTACATCAGCAGATATCAGTGATTCAGATTCAGATTCTTCAGATACTCCAACATTGTCCAGACAAAACTCTCTTGTTTCCCTTGCTAACAGCGTTAAAATACCAAAACTTAAACTTAATTTTGGAAGTAGTGAAAAGAAAACAAATGATAGAGTATCTGTCAAAAGAGAAATGGCTTTTGAAACTGTAAGAAACGATAATCAACTCTCAAAAAAGTCTAGTAATAAGAATATAGGAAGAATGTCCATGATTCTATCAAGATCAGGCCTTGCTTCTGCATTTGATACATCCTCTTCTGGAATATCTACACCAAGATTAACAAGTAGAGTTGGTACATTTTCTGGTGCATCAGCAGATCAGGTTATTCCAACTCTTTTTGATGATTTTAATAATTTACCAACATCATTTCAATCAAAAGATTTGGAAACACCAAATATTCTCTCTAGATGTTTATTGATATCGAATTGTACTGTATTCCTTTCAAAAAGAAAGTTTATCAAGTCTGCAAATAGTTTTAACACTAATCCTATTCCAACACCAAGATTCCCAATAATTGACCACTGTCCATTTCATTTAAGCATTGATAGGACCTATACTGTTCTTGATAAGGTTTTAGATGAAGAGGATGTCTCAATGACAAAAGTATTTCATGGAGCTGCTAAACAAAAATCAATACCTGAATGTATTGTAAAATGGGATAACGAAACGTCTATGTTATGCGTTGTAGCAAACAGTTTTGATCATAGTTCGTTATTTGAATCAAAAGTATTTTTTTATTCACCAATTAGAAGAAAATCTGTTTGTGTAGTGTATGGCACAAAGTCATTAGAGTGTTTACCAATGAGTAGAACTTCAAGAAATCCAACAGAGCTTGTTTCATTTTCAGTCCAAGACATGTGTTGGTCAAATAATAGTTTATTCATAATATTAGTTGATGCTAGAGGAAATATGTCTATGATTAGTAGACTTAATGAGTTTATGCTTATGAAGGATAAGCAATTATTACAACAAAGTGCAATCTCTAATTTTGTACCATTTTACAAAAATCATAGTGAAAGTAGAGATTTAGAAACTACAAAATTTTCTGTTAAATCTCACCCGTACCAAGGACAATTTATTGTTTCTGATGGATTTAAGGTAAAACTATTTAATTTTGTTTCAGAAAGAGATGAAATTGATTTAACGACCATTCTTTCTTCTTATCACGGTTCTTGTTATGGTATTGAACAATATATTTTCCATGCGACCTATGACAAAAAATCAAGAGTTGATACCGCTTTGGATATTTGGAGATTATGTGTCTCTCATCCTCAACTTTCCAGATTCCAAAAGCAAAATCATAATTATTTAGAGTTTGTAATCAAAAAGATGAGTGAGTATATACTCAACCATGGAGATTCCTTCTCCAAAAAAATAACCTCATTCTTTGAAATTCTTCAAGACAGCTTGGATTGGAGTATTAATGGCGTTCAAAATCCAAGTTTTTTGCTTCCATATCTTATCAAACTTACAGAGATGGTTTTCAGAAAGTTTTTAAAAAAGGAAAAAAAGCAAAACCTTCAAAGATTAGCTAACTTTTTGGAAGAAACAGAGGCCAAATGTAATGAGCTTGTTCATTATTGTCAATCTTGTTTTGTTTGGGATACAAATACTTTGGGCGATTCAGAAGCTGACTCTATTCGTCAATCTCCTATCATACTATTTGATTGTTGGGTAGAGCTTGGACAAAGTATTCAAACCGCTCTAAATAGAATGAAAAATAAGCCTAATACTTCTGATATAAAGGCAACAGTGTTAAAGATTATTTCATCTGAAAAGAAGGCTAAGAGTGAGGCTGGAATGATTGAGAGTAGCAGTTCTGACGAAAGTGATCAAGAGATTAGAAAAAAACCTGCTAATAATATTATTTATGATAGCGATGAAAGTGATACATCAACAGAATATTTAGGTGATGATATTGAAGATTTCTCTGATACTGCCAAAGTAATTTCTTCTGATGAAGAAAATGAAGATCTTGAAAATACCTTGAAAAAACTTTTAGAGCTGGTGATTAAAAAGTTGAAAAATCGTACAGCTTACTTGAGCAACAAAACTTCTGTTAATGGAACATTCCTAGAAAGATATTCGACTACATTGAATCCAAAAAGCAAAAGTATTTTCAGATTCACTAATCAAGATGTAAAATATTTACTGACTGGTAACAACCAATACATGTTAGGAAATTACAAAAAGGCTATCAAATACTATATGAAAATACATGAATCAAATGAAGCCCAATCACCTACCACATCAGCTACAATTCCATCAACAGCTCTTTCTTATTACACAAAATCTACAGTACTTTTTTTAGCAAATTTATTCATGTATGATATTACAGAAATATTTAGAGTTTTAAATGATCAAATGCATACAGGTATCGTTGATTTAGTTAGAAGCTCTGGAGTTCTTCTTGAACATCATAAAAATAATATTAGTAAGGGTTTGGGATCTGGTGTCCTTAGATCAACAGCCAATATGAATGTTATTAATGCAGTAATTACTTTACTAACTGCTCTATATGAAAAGAAAAATGTTTACATATTGTCACCTGTTTTTTATCAAATAATTGTTGATAAAAATACTGGTAATGATAATAAGAATATTTCTATAGATTTAGTAATTGTAAAAGATATTACTTCCAAGCAAACAACAAATAGTATTGCCTACTATTATATTCCTCTAGATATGTCAACTTTTAAAACAAATTTTGAAAATGAAATGAAAAAAAGATCAGTCAATGGAAAATCCATTGTAAATCAGTTATTGCTTGAAACTGGTAGAATACATGAGGCTATACGTTTTTGTTTGAGATTTGATTATAAGAAAGCTTACACCATCTTTCTAGTGACAAATGGAATGCTTGGAAGTAAAGAAACAACAGATACGTCTAACAATAGTGGTAACAATTCTGCAAAACCTGTACCAACCAAAAAATCATCCACACCAGGTCAAAAGAAAAATCAATACGATATTCAACAAATTGTACATATTTACAAAGAACTTTTGTACGAATATCTAGATAAGGAAGATAGCAAAGAGGTAAACACTATTCTAAGCACTACTGATTTTTTCATTCCAAAACAAAGTGATGAATTGAGAGTTGGTGCCATTGAAACATACCTCAGAAAATTGCAACTAATGTTAAAAGAAACATGTTCCTTGCTATTTTTAAGTAAGGAAGATTTTACTTCTGTTGTTACAACAAACGATAATGATACGAGAAGGAGAAATAGATCTTCTGTTCTTTCTAAAGAAAAAAAGCTAACTAGGAAATTGGAAGATTTACTTGATAGAGAGTTTATGAAAAGTGAATCATATTTTCTTTCGAACTTGTGTCAGTTCATAACTTCCCAAAAACCATCGAAGCCTACACGAAAACAAAGAGAATATTATCTTTCCTTATTGGATGCTATTAGATCAGGTAATTTATTACCACACATTACCTTCAGAGAATATAGACTGAAATATTTGAGAAGAATTAATGAAGATGTTGTTGCCTATGATGAATCAGATGGAATCCCTTTTTCCACACCAGTAACGACCAACATAAGAGGCGATAATATTAGTAATCTTCCCCTTATTACTGTAATCGAAAAAGAATGTGAAAAAAGCGTTAGATTTTTATTGATGGATCAATTGATTATCTTTTCAAACATTCCAAACCTTTCATTTATTGAATTACTAAAGTATTACCAAAACGACTTTTGTAAGATGAATGGATTTTCTAAAGGTTTATCATCACAAGAGAAACAAAACCAATTGAGTCTCTATATCAAACCATTTAGATTTTTGTGTAGATTTTTATGGTATTGTCATATTACTGAGGAGATGACTTCCATAACTTCAAATAATAGGACAAATCCGTTTAAATTACTTTATAATCACTCTAAAAAATTGGAAACAGAGTCTGATATTTCTGATTTAACTGATACCCTTGTGTATACTTGTGAATTGTTTGCCTTTTTGCTTGACTTTAGAGAATTTTTTACTAGATCATTTTTAGAATCTACTGTATTAACAATTTTAACTGTGGCCATCAATATTTCACACAACACTAAAGATGAGGATGATATGAAATCTCCTAGAAGAGAAACAGATACTTCTCAACTACCTCACACAGAAATTCAAAACGATACAACAAAGAAAGGAAAGAGAAATATGATAGCAGAAACTGTTTGTAGAATATTAGCTAAGCACATGCATGATTCCCAACAAGTAGTTCCTCATCTTGGAAAGAGATATGTACAACTTTCAAAAGCCCTAGATGAGAATATTTTAGAATCTAAAATCAACGAGTTTGAGGCTTTTAGACAATACAAATCAGAAAATACCCAAGTAACAGATCAAGATAATGGTTCTTCAATTTTATGGACCTGTGAAATTGAAGAGTCATACTGGACCTTTTTACAAGTATTTTTCAATGACGTTTTGAGTAACGCTGGATCGAATGCTAAGGATTTAATGACTAATATAACAGCAGCTATTTCTCAAGGAGAAAATTCAACTAGTTCTCTAATTGTAGACTCTCTTAACACTTTGAAACATTCCTTGGCAAAGATTAAAAACACCAAAACTACCAGTGGAACTTCAATCAAACCATCAACAACAGATGCTGACTCTAACAGATCACAAGAGCAAAGAGATATCACAAGACAACTTTCAGCTAAAGAATTGATCAATGACTTTAACAATATGGTTTCACAAAACAATAATGGTGATTTAAGTGGAAGAAAGATTATTCCAAACAGAAGAACTAAGTCAGTCATTAGTACTAATACCACCATTAAGTATGAAGATAAAGTTGAAGAAACTGATGACACTTACAATCTCCAAACTACTGAAAAAAGAAACGATTACGAAAATTCAAATGAAAAATATCCAACAACCAAGAAGAAAACTCAAACTCTGGATGATCCTGCTTTGGGTTTAATTATTGACAGTATTTCAAATCCACAACAGCAAGTTCCTCCACTAAATATAAACAAGGAGGACGAGAAGAAAAAGCCATTCTCAATCAAGAACTTTTTCAAATCAAAAGAGAGTCCAAGAAGTAGTTCCACAATTTCCTCTTCAAATGGCAACAAATTGAAAGATCTTACATCTCCAAGAGCAAACACAATTTCTTCCACACCACCAACACATAAAAAACGAGCAAATAAGACAGTAATGGATGATGGAAATATTATTGGAGAAACTATTTGTGGGGATAGTCCAGCATCACACGAAATTGCAATCGAACACGATATTGATTCACCAGAAAGTGATGGTGAACAGACAAAATCCTACACAACAATCCACATCTAACAAGATTTTTTAATAAAAATTCATAAAAAATCTTTCAAAAAAATGTTTGGCTCATCAGCGACGGGTAGAACATCATCTATGCAAGATGATCAACAAGAATCAAAATCAACAACAAACGCTAACATTACAAATCTTGAAGGTGTCAAGGAAAAAGATTTGGAGGATTATAAACAAATATTAAATATTTTACTTGGAGCAGGATATTTCCGTGTTCGTATTGCATCATTAACACCTTTTGACAAAATTTTGGGAGGATTATGTTGGTGTATTAGTAATTCCTACAATGCTGATGCGGATGTAGAAATGTTAAGTTATGAAGAGGAAGCAAACATTGGTAAAAAAATTAAATTGGCAGAAAAAGTTGTTCTTGCTCTTAGAAGAATGGGTTGTACAACAGAATTAAATCCTGTACAAATTCAAGGTTTGGATTGTCCTTTCATCTTACAGGTATTTTCATGGCTTGTTAAAAAAGTTCATGAATCAAGAGAGGAAAACAAAGAAAGAATTCAAAGGTTTAGCGAACTTCAATTTTCTAGAAAGTTTGAATTACCACAAGATACTCAATCCATGCAACAATATACTCAAGCTGTACCATACTTGGAAAGTATTAAAGGATTTTATCATCCAAAGAGAAAGTTCAAACATCAACAAAGAAAACAAATCAAAAATGAATGGGGTCATGTGCAGACTGTACTTTTAGAATATGGGGTAGAATTTAAAAAAATTGAGAGATCCCAACAAGAGAAAGAAGATAAATCAAAACTAGAGAGACAATTAAGAGCCCAAAAAACAAAAGCAAATGAGCCATCAGGTAATTTGGTTGAGGATTTGGATGAAGAAACAAAGGAAAAGAAAATTCAAGAACTTAAAAAACTTGTGGAGCAAAACGAAAACTTTTACAATAATATTTCAGCTTCTGGTGCTTCTACTTTGATTAGTTTGGGTGCTCATGATATTATGAAATTAAAGGAAGAATACGATGAAAAGACCAAAGACTTTATGGATCAACAAGAAAACTTACAAACTGATCAAACTTTACACAAAAGAAATGTTGCCCAATTAACCAAGAAAATAGAAAACCAAAAAGCGTAAGTGTATTAATAGCTTTAACATTAAATTAATGGAAATAGTATTTACTTGAAAGCAAAGGAAGAATATAACAATGTAAAGATTGAATATGACAAGGTTGCTGAAAACTACTCAAAATTCAAAGAATATAACGAACAAATTCAAGAAAAGATCAATCAACTCAAATCTACTGTTGAAACCAGAGATGTGGATCAAACAGTCATTAAGAAATTGGAAAATTTAATTGCAACCAACGAAAGCTACAAAAAGCAAGAAACTGAATTTAAAACAGAGTGTCAACAAAAATTGAAGGAATTGAAGGAATCAATTGCAACTTTGGAACAAGTTGTTACTGATCCAAATGATCCAATTGTTCAACTACAACAATCATATGTTAATGATATGGAAAAGATGAAAAAGATCAAAAAGTTAGCAGCCAAAAGAAACAGAGAACTTGCAATTATTCAATCTAAAATTGATGAAATCCCTTCAAGAACAGAATTATCTCAATATGAAAGAAGATTTACTGAATTGTTTACTCAGATCTCATCAAAACTCGATGAAACAAAGAAGTATTTTGTATCGTATAACACATTATCATCAACTTGCTCATTTATGGAACAAGAATTATCTTTGCTCAATGCTATTGCTGATTTCTTCCAAAAATCAGTACAGTCCCAAGATAAGAAATATAAAACTTGGATGGTAACAACAATAAGTGACAGAGTTGAAAAGGTAAGACAGACCAAAGAACAAGTCAACCAAAAATTAAAAGAAACTGAAAAGAAAAGAGACGATTTGCAAAATAAGTACAATGAATTGGTTTCCAAACAAAGAAATTACTTTAGAGCTGTCAAGGAGTTCCAACATGAGATGTTAAAGAATGAAGAATTGAATAAGAGATTAAAACAACAATAAACAATTGTTTCCCGCCAAAACCACTACAATCCTACCAAAAATAAATACAAAAAAAATGAGTTCAGCATCTGTTACCAGCCCTCGTTCGAATTCACCAGGCAACAACAATATTACAGATAATCAAGATGATGAACTAACAAAGGATATAAAGGAACATCAACTTCAAACACAATCCTCAAAAGTTGAGATAAAACGACAAGTATCTGACATTGAATCTGAGAAGGAAAAGAAAAATTGGTTAATTCATGTACTGTACACTAGGCAAGATATTGAAGAATGTTTAAATACAATAGAAGAACAAATCAGAGCTTGTGAAGGAAAATGCGAATATGCTATTTATGTTAAAGGATTGATTAAGAGACAACAAGGTGATATTACACAATCACTTCAATTATTTCAACAAGCTTGTATTTTGAACCCGATGAATCCTCAAAATATAAAACAAGTAGGAAAGAGCTTGTTCCTTATGGGAAAATTCAAGGAAGCTATTGAAATTTATGATGAAGCCAAAAGAATTTCTCCACAAGATTGGGAGATTTGGCATAATAAGGGTTTATGTCATGCAAATCTTGGAGATTTTGAGAAGGCTGAAGAATGTTATCAAAGATCAAATTCGATACAACGACATGATATAACTTTTATAGAATTGGGAAAAATATTCACAATACAAGAAAGATACGAAGAAGCAATTGATATTTACTTGGAAGCATTAGACTTTTCTCCAGAAAATCCTGAACTTTTGAGCACTGTTGGTCTTCTCTATTTGAGAGTTGGTGATAATCTTAAAGCATTTGATTATCTCGGAAACTCACTCTCTCACGATCCAACCAATCCTAAAACTATTTTGGCAACAGGCAGCATCATACAAGACCATGGAGAAATGGAAGTGGCCTTAAGTAAATACAGAATTGCTGCAAAAAAGAATCCAAATTCTGCCCAACTTTGGAATAATATTGGCATGTGCTTTTTTGGCAAACAAGATTATGTAACTTCCATCGCTTGTTTGAAAAGAGCTTTGTATTTGGCACCATTTGAGTGGATCATTTCTTACAACTTGGGTCTTGTTCACCTCAACACTAGACAATATGCCTCTGCTTTCCATTACTTCTCAACCTCGATTAATTTGAACCCAAATTTCGCAAGTACATACATGTATTTGGGAATAACATTGAACAGACTGGACGATTTTGAAAATGCATGCTCTGCTTATGAAAAAGCAATTGAAATGGAAGGAGATTATCTATTCGAACTGAACTATGCCATCACATTGTACAACCACCAAAATTTCGAACAATCAAGAGCCCATTTCGTTGAATTTGAAAGACTTTTTCACGAGGCACACACAGGAGAGGATGCAGAAGAATGTGATGATGAATTTATTATGGAAGCAAGAAAAAAGTTATCGTCATTGCTTTCATCCTAAAGCAAGGGTAAAAATAAAAAAAATGGCCAATATTGATGAAATTGTGGTGTGTGCAGACACTCTTTTTGATTAGTAGGTAATTTAGTCAATAATTATTAAGAAAATTTTGCAAGTGAATGTGTGATTGATTTCGGAAATGATTGCGAATCTGCTTTAAACGTTTATAATACAGTGATTGTGGATGAAGAATTGTCATCAAATGTGACAAGAAATATCGAACTTGTAAATAATGAAGGAACTCATTCTGTTAAATTGTATGTTAACAAATCATCATGATTTCTTAATATTATTTAGAAATTTCAAGAGTGACTCAGCCAGAACTCTCCGATCATCAGTGAAAGGAACTTTGGATACCATTCACCTCTCCATAGAAACCTTGTCATATTTTAACTAGTAGTTGAACAAGAATAAATATCAGCTTCAAAAAAAATGTCTTCAGCAAACACGTTGAGCAATACAAAAGAATTGTTACCCAATACTGAATGTTCTGAGCACAATTCCGAACACTTAGAAAATAAGAGAAAGAATGAATGTGACCAAGAAGATGACGAACAACAAGAAGTTAAAAAGAGAAAATATCCACAGTGTGAAGTTTGTTCCTGTATTGAATCCAAATACACATGTCCTGGTTGCAGTTTGAGATATTGTTGTTTAGATTGTTTTAAAAACCATAAAACTTCATCTGGATGTTCTGGAAAGAGAGATGCAACCAAGTTTGTTGATTTAAAGGATTTTTCAGAGCAATCATTACGTAGTGACTATAACTTTTTGGAGAATCTTGACTCACAAACTATTCACTGGTCAAGAATGAGAGCTCAAGAGAAAATTGACTCACATTCCTATCAATATCATCATCCAAGAGTGAGAGAGTTACAATATAAAGCAATACAGAAAGGGATTCGAATGGAATTAATGCCCCAAGGAATGTCACGAAGAGAAAGTAACACATCCTATTTCAATAAGAAGACAGACAAGATTTTTTGGAGACTGGAATTTATATTTGATCAAGAAATGGACAATATTACAAACAAACCTTCTCAAACAATCGAAAACCATGTTTCTGAGGATGTAAAAATCTTAGACATTATCCAAAAATACTTTGATAAGGATGTGAATGGTAGTGCAAAAACAAGAGATAAGATGCAGAAATATGCTTCACATTACGAAAAAGCAGAATGTAAGAGTGCACTATTCAAATTCTTAATTCAAGTTGAGGGCACAAGTGAAAGAATGTTTTACAATGTGAATGTGTCTCTACCTTTACGGGATGCTCTTAAGGATATGGTTATTATTGAATATCCAATTATTCATGTCATACTTTCAGAATCTGAAGAGTATAGAATAATTTCGGAAGAGGAAATAAAAGAAATGAACAAAAAGAGAGACGATAAACTCAAAGAAAAGAAGGAAAAAAGGCAAGCATTCATCGAAAAAAAGAACAAATATGAAGAGAGAATGGCAGAAAAACAAGAGAGAGAACAACAGAAAAGAAGAAATAACCCTCAAAGAAAAAAGTAAACATTTATTTCTTTTTCTTTGGCTTTTTCTTTCCACTTGTGTCACTCTTCTTAACCAAATCTTTGACCAATTTCTTGGCACTCTTCTTTTCCTTCTTAGCTTTCAATTTTTCTTGTTTTTCCTTATTGAGTTCGAGCAATTCCTTATCATATTTCTTCTTTGGAGTTAATTCTAAGAGTTCAATATCGTAAAACAGTGTAGCATTTGGAGGTACCTTGTCAATTACACCCTTTTCACCAAAACCCTTTTCAGGAGGTATTACTAATTCTCTTTTACCACATACAGTCATTCCTTCAACACCAATATTGATACCCTTGATAACCTTTTTAGTTCCTAATCTGAAACTGAATGGATTTTTTCTTGTTGATCTATCGAATGTTTTTACCTTGTCTGGATCAAGTCTACCTTTGTAATAGAGTGTCACCTTGTCACCAATTTGTGCTTTTCTTCCATGACCAACAAAAACATTGGTAATTTCCACACTCTTTCTTGTGAAAGTCTTTGGTTCAGTATGATCTTCAGCTAATCTTTCTTCTTCTTCCTTGTCAGCTTTGATTTCCTCTTGTTGCTTTTCGAATTTTTCCACTTTGGATTTTTCCCATGGTGCTAAATCTTCCTTATATTTGGTTTTCTTGAGCTTTTCAACAATTTCCTTGAAATAGTTTCTCTTTAGTCTAAAGTATGCTTTTGCCTTGTCCTCAAAGGTTGCCTCAGGTGAAAACATAATGATTCCATGTAAATCAACACCTAAACATTTTTCCTTATTCAAGTATGGTCTTCCTTTCAATTCAAATGTAAGATTACTAATTTCTTCAGCAGAAAACATATGTTGCAATACAAATTCACTTCTTGTTGGATAAGAAAGTGTTGCCAAGACAAACTTTCTTCTTTTGTCATCATCTTGAATACACACCTGTAAGACACACCCTGGTTGTTTTTCTTTGTCCAACGATGCTTCTTCGTCTTCATGAGCCATGATTGACTTTAATTTTTTCTTAGCCTCTTCCAATTCTTTAACTTTAGAAGGGAGAGCAATAGAATAATTATTGTCAATTTGTAAAGAACATGAAGAAATAGCCAAAGAGCAATTATTAACCTGTCCAAGAGAAAATGGTTCTTCGGTAGTGACTCTGATTCTCCATTGAAGTCTATCTTGGCTTTCTAGAAATTCTTTAATATCCTGAGATGGATGTTGCATAAAAGCTTCCTCCTTGATTTTGTTCTCCTGTTCGTATTTTGTCTTTTTTGGCTTCGGATCATTCGAAGAAGCGCTTGAAGCTGATCGTTTCATTTTTTATTTGAACAAAGTGCAATATTTTTGTGTTGCAAGATTTGTTTCCTACATCAACAACAATTACCAGCAATTATTTAATTTTATTAATAAATTATTGTTTTAATTATAATTATTATTTGTTATATCAAAGAACCAAGTTGAAAATAAATTTGGGATAACGGTGGCAAACCACAACCCTTAAAAAAAATTCAATACATCATCAAATTATCCAACGATAAATGAATCTAACTAAGGAAACTAAAAAACTAGTTTGGAAACAACAAATAGAAGCTAGGGGAAGTACTTGGAAAGTAAAGTGTGTTTCACTTTCGGAAAATGACTTATTAGTACTTGGTTCTGACACTGATGAACAGAGCTCACATTTATTTATTTGTGATTTGAAAAGTTTGGAGTGGTCAACAGCCCCTCTCTTCGGGGATGGTCCTAGCAATTCTGATTTTCATTTCCCAATAATATCTGAGGAAAATGAAGGCTTGTTTGTTTTTTGGATCATGAGAGAAAAGGGATTACCTGCACTTCTTGTTGCTGATTATGAAAATGAAGGACTGACTCTTTCCAAAGGAGAACAAGTATTGTTATTTGATAGTGATACAATGGATGACGATATGATATTGTGCATGAACAGGAAGGATAGGGTAATAGTGGCACCAAAAACACTGTTTGCAGTAGAAGAAGAAAATTCATTTTTTGAATTTTTTGAAAGATCAGAAATAGTAATTAGTTTTTTAAACTTTGCAAATGGAATGCAATGGTCAAGGATTCTAGTTGACAATGACCAGGCACCAAGGGCTAGAAGAGATTTCACCTGTACCAAGATAGATCAAAAGATTTACTTTTTTGGAGGAATTTCAGATAGTGGAATCATTCACAATGATATGTACATATTAGATTTGAGTAGGTACTTCTTTTTTAATCTTCATCAGACATTTATCATTCAAATAGTTGATTTGAAGTGGTCTAAATGTACCTTTAAATCTGAAGATGATAAGCCAACAGCTAGATATGGTCATTCTGCAACTGTTCTAGATAGCGAATATATTCTGATATTTGGAGGAAGTGGATATGAAACAAAATTTAATGACCTGTATCTATTTAATATTTTTAGTAAGGAATGGAGTTTGTTGGAAATTGATGAATGCCCCTTAGCGAGAAGTCATCACTCTTTTGTGAGATTGAATGAATTTATTGTTTTATTTGGAGGAGAGGGTGAAGAATCAATACTGAATGACCTATTCATTTTGGATATTGAGGAGAGTAGATGGGAGAAAATAGAAAACGATTTTAATCCATCCCCCAGATTTAAGCATTTTTGTGGTTTGTTTTCTTCACAGGACTCTCTTGTATTTTTTGGAGGAGAGAATGGTTCAGAAAATTTATTCGATATCTACACACTGCATGCAGAAGATGATAATGAAGTGGAATTGATTTATTCTTCACCTAAATTGGAAATAGAAGACGAGTTTCGTCTCGAAATAAGTTCTGAAGAAAATGACTCAACACAAGTAGAAAACGATGTTAATTGGTCAACTAACCAACCAGAGGAATACGAATTGAATAGTTACGCATTTATTGAAGAATCTGCTGAAGAAGAAGACAGAATGGACGAAATTGTATTTGAGGAAAATTCATCAACAACATCCGTTGTGGAGCAACCACAACAGTATGATCAAATGACACAAACCTCTGTTGATAGAGAAGAAGAAATTTTTGACTTTTCACACGACTTTCAAACTCACAATGAAGGTAATGACCTGGTTATTGAATTTGATACTCATGAATTTGTCGTTGAGGACGAATGCTTTCTTGAACCCACTAGCTCTCAATTGACTGAGGAAAAGGATATGTTGGAAGTAATATTTAGAAGCATATCTCTTGGAAACCCTACTATTTCACTATTTACATTGCTAAAAATATGTAGAAACTGCAGAATAACAGAAAATTGGCTGTGTTATGATTCAATCCTTGAAACCGTCTCAAATATCTTACAAAAGAGTAAGTTATTACAATATATAATTACTACCTGTTAAAATAGCTTTAAATGGAGAGGAACAAATTGATTGCTTGGAATTCAGGAAAATAACAGCAGAGCTCTCGCAAAAGAGAAGTAAGAAACTCCAAGACACAACATTCAGCCACATGCAACTAATTGAAACTCTGTTAAAGCCTTACTACAAAACAGTTAGTAATCCAGATGATATGTTAATAGAGATTTTGTCTCCAACAATTCTCAACTTATTCACTTCTAAAAAAGAGCAGCTTCAAGAGGTGAGTAACAAAGCTTATATATCAAACTTATTTAACATTCAAAGTTGTTTTCTGTGTATTCATGTCTTAATTCAAATTCTCATTTTCCAGATACAAAGGAAGTTATGAAATCAAATAGTACAATATCTCTAGCAGAATTTCTTTCTTTTGCAGAAACATTTGACATTACTCCCCACAAAATATCAAGAGTCCCCCTTCAAAAAACAATATTCTATAATAGTCTACCTCCTGAAGGAAGTGAATCATTCAAAGAGAGCAAATCAAAAGGTTTAAACTATCCTCAGTTTCTAGAGTCGTTATGCAGGTTAGCAATACATATTTACTCTCAACATCCTTTCTCTAACCTAGTCAAGACGAGTAAAGATAAAGTAGATATCTTTTTTAAACATATGGGATTTAAGGACATCTCAAAGTTCAAAGAGTTTTTAAAAAAAGCTGGTATTGGTGGTATTTCATTTAGCCCTAGCAAGAAAATAGCAACCAAAATTGCAAAACCTTCCAATTTAACAAACAGTGGAGGATCCACAAAACAAAAACCTGACCAAATTATGGAAACCAAACAAATTATTACCGATGAAATAAGAAGACAATATGTCGAAATGATCCAAAACAAATATCTTCTCAAAGAAGAGCTAGAGAATGTTTTTATGTATTACTGCTCTTTCGGAAATAGGATGAATCTAGATTTAATGAGCTCCTCCAAGTTCAAAATGTTCATTAGAGATACTAATATATATAACTATGGTTTCAAGCAAGAGGAAGCAGATTTAATTTTCGTAAAAATATTATCAAGTACAAAGAAGAAATCTAACTTATCCCAAAAGTTGACATTTCCTCAATTTGTAGACTGTGTAAAAGAGATTGCCTCAAAACTTCGTAAGGATATAACTCCCTCTAAAGCATTTGCACAATTTTTACTTATTGATGTTTTACCAAAGGTCCATAGGTTAGAGAATCAAAAATATTTAGGCAATGATGAAAAGTTAAACGTTTTACTTGACAAGTTTAGAAACAATCTGCAAAAGGTTTGTAAAATACCCATTAATTCATGTTAACCTGCAAACAGCTGTTTTTATTTTATTGCAACTTGGATACTGGAGTGACTCTAAAAGAAACCATGTCCAGTAATAATTTATTCAAACTTTGTTTGGATTTTGAGATAATTCCTCTTGTATCAAAAAAAGATATTTACAAAGTTTTCAGATCACACACAAATACCGAATTAGTTTATCACAAGTTTGAAAATTGTTTAATAGAAATTGTACATTCAGCATATGATAAGCATCCTTATAACTCTAAATACCCTTCACAAGCTGAAAAACTTGGAGCTCTTTTTCAAAAAATGGAGCTTGGAGATTGGAATATGACAAGGAAACGTTTGGAAACACAACAAGAATAAAACTGTCTTTTTTTTTATGTCTCTTATCGCTGTGAGAGCAACAACTATTAAAATCAATAATAAGGCAGTTCCTCCTTTTGTTGGAAGGGAAACGGAACAGTCAAAGGTTGAAAATGGAGGAAATATTGTCCCAAGTAGCATTCAGTTCCTGTTTTTCATGACTGCTTTTAGTGTTCCAACTCTGAGATGATTTTTTTAGATCTCTAAAGTTCAAGGTTTCGAAATCACAACAAGAATAAATAATTGGCCAGAAATTGCCTTAGAGTAAAAAGTTTATAAATGCTACGTGCCATGTAAAAGAGAGACATAATAATTGTAACAAGAAATAGGCTGCCACCGCACGCTTTCGTGCTTCGCAAGGTTTTGAATAAAATACGTTTCATCAAGATTAAAAAAAATATATTTATTTACCTACATAAACAATGCAAGTTAGGTCAAGAAAATCGGGAGGTGTTAAACAACAAAAACTTACTGTATCAGGTTCTGATCACGGCACGATCTTGAAGACTTACTTTGGTGATGATGATGCTCCAGGTATTAAAGTGTAAGTGGTTTACATTCTATAAATGTTTAATAATCATTTAATAGTTCCCCAACAACCGTTCTTGTTGGTAGCTTGGTTTTTATCTTCTCTGTAATTGTTCTTCACTTCTGGGGTAGATTCTTTGGATAAATCATCAACTGAATTTACATTGTACTACTTCCATCAATTTCCTTTCTCCCATTAATCACTAATAAACAAACTACATTATCATTGATGTATAGGATGAAGTAATATTATTTTGTAAAATAATAGTATTATTCTCTATTAATCAAAATTTAATTGTTATTAATTCACCACTGATTAAAAAAAGAGGTAATTTTAAATTTAAAAAATGGACAAAGTGTTAGAGGCCTCAACTTTGGAGATCGCATTGGAGGGATTCAGAGGTTGCTCGTTCGAGAAATTAGTAAAACTCTTACAAGAATATCACGAGTATGATATAAAAGAAGACGAAGATATGCAAATATGTTTGTGGAGTTATTTACTTAGAAATAGTAAACTTTCTTTCTTTAAAATAGTTCCGAACAATGGCGACTCTTCAACAACCAACAATACTCCACCACCTAAGCAGAAATCAAACAAAAAAGCCCCACAAAAGAATGACTATCAATACACAACCGAAGGTTTCCAAGAGTATGCAGAGACTAGAAACAATTTCGATTCTCGTTTCTCCTCTAAACGGTTGTTGGTTGATAACCTTTCTGAATTGGGTACACTACCAACATCAGATATTTGTATTGTTGCACAATTCGAATATAGAAAATTTGCTTTAGGTTTAGATATTAGATCCGATGTTGAAATAAGTGAAATACAGTATTGCATGTTGGAAGAAGTTGGCCGGTCAAGATATAGTGGAAGGTTCCAAAATGATTTGACAAAATACTTATGTATTGATTCAAGGTCAACTTTATATCACTTAAAACGGTTATACGGATTAAATTTACTTTTGAAAAAGTCTTCATATGATCCACGTTCTAAAACAACTTCAAATTTAATCCATTTATTCAGATTTACTGATACCAAGAAACAAAAAGAGTTTATCAAAAAAACTGACGATGAAGTTAATGCAGAAAAGATATTTGAAAGGTATTCTCAACTGAAAGAAAATATTGTCGATACTGTTGTTGGAATGCTAACAAAGGCAAAGGGAAATGTATTGATAGATTATGAAGTAAGAAAAAAACTTTTGGATTTTGTTAAAGACGACACACAACAAAAACACAAATGGGAAAGACTGAAACTTATCTTACAAGCAAGTGGAAAAGTTGAATATTTTAAGGCAATTTTTGAAAACAGACTTACCTATTGTGTTCGTCTTCTCAACCAAGATAACAATTTATCTTCCTCTAATCCTATTGCTACAAATAATGCAATAGAAGATGGATTACTAAATCCTGGATTTGATATGGAAAGGCCTCAACTCTATCAAATGTATGACTATATAGAAAAGTTTGGTGGTAAAAGTGGATTAAACCACATGGACATTTATCAACATTTTGAAATGACATCCAAAGTGAGTGGCAACCTTTGCAACGATTTGAGGAAAGACTTTGGTGTAACTTCTGTAGCAGAAAAGGGAGAAAAACAGGCTAAATCAACAAGTTATAGATTTTTCGTTCCTTACATTAAAGAAGTAGAAAATGATAAAGCTAATGAAGTCTCTAACAATGAACAGGAATCTCCTCAAAAATCCAAGTCTAGGAAAAAAAAGAAATCTCAACCACCTAAACAATCAACAAATAATTCTCAAGAACAAGTACAACAAGAGGTCCAGTCTGTATTGCCATCAATTAATTTGGAAGATTCTAGTGATTCTCTTTATGATAGTGATACAGGAAGTGATGACGAAAGTGATGAAAATAAGCCAGCCCTTACTCCAAGCCAATATTTGAGGACAGAAGGAAAGAGAAAAGAAGAAGGATCCAGAAAAGAGGTAATAACTAAAAATTTCTCAGAAAGATGCAAATTGGCTCTTTCCTTTTTGAAAGAAAAGAAGTGTATTGCCAGATTTCAGTTGAGAGAACATTTTAAACAAAATAATGTTAGTGTGGAAAGCAAAGCTATATCAAGATTGATTCAATACTTGGAATCGAATAACCTTGCTAAAAAAATGACTATTGCTGTACCTAGTTTATTTGGAACAACCTCAAAAATGCACATATGTTTAATTGATTGTTCTTTGGATATGAAATCAAAGACTGTACAGGACTTTATTACAAGTTTATACTCTCATGAAGTACAAGTTAATTCAAAAGAAAAAGTTGATAGAACAATTTTAGAAAAAGTTGATAGTATCGATCACTTAGAGACTAAAAGGTCTCAAAAAAGATTTTCCTACTTGCCACTCTTTCATTCACTTCTTAATGGCTATATCAATGCAAAAATGTTGCGAGTTAGGGTATTCCATCAATATCTATGGAATAAGGTGAATGAGGGATCTGTTAATCCTGAGCGTATTTGCCTTTATGATATTTATAGTAACATGTCTGTTTCTCTATTTTGTAAGCTTGTTGGTTGTATTGCAGAAATCAGACTTGGTTCAGATGATAAGGAGATTTTACAAACAGTAACAATTTCTAATGCGCCAGAAAATATTAAAAAAGCTGTTGATGCATCGGTAGTGGGAAGAAGAGCAGTTGCTCTCTCAAGAGTTGAAACATTTATTGATATAATGGAGAAGTTGGGATTATTGGTTGTACAGGCTATACGTGATAAAGAGAGCAAATCAAAAGTTTTTTCATTATTGAAAACAGTAGAATTTCCTTTCCCACAACAATTCCCTGCAACAGAGTACAGACAAGTTACATTTAATTCAATTAATGATGTAGAAGAATATTGGGACGATTTGGAAATGTGTAGTGTAAATATGGAGACTATTAGATGTGAGCCAATTGGTGATGATCAAGAAGATAGCCCACAAATTTTTTCAAAGATTCAAGATTTGGGAAAAAGACCTAGTTGGACTGAGTATAGACATTTTTCTTTGAGGCAACTTCGTATTTTAGAGGCTTCTTATAAGGAGAATCAAACACCAAATTTTGAGGAATGCGACAATATTTGCAAAAAATTGAGAATACCAATGGAACAAGTTGTTCTCTATTTTTACAGATATAGAAACTCTATTCTTAGCAAGCGTATTTCAGATATTGGTACTATCCCAGAGGGTCAATCCAAGTCAAATACTAAACGTAAAAAGGACGATGATTTTATAGTTGGTGATGACGAAATTGAGTATGAAAGCAATGATGAGAATGTAGAGGTTAGAGCAAAAAAAACAAAGCGTTTGCCATCTGTTTCATTGTTATTGATTGGAAATAGAAAAACAAGGAAAGGCTCTACCAGAAAGGGCAACAAAAAACAACCTACCGATACTAATGAAAACACAGAAAAACAAAAAGAAAAAACGATACCAACAAGAGGGTACAAGTGGACTAATGAGCAAGATCTTTTGCTTTTAGAGGGACTCTCAAGGTTAAGGGAATTGGATCCAAGTACTGGTACTTTCCTTACAAAGCCTATAAAATGGCAAGAAATAGCAGATTCTATTGGTGATGGTATAACAGCCAATCGGTGCAAATTGAGATGGAATAATGTTTTGAGAAAACTTCCATGGTGTAAGAGAGCACTTGAGCTTGCTATTGGTCACAGAGATTTAAATAAGAACAATCCAAATATTCCTCCCATAGAAATAAGAACGCTTGTACAAACCTGTAGAGATCAGTACAGAATCGGACCTTCTGATTCTAATAATCAATTAATGAGTGTAGATCTTCCTAGAGATTTAATCAATATTGTAAAATACTTTAAAGTTATAAGGTTTGAACCACTAGTAGAGGATAATGCAGACGAAAATATCAATATCACTACAGAGAATAGATTGAGACTCAGTTCTTTGGAAACCCTTTTCAAAATTATTCTACTTACCCCTGATGAACACTATGATGTAAAATTAGCCAACAAACTTGTTAAAAGATTCAAATCAAAGGAAATAGAGGAATGTTTTAACAGTTTAAGAAAGAGATCAATAATATCCAAGTCTAAAAGAGGTCTAAGAATGAAGGGTTACCATCTCAACATTAATTTTACAACAAAAACCACCGTGAACTTTTATCCACCAGAAATTTTTGAAGATGCTCCAAAATTCAGAAAAAGAGCGTTAATGATTAATGAGGAGGATGACTCTGATGAAGAAGATGATATGGAGGTTAAACCACTATTTAATAGACATGGAGCATGCTTTAATCCTCAAAGCTCTGGTGGTGTAGTAGCAGCTTTAATGAGTATGGTAATGTTGGAAGAAATTAGGTTAATACCAAGGGTTGCACCACTTTCCGAAGAAGAAAAAAATCAAGTAGGAAGAACTCGTAGTATCCAAGATATGGAAGAGGATGACGGAACAGGCGTCAGTAATCATTTACTAAGGGTGGGAGCTGTGAGACCTGGTGAGAATGATCATATTCATGCAGAAGGTACAAACATTAAAAGTTCACACGGCTCACTACAATTACCAGATTGGACGATAGCTATAGAATCCATCACTGAAGTAAATTTATTTAGTGAGATGGGAGCTGAAAATGAACATCAAACCCACATTTCCAGAATAGTATCTGAGTACGGGCACAAACTCTCTAGTATTGAATTTTCTATTGAACTCCCAGATCAAGAGAATGAGAATAAGAGAGAAAGAGATGAATTTAACCAAGATAACACCTATGACCCACCTCAAAAGAAAAAGAAACAACACCACATTACTAACTCTGAAATTGAGGCATATTTCGAAATGTATGCTGCAGAAAGTAGTTCTATAACAACATTCACCAATGATCAAATAGATTTTGTTGAAAATATTACATATCCAGAGATTAAACCTCTTGCACAATATATTATAGAATCTGGAGTTGAAGAATATTCATTTTGGATAGAAAGGATAATTTTGGTGTATTCATTTATTGGTAATACCAAGTTTGAAGGGGCAAACTTTGACACTATTTCTCAAAAATTTTCAGATTTTTCTACTGATTATGATCTTTCGATCAAAGAAATATTACAACAATTAGTTAACTTTAATTGTATTGTGGAGGTAAATTCTGAAAATGAAACAAGATTTTTGAGATTTGAAGAAGCCAAATTGCACACAATACCATACTCAGAAAATGGTGCAACACAATATAGACCAATTTCAGTCTTCAGACAATTATCAGGAGAGTTAAATGATAACCTTTTACAAAACTTTAAAAAATGTATCATCTCCAGAATTATGAGATATCCTGGTATTTTGGAAAAAAAGCTTATCAATAGTATTGGTGTTATTTCTGCCCAGGATATAAGAAAAGTATTAGGATTTTTGGAGGATGACCAAATCATTCAATCTAGCTATCATAGAGCAACATCTAACGAGAAATTGAAGTGTAAAAATATATTATTCATGCATCAAGATGAGATGGATGACTTGGAAAACAGTGATTGTTACCCTACAGAATTTCATAGATCTCTTTTTGTTACCCCAAAATATATTTTCTTCTCTACACAATAAAGGTTAATAATGTTTATTCACTAATGACTATTGAATCAATACAAAAGAGAGCAGAATTAACATAGGAGGAAAGCAGGCATTGTACTTTAACAGGTATTGGGTCATCCTGATTGAGCTGGAGCAGAACATTTTCCTTGATAAAAGGAATTTGGAATGGATCTAATAGCAATAGACGAGCACTTGCAGCATTGATGGATGTATTGATGGTAGTGTATTGTTTTGCATTTGAGTTTTCCATTCCTTCAGTGCTAAAATCAATAATTGGGTCAATTAAGTCTATGGATGTTGGAGAAAAGTTTACATGAATACGCATTGGAGGACATAAGTACAGCTTTAGGAACCCATTTTTTGTGTCATCTTGCAGTTTGGAATAAAGTGAAACTTCAATAACAAACTGCTTGGAATTTTCATTTTCTTGGAATGTATTTACATTTTGGAGATCGGTCAAGTTTGTGGCACACGACAGTTCAGATACAGAGCTCACTGACACAGGTGATGTGAGCTTGGATGGAATGCAAGAGCCATCTTCATCTATTTCATCATCTTGCTTAGCATTGGTACCTCGTGGAAAATGTCTAACATCTATTTCAAACTTTGACTTGGCATTTTTAAAAGCAATCAAAAACTTGGATTTGAGTTTTGTTGTAAGATGTTCTTGTAATGCATCATAAAAAGTCTGAGAGGAATTAAATGTTGATGCCAAAAGAACTTGTTTCATAAAATTTTTCATTGGAAATAGATCCTCCTCATATTTTCTTGATTTGTTTGGTTCCAATGACTGATAAATATCGGTAATTTTCCTCTTATTTGTTTGATTTGTTACGGAAATAAAATCATCAAAAGAAGGAAACCCAACTTCGGTATGTACAGTTTCACAGAATTGTTTCAGAACGTTCTCATTTTGAGATTTTCCTGAGAGATAGGTTTTTTCGAGATCATCTAGGATTTTAATATGTTCTAATTGCTTTGTTTTCAAAGTTACAGACAACTTTTCATATATGTGTGCAAGATTCTGTACAATCGTACTTAGTTGTTTTAAAACTTCAATCTCTTCTTTAAATCTCCTAATAGGAGAAGTTTTAACTAAATTACTCATTGCTGCAGTTTCGTCCTTATTCTTTTCAAGAAATGCGTTATAATTATTTTGATGATCAAAAAAATATTGTTTCAAGTTCTTTGTAATGATTTCTAATTGTTGTACTTTTTTATCCGCATCATTGTATCCTAAAACAGTGATAAACTTGTCTCTCTTTTCTTTGAATTTTTCCAATAATTGTTTAGCTGTCCCGTAGTCATGTCTTAATCTATCACATTCATGTTTGTTTTTAATTATTCCAATAAATGTGTCCCAAAATATTTGTGATTCATTAACTGGTTGTTGTGGTGTTTGTGTAGATTGTTGGCTATTTGATTGTTGTGTATTATTCTTCGGAGTCTGATTTGATTGTTGCTGTTGTATAGTGTGCTGATTTTGTTGAACAGTTGTTTCTTGTTGTGGAGGTTGCTGTGGACGATAGTGCTGCTCTGCATGATATGGAATATTTTGTAACTCTTGGATAAATACTTGTTTTGTTGGTGATGTGTTCCAAGCTTGAGTAACAAAATAAAGAGCAATCTGGTCCACAGTCTCCTTGGGAAATTTAGGATTATTCTTGAAGAATTCGTGATTGGAGACAAGGGAAGTGGTGTAGGTAACAAATTTTTCTTGCTCTTCGGGGCGTACTTCACTGTGCCAAGGTTGAGACATTTTCACAAGATGTCTTTTGAAGTATTTTTTTATTTTTGAAATTCTTTAAATAACCATTGTTCCCGCCAAATTCTACAATTAATAATTTTTAAAAAAAACAACATGAGCAACATTGGTGTGGCACGATCGTCTATAAATCTTGTTAGTCCTCTCACTCTATCTTCCCCTATCAATATTGGTGGTCCACAACTGGAAAGAGATCAAAAACACTTCCCATTTTCAAGGAGTACCATGGATTTAAAAGAAGTGGAACGAAATAATAAGGATTTAGTTGTACCCTCAAACCGAACAGATGACCCTTTCAAGGATTTTCCTGCAACTACCGATGTATTATCATGCAAAACCAAAGTGAATGAATTAGAAGTACAAATAGAATATCTTAAAGACATAGGTATGTTTTATTTAGTATTAAAACTGTTAATCAAAATTAAATAGTTCAAAGGTTGAGTGACGAAATGGCTAGGTATCAGGTAAAATATCCGCCAATTGTTTCAAGTGATTCCGAAGGAGCTTGTTCTACGTTAATTGCTCCATGGTTTTACAACTCCCAACACATGAACCCTCTTCTTGTATCATACGATCACAGAATCATGGAATTAACAAACGAAATTAAACTCTATAAGGAAAAAATTGAAACAATGACAATTGAAGTAAAAGCAGTGTCATCAGAAAATGAAGATCTTCAACATAGTTTGAAAAATATGATTGAAAAACATCTGTCAAAACCCAATGAGCCAGGGTCTTCGATTCCTTTCAACATTCCTACTGAAGAATGGGACGAACTTCAACAGAGAGTTGAACTATTAGACAGAGAAAACAAGTTGTTATTGGAGGAGCAAAGAGAGCTTCAAAATGAAATTGATCGATTGAGAAACGAAAATAGAAGACCATATGTTGAGTCATCATTATCTTCGACAGATTCTGATAGAACTCGTTTAATGCTGGAAAGTGCAAAAAAAAAAATTTCATCCTTGCAAAGAGAAAAAGAAGATTACCAAAGAGAGATTAAAAGGGCTAGGCATTTGGAATCTGTTGTTGGTGATTTAGAAAGAGCACTAAGTTCCAGTAATCAGAGATGTAAATTGTTGGATGAAGAATTAGAAAAACATAAATGCTTGATAGACGACTTGAATCATGAAAGAAAGCGATTTTTCCAAACAGAAAAAACCATCAATTACAAGGATATAGAGATGACAGGTTTGTTATTTACTTTCTTAATATTAGTTACAATTTGAAAGAACTTCGTGACAAGTTGACAATAGCACTCAGGGAAGGAGATGAAATAAGGGAAGAAAAAAATAAGATTTTACATGAAATAAGCCAAATGGAGCAGAGAATAGTTGCTTACCAACAGAGTGAATTTGAAGCTTTACAAAAAGTGAAGGAAACTATGGAGTTACTTGAAACAACAAAACTAGAAAGAGATACTGCTAGAACAGCTATAAAGAACAAAGAACAGGAAATTGAAAGGTTAGAAGAAAAGAATAAGAAGCTTTCTAATGACTATTCTGAAAGGTTTAAAAAATTGTCTTCACATTTTCAAGAAAAACACAAGGAATCACTCCAAGCTTTGGAAGATCAACTAAAAATATTACAAATAGAGAATGGCCATTTAAAATCAGATGTAGACAGGTTAAAAAGAGAGAAAAAGTTAGTATTATTTTAAATATTATTCAAACACAATATTAGAACAACTGAGAATGAGTTGACCAAGGTAATTAAGGCTGCCGAGACTGAGCAATTAAATTCACCATTTGTTGTTAATGATTTAAACCAACAGATTAACCATTTAACTAATGAGAGAGATGAATCAGAGAGGATGTACGAAAGATTAAGAAACTCTCATAGAAGAGCTCAACAACAATGGGAGCAGGAGCGAGAACAATTGAATGCAAGATATCTTGAGTTACAAAAAAGAGTTTCATCAATTGAATCAGAATCCGAGGAACAAAGACAAAACAACATAAGATTAAACGAACAAATCAATAGACTTGAGCAACAATGCCAAAATGTTAAGTTTGAAAAAGAAGAGGTTGAAAGATCATTGAAAGACTCGATACGAACCCAACAAGAACTTTCATCTCATGATACAAGAGATCTAAGGAAAAAGCTTGCTCTAACTTTAGAGGAATATAACAGAGCAGAAAACTCATTACACCAACTCAATATGAGACATCAAAAAGAACAATTGCAGTGGAGAGAAGAGTTTAGTAAGTTTAAGGAAAAAAAGGATAAGGAAGTACACGATTTGACATCAATTGTTGAGCAATTAACAAGAAGAAACCAAGAAATGGAGGGTAAAATCAAACTCCTTTTAAAGAAAGAAGAAGAACTTCTTAATCAAAAGAAAGACCTTCATATCAGAGCTGACAAGTTAACAATATATCTGGAGAGAATGAAAAGAGAAAGAGATATGCTCGCAAAACACATGGAAGGGAAGATTACAGATATTAGTTTTGGTTTTGAGTAGCTGGCAATAAAATTAATTGTTTAATGTTTGGAATTTTAATTTAAATTATAATTAAAAAAAGAAATGTCTGTTGATGAGAAAATCTATGCGGAAAAAATTAAAACTTTTGGACATGGTTTTATACGATATTTGAATACAATTGATGATGCTTTCGGAAAATACTTCGACAAAGTGTAGGTAGTTAATTACATTGAATTTGTATTTATGCCCACAAACTTAAAAGAGAAAAATCTCTGGATGATCCTTTGAGCAAGGAGGAAGCAATAAACGATTTAGCAGCAATACAAAAATTAATTAACCAAGTTTCTAATGTTACCGACGCAAATAATTTGTATAGTTTTCTTCTTCCACCAAAAGAAGATGCATTGGAACAACTGGAAATTAGAGAAAAAGAAAAAGAAATCAAAAAACAACATCTTATTCAAATATCAAAAAACTCTACACTGGTACAGGAGCTTGTATCAAAGTTTGATATTGTCGAATGAAAATGTTATTGTAAATAATAATAATGCGGTATTTAAGTAAAGTTCCCAAATCATCATAATCATCATTTCATAACCCACCGTCAACTGTCCCATCAAAGATTTTCTTCAAAAAAAATGTCTTCCCAAACCTTGAACGTGCAGGCTCTGTCAGAACAAACGAAGGAGGAAAGCCCTATGAAATCCTTTCCAAGGTTTAGACCATTTCTCAAAAGTGAAGTAGAGAGTTCAGGAGACGATAAGCCAAAATGTTGTGCTGCATTTCATAAGGTAGGTTGAGATTGTTTGAGTGTTGTTTAAAAATCCGAAAGAATGGAAAAAATATTTTGATAAAACATGGTGTTTCGTCGAATGTTGAATTTACTTTTGACAAAGTGTTGAAAACAACCAATACACAAGAAGATGTATATAATAGTTGTGGAGATGATATTATGAAACATATATTAAAGGGCCATAACTGTACATTATTTGCACTTGGGGCCCACCAATCCGGTACGTATCATTCATTTTAAAACTTAACTTTCTAATACACATACGAAACAGGTAAAACATATACCCTTTTTGGTAACGTAGCAAAATCAGCTAATTGGGCAACTGAACTGGAAAATCAAAAATTTGATGGTATTGCTCCTCGTTTTATAAGAGCTGTTTTTGATTTTATTATGAATCAAAGCCCAGAAAATATAGAATTCTCAGTTTCTCTTAATGCATTCGAAATTTGTGGATTGGAAAATGGCAATGACGCCTTAATGAATGATTTATTAGCTAATACCTCGACACCTCCAAAATTAGACGTACTCGTTGAGGAGGAAACTAATGCTGTGGAAATTGTTGGACTTCAGGAGGTTTTTGTTACAAGTGATAGTGAATTGTTTGAAAATATTTCTGGTGCACTAATGAAAAGATCTAAAAGTAAGTATTTAAAACTTCATTATATTATATATTTGTATAGAATTTAGCACAGCATTCTTTGAAATTAAATTTGTACAACATGACACTTCAACTAACTTGACAAAGGAAGGAAGATTGTGCATTATTGATTTGGATTCTGAACGCTCCAGTGATCAATATAGGAATACCAGAAAGACTGGATGTAAAGTTTTTCAAGAGGTAGCAGAATCTCTCTACACGGAAGTTGAGGATTATGACTATTTCAGTACAACTCTAAAATGCCTTGTATTTTCTAGAGTTTTTGTGAATACAGCCACATTTTCCTTTGTGACTTTATCTCCAATGATATCGGTAGTAGAAGACCAAACCATTCCATATTTACAACTGGCATCCAAGATTTGTGAACTCTCTAGTGATGTCATGGTAAATTATGTACAAGATCCTATTGTTGAAACTCCACAAGAAGAAGAAAAATCAATCCCTACTCCGCATCCAGTAGCTTCTGTGCAAGCTAATGCCAAGGTAGAGGCTGTACAACAGGAAGAACTAGCCAAACCAATTGGCAACCCTACTTCCCTGCCTACCACAAATGAAAAAAAAGAAATTCCAACAATCCTTGACATTCCACCGAAACCAACTCAATCAATCACTGATGTAACGAAATCTGAGGAATATATGCAAATTTTGAAGGAAAAAATTAACATTGAAGAGGATATATTACTCCTACGCACACAATTCAATTCGCTTAAGGATCAACTTGAACGTGAAGAAGAAAAAGCTAGTAAGTTTGAAAAAGAAGCCTCTTTAAAAGATAGTGCCACTAAAGAGCTTGCAAAACAATTGAAAGAAAGCTTTGCACTCACAGAACAACTTCAAAAAGAAAGAGACCGCTACGAAGAGCAAGTCAAAGCATCTCAAAATGACATTCAACAGTTGAAAGAGAAATTGATTCATGAAGAATCTATTAGGGATGAACTAAATGAAAAGGCTCACGAACAAGAAAAAACACTAGCAAATTATAGGTCATCAGAGGAGCAAATGACTATTCAGATTACTCAACTTAAAAAAGAGTTACAAGAATTTAAACAATCTTCCAACACTAATCATGGAAGTATCCCGACTCCTCTAAAAAACAAAGGAGAAGAACTAGAAAAGGAAGTAGTATTGCTCATAAAAAGCCAACATGAAGAATTGAAAAATGCATATAACGAACTCTCAATCAAAATTGTTGAACTTGAAAAGAAGAACATTTATCTGGAAGAAGAACTTGTAGATGCTGAAAAGAAAGCACTTGAAGCTGATGACCCATCCCACCAATTAATTGAAAAGCTAAAATCAAAGAACAAACTGTTATTAGAACAGTTGAACCTGTCAAAGAGAGAAAATTTAAAATCTCGTGAGAAATCAGTAGAAATTAACATGAAACTTATTGAACAAAAAATTCAAGAATATCAGCAGTTAGTAAATCAATCATCAACAGTGTTACCAACTCCACTTAACGATACAACAGTCACTGTAAATAATGAAGATTTGGAACCAATATCTCCACAAGAAAAACTCAATGTTCAAAAGTTGAAAGAAAAGGTTACAGATCTTACCAACAAACTTACTACAGCTCGTAAGAAAGCAACAGAAACTGAAATTGCAAGAATGAAATGGCAAGAAGGTGAAAAGGCGACACGACAAAAAATCTCTGATTTGGAAAATGAGATTGAAGAGCTCAAACAAAAAATGACGGCAAAAGAATCATCCTTAAAAGAAGAAATTGATCAATTACAAAAAGAAATCAATAGCTGGAGAGAAACTGACCAAAAGATCAAGTCTGAATTGAAAAAAATTGAAAAGGAAAAACAAAGCTTGGAACAAGTTATCAAAAAGGAAAATGTTAACAGAAAAAAGAGTGTAATGGTTATGCATCAAGTACAACAAGTTCAAGAAAGTAATAATTTGATTTTGAGAAATGAGTTAGCTCAAGCTAGAGAGAGAATTGAATATTTGGAGCGTGAACTAAAAAAAATCGGTGGACCAGGTATGAAAATATCATCCAGATCTCAAACAATCTCCCCATCATCACGCAGTCCTATGACTCCAACTAGTGAATCTTCCTCACAAAGTCTCCCAACAACAGCTCCTAAAAAACTGGATGACAATTCCCAGAAAGACCTTAGACAAAAAGAGATTCAATCCAAGAGACAATCTGTTCTAATTAATAAGAATGCAATGCAGGCACTTCGAGTAAACATTCAAACAGAAAAACCAAAACAAGAGATCTCCTCCCCAACAGAAGATATTCATGATGATGCAGATGAAGAAGAGTACGGAAAACAATTCGCATCCAATACATATGATCCACACCAAGCAAACGAAACGACCATGTCGGAAAATGTGAACCCCAAAATAGACAAATCAGGATATCTCTTTAAGAAAGGTCCGAAAATCAATATTTTCAAAAAGAGATTCTTTAAGATTGAAGGTCATAATCTAATATATCAAACGGATAGTAAGGATTCCAAAGCTCTTGGTTCAATTGATTTGAGAACAGCTCTCACTGATATTGCTCCTGAAAAATCGAGTAATAAGAGAAAATATGTTTTCAGAGTAGAAATTCCAGGAAGAACCTACTTTATGTCAGCACCATCCAAAGAAGATAGAGATGAATGGGTTATTTCTTTGAGACATGTCATTCAAAAACTGAGCAATGAAAATAGTTTTTAATAAAAACGAAAACTTCACTACTGTATTCCAAAAAGCAACATGACGCTGTTATTACCTTTGGCAAGCATGTCTGTGTCCTGTAAGGGATTTCATAATGTGCGTCTTTAGTTTTAAAAAAAATTGGACTCTTGAATGATCATTCCTCTCACTCATTTTGACAATGTGATTGTTTGTGGTTCTAACAAACATTCACAACTTGCCCTATTTCCATCACAAATGCAGGAACTTGAACAATTTTCAGACCAAACAAAATCATATTTTGATTACATTCCGATTGACGTTAGCAAATTAATGAAGTCCGGTAGTGAAGAAGAAATTATTCAAGTTTGCATTGGTTTAACGTTTACATTATATTTGTCCTGTAGGTTAATAAGTCATTTAGACAATTTTGTGACAAATGTTTTCCTGTAGCATACTCACGTGTTTATTGTTGTTGTGGAGATGAAGAAGTTCATTCCCTATTTGATAGGTCAACCTTTACAATTATTTGTGCCCAAGTGCCTAATTTTAGATGGATACACTTTTTTGAACTATTGAAAAGAGATGGCATTTTTGTATCAGAGATATCATGTGGAGCAAGACATTGTCTATTTTTCATGTCCAATCATGAATTATATGTATGTGGATCCAATGAGTTTGGGCAATGTGCACAACCTAAACCACTCGAAAGAATTGTAATTCCTCTCAAAATAACAATGAAATCATTTCCTTATTCACCATTTCATTCTGAGGATCCACTTAATTCAAGGAAGAGGAAAAGAACAGAAGAAAATGAGAGTCTTTTATCAATGATGGAAGACAATATCTCTTCGAATATTATCAAAGTTAAATGTTCATATGATTATTCTGTTATCCAAACTACGGACGGAAGGGTTTTTGCAACTGGAGATAATGGTGAGTACAATAACTATCACAATGACTGACAAACCAAGAGTACAAACAAATAACTAATCGCGATATGACTGACAAACTCTTTGGATTTACACCTGTGTATTTTAGAAATTTAAAACAAGAGGAATATTTAAACATTAAGGATATTATTACAATGGACAGCTACATTTTAGCATTAACTCATTCAGGATATTTGTATATTAATGAAGGAGGTACAACATTTACAGATATGGGGTTGAATGTTGACTATTTCAGTAATCCAAGTAATTTAATTGTAAATATTTTTGCAACCTCCTACTCATTCTTTATACGGACGAGGTCTGGTGAGGTTTATTATGTAGAGCAAGGACTCTCAAAAATGGTAAAATCGAGTTTATTATCATTTAAAAGTTTTAATCCAAGTGCTGGGAGATATCATTTGGCTTCTATATCGACGAATACTCATGATTATGGATTATTTGAGGTTATTGGGTATAATAAGGTTAGTTGTATGAGGTAGTGAATAACATTAACATTATTTACAAAAGTTAGGAAATTTGGGAATTAAAACCAGCACAGAAACTGTTAAGGAAACAATATCAGTACCCAAAGTATCTAAATGGATCCAATGCAAGGATATGAGAACATTCGATTATAGGATTGCCGCTAACTTTTTCAATACCATAGTTTATCGAGTCAAAAAACCTGAATTAGTTTCAGTCGAGAGATTTAAAAGGTTACTCTTCTCCTCTCTCATTAATGATCAATATGTGAAAGAAACTCAAAATATTCATAATCCATTCTTGGAAATGTTTAATGAATATTCAAAAAGAATTATTTCAACAAGAAACTTTCACGATATTTCAATTCTTACCACAGATGGATTTTTAACTACTAGTACCTTCCACAATAGTGAATACAAACTTGTACAGCCAACCAATAATGCAAATTTTCAGCTTGCCTAACTGTGACTAACTATCAAAATATTTTCGATAAAATTGAGAAGAATGTTGAAAAAGTAAGTTGATCATTTACCTGATATTGAAAAATAAGTATTGTATGCAAGATTAATTCTACAAACAAATAATTCAATCTGACACTTAGTAAACTTGTTATAATTTATTTAACTTGTCCATAATCTGATTGTTTTATCTGACCCAGCCGTGAACAGCCAAGGTTGAATTGGGTGGAACTTACAATCCAAAACACCCAAATGCGATCTCTTCTTGTGTCCTCTCAAAATTTTAACTGGAACAATTTGAGTTTCTTTTGTCCAATCGTCTGTATAGACTTGTCCATGGAAAACATTTGCTGTGGTATCATCCGAGCAAGTAGCAAATAATGGATATCTTTTGTGGAAGTCTACATTTCTAATAGCTCGAGTGTGGAATCTCATTGTCTTGTAAGGGTGAGATGAGATAGCCAAGTCAAACCATTCCATTCTTTCATCAAAACCACCAATCAATACATGTTCTCCTGAAGGATGGATAGCAATGGATGAAACATAATTACACTTTTGTCCCTTCAACTTCTTTGAAAGTCTTTGTGTTTGTAAATTATAAATTCTCACCATAGATGTGGAAACAACGTAAAAATGTGGTTTCTTTGGGTGGAATTGAACCTTGATGAACTTTTGGGATGCATTCCTAACTTTAACATTCTCCTTGAAAACCTTTTGTGTGGAACGGTGAGACAATTGATGAACAAGAACACCTTGAGAGTAAGAATTTGGAGCTAAAGAAGAAAAATAGTCACCCTTTTGATGCCAAGTAACTTGTGTAACACGAGATTTGTGAATAATTTGACACATTATACCATCTCTTCTTTTCACTGTTTCCATATCTTGATTATTGCCACGATAGAATTTCCAAGTTACTAATTTGACTCTTCTTCCTTTTCTTGATTTTCCTTCGATATCACGTTTGTCTTCTTCGTCCTTCTCTTCTTCATCTTTCTCAGTTTGATCTTCTTCTCCTTGTTCTTCCTCATCGTCTGAAATGTCATACTCGTCACCATTTTCATTTTGGAAACCTCTATCAGGGAAAAGCTCTTCAGTAAGTTCATTTGTAATTTCATTACCTGACTCTTCTGGCTTGATTAAAAATACTGAGCTACCAACAGCCACAGCAAATAAATTGAGTTTGGCATTTGGGTTCCACTCAACCCATTTTGGTACGTTTTCAATATTGCCATCAATACCTACACGTTGAGGCTTCTTATCATTTTCTTCCTCATTGTTGGACTTGCTATCGGTTGTTATGCCCAAATTGTAATGTAAAAAGTTCCAAACTCTTCTGCAACGTCCAGTATCAACCTCCCACAATCTGACAGTACCATCTTCATCAGAACATGAAACTAACCATTTTCCGGACGGATCAACGCTGATTGATCTTACCATTCCTTCGTGACCTTCATAAATTAGAGATTGAATTTCAGGATAAGGTCTCAACTCTTCTGGCTTTGGTAGTTGTGGTAGTAATGTATCAGGATCTTCAACAAAGTTCTTCTTTTTCATTGGTTGTACACGAGGTGCAAGATATAAATCCATACATCTTTCAAAACGTTCTTGAATGAATTTGTCATAAACTGGTACGCTTCTCAAAGAATCATAAATCTTGTATTTGAATTCCTTTCCCTCTTTAGCTTTTTCAGGAATATATTCTGGTGGTGGGTTATAACTCAAATTGTGACCAGGTAATTTCTCCTTTGGTGGTGGTAAAATACCAATACGTGAAATCTTCTCTCCTAGAATTTGTCCATCTTCTCCCCACATTAAATATACCTTATCCTTCTTTGGTTTCACTGTTTCTTGGTTCATTAATGCTGGATTTCTCTTATATCTCAAAGCAATCTTTGAAATCATTTTCATTTCAGATTTGTTTGGCAAAAACTTTGACTTAGCTACTGGGTTACCATACATAGGGAAACGAGAATCAATCTTGACATATTCCTCATAATCCTTGTATGGATTGTATCCTGGTGGGAATTGTCCTTTCACTCCAATATTGATAATAGTTTCTAAATCTTCATTGGAAAGAACATGTTCCTTATCATTGTATTCATCGTAGACTGTACGTAAATAATTAGGATCATCATGTTTAGCAATTAAATTATCCAAAGCATCCTTTTGTTTCTTTTTTAATATTTTGTTTCCACTACGGTCGTATCCAATATGGTCATACTCTTCGTACCATTCTAATGGAACATTACCAATAGTATTTATCATTCCTTCATCTTCACTACTATCATCACTGTCATGAACATCAGCAAATAATGATTTTTCTTTGGTTTCTCTTGTTTGATTTTTAGACTTTTTTTGCAATGACTTCTCGTACCAAGAATCCTCAAGTTCATCATTAATGGAGGTCAAGTTTGTAAAGCTTTCAAAAACTTTAACGTCTTCTTCGTCGGAAGACTCTTCCTCTCTTTCAATGTCTTCTTCTTCTTCTTGATCAATTTCTATTTCTTCATCACTAATATATACATCATCATCGTCATCAGCACTGAGTGTGGTTGCTGTATTTGGATTGCTGGAATCTTCTTCATCAGAAGAATCATCTTCCTTCATTGTTATTTTAGGCAATTCCTTGACAGAAGAAGCTGTTTTAGTGAATCCGTATCTTTCTGGATTTTCTTCTGCCTTGTTCTTTTTTTCGTTCTCTTCATCATTTGTTGAAGAATTTTTAGACACCAATTGTCTCTTTTTCATTTTTTTCGGAATCATAAAAAATTTAATTTTAAAACGACTTCAACAATTTATTGAAGCAGTGAAACAAAATATTCTTGAAGAACATGTTATTTATTTACAAAATTCTTCGGATGGAGGAACCTCTGGTATTTTTCCAATGTGAAAAGTTGAGGCACCAAAAGCATGTTTGTCATCATTTGTTAATTGCCCAAAGTAATTATTAATTAGCTTTTCGTTCACTAAATTGTCATTTGTAATGTGGAATAAATCATTGAACTTGTCTGTGAGTTGCTCAATCAATGTTTTATCCTTAACAACGGTCATTGTTTCTTTGGCATCTAGGGCTGCAGACATTGGAGCTGCAGATTTTTGTACAGTAACTTTGGTGAATGTATTCGAATATTTGTCACTTTTTATGGAAGGATCAAATTTAGGGGCTGTATTGGGTTGTGGAATGATTTGACTGACAAATCCACCAGTTCCAGTTACATTACTTTTTAATGTTGAAGTAGTGGCTGTTGATGTTTTTGTAAATGTGCTCGAATTTAATGAATTATTAGTAGGATTCAAAGATGGTTGATTAAATCCTACAGTAGATTTTGGGAGTGAAGGATTTGATTGAGGAAGACTCATTGTAGCTACTTGAGTAAAGCCTCCTGTACCCGCAACTGAGTTATTGGTGCCAACAATACTATTTGCAAATGATCCAAATCCTGAAGAAGTGGATGGATTGCCAAATTGTGATCCTGATGAAAAAGATCCGAATCCGCCTCCAGAAGATGAATTAAAAACTCCTCCATTATTATTGTTTGTTCCAAATCCACTATTTGTAGAAGAGGCTCCAATACTAGCAAAAGATGATTGACCAAAGCCACTTGTGGTTGACTGTTTAGTCAATGATGCAAATGAACTCGATCCAAAACCCCCACTTCCAGGCACTGAAGTTGAAGAATTTGTTGTAGAATTGCCAAACCCTGAACCACTCCTACTACTGTTGAAGGAGGAAGAACCAAATGTACTACTACCAAATCCTCCTATATTATTATTTGATGGTGCAAAGGATGTTGTACCGAAAGAGGATGCACCGAAGGAAGTAGCTGGCTTATTGCTTGTTGTACCGAAAACTGAAGAAGATGTTCCAAAAGTATTGTTAGACCCAAACGAGGAATTGGCTATTGTATTTTGTTGTGCTTGTAGAGTATAATTTTTTGGTTTTTGAGCATCGTAGTAACCTGATGAATTATTGTTGGTGTTTGTGTTGTTCTTATTATTGTTGGGGGTGTATCCCTTGTTGTGGCTCTTCTTGTTGGCCATTTTTTTCTATTTTTATATGGTTGAACGATATTAATAATTCCACATTGTTGTTTACTCATAAAATAAAAACGTTGGGAAGGTGCAATAAACAAGAGGTCATTAAATATATGGCATCATTCTTTATTCCATTCCTAGGGAGCTCCAAAATTTTCTTGCTACAGTACTATCTGTGTGTCTCTTTGAATCTAATCTACTAATATACAGTTTTTCGACATTCCAGTTTTGAGTATTTTGAGGCAAAGCTTCTCCTTCATAGGCAAGTGTAAAGCCTTTCTTTTTGGAGAAGATAATAGAAGGGTCTGTAGAAAACCAATTATTGCTATCTTTAAATTGCCAGAGTTGACCAATTGTGAAAATGGCTACTACTCTCTCCCAATCATTCTTATGAAGGTTCTTAGTGGTGTCCAATACAAGATATTGAGTTCCTGTCTTGGCGTGTTTGATAATAACTTCCTTAGGTTTTGGTGTGGTTGGATCAATATTTTTCTTCTTTTCGTCTGTCGAAACAAAAGCTCCTCTTTGAAGGAAATCCTTAATGTTATAGAGTGTCAAAAGAGAGGATCTGCCAGGAGGAAGTAAAATTATTGGAAGAGGCTTTTTAACTTGTTTAGAAGTACTTGGAACTGACTTTTTGATTGTTTCATCAATATTTGTGGAGAATGTATTATTTGTGGTGGAAGGTGGGGCTGAAGTATTGTTACCTGATGAAAGTGGCTCAAGGACCGGATCAGATTTCATCATCATTGACCCTGTAGTATCAATTTGAATTTCATTCATAATGTCTTCATTACCAAATTCGGAATTCCACAAATTTCTTTCGTTAAATGTACCCTTAATTTTCAAATTGAGCTTGGCATTTTCCTGAGAATATCCTTGTTGTTTTGCTAATTGTTCTCTCTCGATTCTCTTTTGTTTTTCATCCTTCTTGTGTTGTGTGAAATGAGTTTTACATCTTTTAATATTCTCCAAATAGCTTGTAAAATAGGATAATTGTTTAGTATTTTCCCCTTTCTTGTCAACAAATTCTCTTTCAATTTGAGTTTGTGTAATTCTGGTACTAAATGGAATTTCCTTGTTATTAATATAATTTAAAACTTGTGGTCTATCAAACTCTAAATATGGTAAAAAAGGCTCTGTGTTTACATTACTAATATCATCCGTCAATGAATTAGATAAAAACTTGATAAATTCTAGCTTTGACTCTTGTTCTTTTTCTCCAAATTCTTTTTCAGGAATTGTAATTTTGGTATAATCAAAGGGTTTCAACCTTTTCTTGTCATCGTCATTTGTTGATTCTCTCTTTCTCTTTGTTTGTTTAACTTCTCCGGTTGTTGAAGTTTTGAATAGGCTTGTGTCTTGAACATTGAAGTAACTTTTCAATAAGTTTTTAATACCAATGTTTACAGGGTTTAGGTTGGCTTCCTTACACTGCTTCAAATATACGGAATAGTCGTCATTAATACACTTCAAACAAATCCAGACTTGGCCAAGTGTTAGAGTAGAACTTTGGAATTTTACCTGGCCATTAATTGGATATTGTTTTTCACCAAATATGATATTGGTATTGTCATTAATTATTGGAGTGTTACTTTTGATAGTGTTGTTCAATTGCTCAAGAATATCATCCATTTTGTCTTTAGTATTTGTTGATCAACAATAATAATAATTGATGACTGGGAAGAAGAATACAAAAAGTAAATTTTTTTTTAAAATATTATTAATAATTTAATTAGATGTTTTTAATAGAACCAAATCTTCATCCAACATTAATAATGAAAGCAAGACACAAGGAAGAAAATTAATAATTTATTTCTCAGTTTTGTAGGAAGAATATTAAATGTAAAAATCCCTTAATCATTGAAGAAGGAGGAAGCTAACAAACAATCAAAAAAATGTCCATCAGACACCACGCAGACCTAATCCTTTGCCGCAAACAACCTGGTATTGCCATAGGCAAACTTTGCAAAAATTGTGATGGAAAATGTGTCATTTGTGATTCCACTGTAAGACCACAAACAAAAGTACACATTTGTGAGGAATGTAACTATGGAAGTTTACAAGGAAAATGTATTATTTGTGGAGGAAAGGGGGTTTCCGATGCCTATTACTGCAAATCTTGTGTTTTACAAGAGAAGGACAGGGATGGATGCCCAAGAGTAATTAATGTCAGTCAAGCTAGAACAGATTTACATTTTGAAAAGAAGAAATATGTACAAGGGTCTAATCTATAGATTAATCGAATCTTCTTGACATTTTAGATTGTGGTGTTGACAGTGTATTATTGGAAGGAGGAATAGTCACCGAAGGAGCATTATTACCAACTACTGTATTTTGTTGTAAAGTGGGTGGATTTGAATTAGTTGCTCCCATTTTCAATGAGTTTATCATTTCTGGAGGAATAAAATCCATTAGTCTTGAATTATTTACCAAATTATAAGCAGCATCATCTTGTAAATCTCTTTCCTGTTGAATAGTATTTCCCATTTTTGCAAGAGTTTCTTTCAACATATTACTAAATTCAACAACCATACTTTGCATTTTCTGTTTTTGTTCTTCAATTTCTCTTTGTTTTAATTCAATAATTTGATCTTTTTCCTTCTTAACTTCATGAAGAGCAACTTTAGCAAGATGTAACTGATCTGCTAAAGAGGTATTCTTTTGCTCACTCGTATTTAATTTTTCAATTAAAGTTTTTTGCAGAGCTTTGTATTGTCTAATCATGTCCGAGGCAATATGAAATCTTTCCATCTTTTCCTTTTCAAAATCTTCATCCAATTGAGATAATTTTGACTTCATTTCCATCTCGGAGGCTCTTGCCTTTTGCGTTTGTTCAGATCTTAATACCATATACCTTTCTAACGTTTCAATGCGTAGTTTTAATTTTTTAATTTCCTCCTTTTGTTCCTGTATTAAGTCAGCATCTGTTTTCTCTCCAGGTTTGCTGTTTTTGTTTCCCTTTTGATTTTTGCTAGGTGTTTTAGAAGACATTGTTTGAAATCAATTTTTTTGAAAGAAGTGATTGAACAATAAAAATAAAGGCGGGAGAGATACCAGGACAGTTTGTAGAGTCAGTTTAAAATTCTGTTACATTTTTGGCGGGAACATAACTACAACAACAAAGAAAAAAAATGACGGAAATACAATCAAAGGGTTCTGAACAGTCTTCAAAGACAATAATGTTCAATGTTTGTAAGAATGAGTACGGAACACCTAAAAACAACTTACAAAAGCTCTATAAAAAACTAAGGATGGAATATAAAACGATAATGTAAGTGATGATGACAATACAATTTCTAAAGAGTCCTGCAAATAGCAATGAAGAGGATTTTAACCTTGAAAAATTAAAACAAGCGGATTTGGTAATATTTTGTGGCCCTAGGTTGAAGTTTACAGAGCAAGAGGTACGTAAATTAATTTGGAATTTTCATACCCAACAATTGTAGTTTGCTGCCATAGGACAATATATTAAAGAGGGAGGAAGCGTGCTATTCCAATTAGGAGAGGGAGGTGAACCAAGATTTGAAACTAATATTAACTATCTTTTAGAAGAATGGGGTGTTTTCATTAATTCCGATACTGTGATCAGAACATCCTTCTTTAAATATTACCATCCAAAGGAAGTTTGTGTACAAAAGGGTGTGCTTAACAGATCAATTAATAGAGAGGCTGGTAAAGGAAACGATCTTGGTAGTGATTTATCAGATCCAAACTCTCACCTTACATTCGTTTATCCATATGGAGCCACTTTAAATGTTGAAAGTCCATCAACTGCCATTCTTGCTTCTGGGCATATTTCATATCCTGTTAATAGACCTGTATGTGCCTTTTATTCCTCCAAAAATGACAAAGGGAGAGTAGCTGTTATTGGAAGTGTTCATTTATTTGATGATAAGTGGCTGGAAAAAGAGGAAAACTCAGTTCTTCAAGATGTAATTTTCAAATGGCTGTTGTTTGGATTTGATTTGAATCAGATTGATGCAACTTCACCAGAAGTTAATGATTATCAATTCCTTCCTGATTCCAAATCACTTTCTGAAAAGGTTAAACCATGTCTACAGGAGAGCGAGGAGCTGCCCATTGATTTTACAGAATTGTTTGTGGACAAGATGTTTAAATTTGATACTGATTTGATACCTGAGGCTGTTAATTTATATGCTCAACTTGGTGTGAAACATTCACCTCTTACTTTGATTCCACCTGCTTTTGAAACTCCATTGCCGAGTTTAAGACCTGCAGTTTATCCTCCTTCACTTCGAGAATTTGCCCCTCCAGAAATTGACCTTTTTGATTTGGATGAACAATTTGCCTCTGAAGATGTTCGTTTGGCTCAACTCACTAACAGATGTACAGATGAGGATGCTGATTATTTTATTCAGAAGGCTGGAGAAATTGTTGGTGTTACCAAATTATTGAAATCTGAATATTCTTTCAGTGCAAAACATATTCTTGAATTAATGTTTAGACAGATAGTGCAATTCAAGAAGGTTAATCCAAGTAATGAAGACATTTTGCCATCACATTTGAGGCACAATAAGGTTCTTCCAAAGTTGGCAAAAAATATTGAAACCATATCAAACCCTGTAACAAATCCTCCAACACCAATTTCTTCTCCACTCAGAGGAGGAAATTTGAGTGATGATGAATATGTAGATTAAAGATGTTAAAACTGTTTTAATATTACACTTATCCAACTTTGTATCTTTATTAATAATTATTGCTATTTTGCTATTTTCGTTTCAAAGCAGAAAAAATTCTTTTTTGGTCTTGTTGGTTATTAATATTTTGGCTTAAGACTCTTTAAAAAAAATGCGTACACCATACATTGGAGGAAACTGGAAGTGCAACGGAACTGTTGAATCAATCAAACAACTTGTCCAAGATTTAAATCAAGGACCTTCAACTGAAGGAAAAGTTGAAGTTATTGTTGCTCCATCATCTATCCACATTGGTCTTGTTCAATCACTTAACTTGAGAAAAGATTGGAAGATCAGTGCTCAAAATATTGTTCAAGAAAAGAACGGTGGAGCCTTTACTGGTGAAATCAGTGCTTCAATGTTGAAGGATTTAGGTATCGATAGTACTCTTCTTGGTCATAGTGAACGTCGACATGTTTTTGGTGAGTCAAACACTGTTATTGCCAAGAAGGTAAAGGTTTCAGAGGAAGTTGGCTTGACAATTATTGGATGTGTTGGTGAAACTTTAGAAGAAAGGGAAAGAGGAGAAACCAATCAAGTCATTACCTCACAATTGAAGGATTTCAATGTTACTAATTGGGACAAGTTTGTTATTGCTTATGAACCTGTATGGGCCATCGGAACTGGTAAAACAGCCTCTCCTCAACAAGCACAAGAAGCTCACAAGGTTTTGAGAGATTGGTTGGCTGATAATGTAAATTCCGAAGTTGCTCAAAAAGTCAGAATTATCTATGGTGGTAGTGTAAATAGTGCCAACTCTGATGAACTTATTAAGCAACCAGATATTGATGGATTCCTTGTTGGTGGTGCATCCCTCAAGAGCAAGGACTTCTTGTCAATTGTTAATTCTGGTTTGAAAAGTGTCGAATGACTCAATTTAAGACAAAGTAAATTGTAATTTAAATTTTATTTACAATAGCTTCACATAATTTTTCATATTCAGAGCTGGTAGTTAAGGTTATTAGAATAATAACAAATAATGCTCTACTTACTTATTTTTGTGTTTAAACATGTTGAGGAAATTGAATCTGTAATCTTTGTTTTCCTTTAGGATAGTACTTAGTACACCAACATCACAAAGGAGGGTTGCAATAAGGAGAGCATAGCCAATTGTTTCTCCTTCAACAAAACATTCTAATAAATGCTCTAGATCATTTTTCAAATCTGTTGTAATATATAATAGGTTTTGAGTGGTTGTAAAATATTCATGATTCAATAAGTGTTCGTTTTGTTTGGTATCTAACATATTGTTGACGGCTGACTTGTTGGCTCTTGGAATGTTGAAGGATTTGTGAATTTTGGAGAACATTTCCTCCCATGAGGGAGAATCTTCAATAAGTGTGGATGGGAATTTACCAGACTTGAGTTTCTCTCCATCTTGTAACCATTTCTTCAAAGATACAGTCTTTATGGATCTCTCCAATTGGAGTAAGGCAAATAGATCACAACTTGTCATTAGTTCTCTCATCTGTATGGAAATGATACTTTCTACAATTGGATTATCTTCTTTCTCGGACATTTCAGTATTATCTTCAGCCTTTTTCTCCTCTTCTATTAAATTAATGAAACGCAAAATGTCATTTGCTAATTCAAACTCTAATTGTGAGAGAGTAATGGTCAAGACTTGATATGAAAACTTCAAAACTTGATCAATACCTTCGGTGTGTTGTAATATTTTCAACATGTTAGCAGCTGAGTGTACGGATTTTTTATGGATGAAACTCTCAAACATAGCTAGAGGAGACTGTGGCAAACATTTGAAAATCTTGTCCCAATGTACAATATCTGTTTTTCTCAAACAATTAACAACAATATCTAAAAGTGTTATTAATAATTTGTAATAAAGCTTACCATTAAATTGTGAAAAGTGGTGCAAGAAATTTACAACTTTCTGGAGGGAATCCCTCATATCTACTTTTACAAATTTGTGGTCCTCTTGTAATTTTTCAATTGATAAATAACTAGAGCTATCTGTACTTCCCAAAGCACAATGTAGCATCCATTCCAAATTAGCAGTGAAGGAGGCCATTGGAGAATTTTGAAAGGCAGGTAAATTCTTGGTAAATGAAACCAACTTTTCATGATCCTCTTCCGAAGACTCAATCAAAAATCCTAATAAGAGGCCATGTATATAGGGGTACATTTTTGGTTGCATTTCATAATGAGGAAACCCCAGAGGATTTTCAAGAAACAAAATTTCACGACCACTAAATCTATGAGGAGAAAGATCTGAAATTTTGGTGGAAGACTTCTTCTTTTCTATAGGAGCACAAATTCTTTGTTTAACACTTTCTGATATTTGTAAAAAAACTCCAAACTCTTTTAACATTCCAATTGGCACACCCTCTGTATCGAAAGGGATTATATTTTTGACCTTGACATGGTTTAATTTTGGTAATTGTGAAAGATCTACAATTGATAAATCAGTTCCTCCTCTGCTCATTTTTCCATTAAAGGTAAAATAAACCATATTATCACCAAACGATTTTTCTGTGTCAATCCAAATACCGTCAACTCCCCTCTCTAAGATGAGTTCCATTCTTGAACCATGTAATCTGAAGGCGCCAATATCTCCATTCGTGTGTAAAAATATTAATCTGGTTGATGAGAGTAATTTAGTATTTTCAGAGGAATTGATACTACACCTAGAATGGCAAGAAACACTAATCATAGACTTTGGAGGTATTGAATGAAATTTAGACATGTCTATCACTTCAAGCTTTGTTAATGATACAGAAATACTATTATTATTACCATAGTCAATTGGGCATGTATAAATGTGTAGTGTCATTGATTCATCGTACATAAAAATCAAATGTACTAATTTCATTTGATTTTCTGTAATTCTTAACAATACAGATGTAGTATCAATAAAAAGAATATTTGAATTTGTAATTATACGCTTCTCTAATCTTGTTGTATCACTCAAGTGATGTTTTGGGTAGAGAAGTAATTCACTTTCACCAAGGTCATTTCTAGAAACAATTGCCAATACAATATTATCAATCCAAACCATTCCAATACAATTAATACAATACTCTTGTTCAAGATTTCCAAACATTCTCCACTTTTTAACATTTCCAGAATAAATTATACATCCTTTTCTTCCAGATAATGCTAAAGAATTACCATCAGGACTTGTAGCAACATTTTCTATAGGATAATTGAAACCAAGATAGGAACGAGGTATTTCAAGAGGTTCCCAGTCAGCATTTACAAAATCAGTTCCAGAAGACATGTGAAATCTCAGTAATTTTTCGCTTGTTTGAAGTACAACCTTAGAATTTTTACTTTGTGCAAAATTATTGGATAGAATACTCTTACAAAAAGTAAAATCAGCAAGGGTACTAGTACCATTAGAAACAGCAACGAGATGGCACCCGTCACTATTCCAAACAAGTGATCTGACACCAGATCCGAACGGTTCAATAAGCTTGTTTTTAGAAACATGTGTCTGATTGGTTTGAGACAGAATACTACATGGTTCAATTCAATTGGTAAAAAAGTACTCACCTTTGCATTTCCTTTTCTGAAAATTGGGGTAAAGTTGTCATTATACAAATACCTGAAATGTGAAAAACAGCAAATCCCCTCTTACTGAATCCCACAGCTACCACTAAGCCATCATGGGGGCTGAAACATATGGATGCAACTGATCCAAGTTCTTTTCGTGTAGAAAAATACAGTTGTTAACATGATAGATTCATTACTAACCTTCATAGGTGAATCCTCTGTAGGCTAAAGAGAGACGAGATCTTTCAGTCAATTGATTGTTTTTTGCAATTTCAAAGAGAATAACCTGACTATTTTTACATCCAACAGCCAATAGATTATTTGCCTTATTAAATTGAACGCATACAGCCTCAAGATTTTCAATAACTCGAAGAGTTCTAAGATTTTGTAAATCCATTGTCTTTTCTGAAATAATTATTAAAACTGCACCCAATTCTAACACAATAGCAAAAATATTATTATTGGTATTATAACTAAGGCTTTTGATAGACTTGATGAGAGAAATTCAACTCAAAATGTTATGAGAAACCTACAAGTAATCTGTCATCTTGCTCCACTAGTTTTTTTGATGTTGATGATAATTGTTGTAAAATAAAATCCGAGCCAATGTATTGGGAAAAGTTTTTTGATTTGCTCTTTTCAAATTCAGTTTTTGTAAAAAGTAAACCTCCAGTATTTGTTCCAATTATAATTCCAGTTTTTTTGTCTGATGCACATATCCCACCAATATTTCCATATTCACATTCCAACTCGGCATACTCGGAAATGTTTAATTTCTCATGAAAAGATGATGTATTATTTGTTCTTTGTTTGATATATTCTTGTTCATAGGAAGATCCAGATTGAACGGAATGTAGTTGATATCCACTTATTTTAAAAACAAGTACTGAATTATTTGAAAGAGATACGATGAGTAGGGAATAGGAAGGGAATATCTTCCACAAAATATCGGCTTTTGGTAAATATTTTACCTTTGCTCTATATTCTAAATGGTAACCATCCTATTTTCATTAAAATTGAATCACCATTTGCAAATAATTACCTGTTCAATTGTCCAAATAGAAATGTGTTTAGATGTTGCTACTGCCAACAAGGGTAAATTTTCGTTAAAAGCAACCCCACATATTTCCTCGTTTTCATCTATCCTGTCCACACATTTGATTGTGTTAACCCAACCAACAGGAAAGTGTACCATTTTTTTGATGATTTTTCATCACTTTCAAGAATGGTCCAAAAAACTGTGAGCTCATCCTACCTATAATTGATTTAAAAAATTCGCGGTCTACAGGATTCGAACCTGTGCGGGTCGCCCCAATTGATTTCTAGTCAATCACCTTAACCACTCGGTCAAGACCGCTTCATGATGGCAAACAAACTAAAATTAATTGGTGAAAGGTATGAATTTTTACTTTTAATCGATTGACAGATTCAAGTCCCTTCTCCAGTGTAGGGGAAGTTTGCATTGTGTAATGAGTGCTAAATATTTGATTTTCTCTTTGCCTGAAATCATATTCTGTGAAAAACAATAATCAATAAATGAAACCAGTTTGGTGTTGATGAGTTGGTGAACAATTTGATGGGCCAGTTTTTCAGAGCCATTTAGTGGTGGGTAAATTTCAAACCAAGGAAGTACGGATTCTGATATAATTGAAATACATTGTCTTACATATTCATCCACTAGACCAATGTCTTGTACTATTGAAGGGAATTTGAAATTATGTACAGTATTACATAATCTCTCAGTGATGGTCTCCATTATTTTTTTGTCTTCATTTGTGTTGGTAGGACTGGATAGTAAATACACTTTGTACTCTTTTACTATTTCTATAGCATTTCTGGTTTGAGTAAAGTCCATAGGATTGTAAATTTTAGATAAAGTATGCTGTATAAAAGGAAAGATGGTTTTTCTAATAATTTCTGGTAAAATTGTTTCCTCATCAATCTCATTGTTTTCACCGTAGTTAAAGAGCGTTTTCCAAAATTCAAATACTGAAAATGATGTACATAGTAATGGGCTAACAGACCAGGAAGGTAATTGGCCCTCAATATTTTTCATTTCACCAAAACTGATAGGGGAACCAGTAGTAAACAATTCATATCTTGAAAAGATTGAAAACATTTTTTGTAAACAAAGGCTGCAATATGTATCCCTATATAGGGAAGGATATTTGGATTTCCAACCCTCAAACCGAGTTTTCAGTAAAGTTAAACTATAATAATCCTCATCCACATCGTTGAAAACAGTTTTCATTTTTTCAACTAGTATTGCCACTTCCTGTAAAAATCTATCGTAGGTTATTTCTACTGTTCCATCTCCGCCAAAAGAAGCTGCACGCTCATATTGATCTTCTCTGTAAGCTGTTATGAAAGAAGCATGTCCATGAAACGACTTTTCAAATAACTGTCTGTAATATCGCTCTTGTATGTCCAATATTTGAGATTCTATTATTTCAATCTCAGGAAGTTTTGTATCTAAAAGGTCCGATAAGTTGTCGGTAAATCTTCCCATTTCTTGGAAGTACTCATATTGTTCCTTGTATTGGTCTATATCTTCATTTAATTGAGAAAGATTCTTGGCGCAATGTTCGATATCGGTATTGGTATCTAAAACAACCTTCATACAGCCAGAATGAGAAATTTCAAGTTCTTTCATTCGTTCCAATAATTGCTTTTCTACAATTTCAAAAGATTCTATAAGCTTGGTATCATTCTTTGAATCAAATCTATTAATGGATTCCTCTAACATTCTACTTTCTTCAATCTTTAGCATTGCTTCTTTTTCTACTTCTTCACTCGATTTGAATAAATTATTTTGTGTAAAAATTGTGGAAGAGTTTTCTGGAAGATACAAGCCTGCATTTCTCATTTGTTTCATTTCAAAATCAGTGATTTCTTTGTTTTTTTCTTCATCTTCAATAGATTCGGTATCATCCATCTCAATTTCTCCATATGATTCTTTTTGATCTCCCTTATTCCTATCATCGTTAGGTTTTCCAAACATAATTTTTGATTCCTTCCAAGATTCGAACACTTCTTCATCCCTGTTAATAATTTCATCTATATTATCTTCAAAATCATCATCTCTCACCAATCTTCCCTCATCTAGATTTTTATGTAAAACAATGTCTCCATTTTTCATAACTATTGAATAATTACTGTTGTTGGAAAATCCTAAACCGGGTTTATCCGGCATGTATTCAAGAGGTATGTATTCCTCAGATTCTGAAACTGTACTATTTTCTTGATTATTTCCTTCCCTAATTTTTTTTCTTTTCATCTTGATAGCCTGAATTGTAATATCGTCTGGTATTTCTGTTTGATCTTGATTAGTCATGACATCGTCGACAGTTAAATCCTCATCATTAACATGTACCACTACTGTGGTAACTGTTGGCTCATGAATTATAGGGGTTTCCTGTACATTTCGTTTCCTTTTTTTAAGATCTGAAGTTGAAAATGTTGCATTTTGTTTAGTATTCCTCTTTTCTCTCGGTTGAAATTTCAAAGTTGAGTCTTCTTGCTGTTTATAATTTTCTTGAAGTATTTGCTCATTGTGCATTGATCCATACAATTCAAGAAAATCTATGGTAGTAGTATTGGATTTTTTCGTACTAGATGAAGTAACAGAAACTATTGCTTGCTTCTCCGATAATAAATCGCTAATAGCCCGTTGGTCATTTTCATTTATAACGACACTGCTTTCATCCAACACTGTATTATTGGCACCTTCTTTGCCCCGTTGATTGGAGGAACTCTTCGCAACCCTTTTTTTAATCATTTTTTTTGTTGGTTGAACGTGTTTTTACTTAAAAAATTATATTCATCAAGTTTTATTGGACACTACTTGATAATTATCACAACTAGGATGGATACAACAGTACAACAAGATGTTGCTTCCATAATAGCAGCTTCAAATTGTAGTGGTGTTGGAGGTAATGTACAACAAGTAGGATCATCCTCAAACAAACCCAAGACCAGAAGAGGAAGACCACCAAAGGCACAACAGAAAACAGCTTCCGTTGTATCCTCAAGTCACCTACACAATGTTTTAGAATTTAAACAAACATATTCAAGATTGCTCCGAAAACAACAAGAAATTATGGAACAAAAAAGACCAAAATCTCTATTGGATACCAGTTTAATGTCGATCAATGATTTAATGAATGACCTCAGTGATGACGAAGAAGATATTAGCAGTGGAACAAATCAACAACCTGTTGCAGGTAGTGAAAATTTTAATAATTTAATGGAAGAGGATGAATTGGAAGATATGATGTCAACAACAGCCACACGAACAAATAATAATAATTTATTGATAATACCTCCAGAAAAACAATCACTTAGGGATTTGCTTCAATTCAAAGATTTAGCTATCAAAAAACCAGAGCAAATAATAGAGGAAGCAATACGAAAAGAATTAAAACGAACCAGAGGAATGGAGGATGAAATAGATATGGATGTACCAAATGATGTAAGAAAAGTAATTGATTTTTCTAGAATACCCAAATTTACAACAATTCTGGAAGAGATGGGAGAAAGTACCGAAGGAACTAGCCAACAATGTGTCTATAGTATTACAGAAGAAGCTAAAGTAGAGAATGGGTATTTTTTACCAAAGAGGAACGAAAACTTTATTGCACCTACAGAAGAAGCTAATTATTTTGGAAAATACCACAAAGAGAAGAATGAAAAAGTACCATTGGATGAAGTAGTTCTACAAGTGGCCATTTATCACCCTATTAGAAATACTAAAGTTCAAGAGTTTATGGTTCTGGGAAGCCAAAAACTTACAGAACTAAGGGATTGTATAGATTGTATATCTAATACTGTTTTTGGAGATGTCAATAATTATTTCACATCATCAGCCTATTTATTTATTGAGAATATATTTTACAATGATAGAAGAATTGCAAATAATATTGATTACAGTGAAAATATTATTGAGTGGATGAAAACTTTTGAAGATGGCTCCACATCAAAAGCACATGTATTTTCCTCATTGAAAATGGAGGATGTTTCTTTTTATGATTTATCAATAAGGTTAAACGAGCCTTATATTTATTGTCATCATGGAAACTGTATGCATTATATTGTTTTTACAGAGATGAGAATATTTAACGAGAAGAAAGATGTTAATAACCTATATGCCTACCCTGTCAGATGTTTCCAGGCAAAGCCAAAGAGAAGGAAATGTGGTGTATGTGAAATTTATCAAGCCAAATGGGTAACATTTAGAGACAAGTTCACATCAGATGATCCCTCATTCTTTTGTGATTCATGTTACAGACAATTTCACTATGACCATGATGGTACACTATTATATAATGATTTTAATGTATTTAAATATTATTGCGAGTAAAATTTATTAAATAATTTCTTAATTAAAAAATGAAGCAACAAGATGAAACAAACATCACACCACCACGAGAAACTAGAGAAATCACTACTCGGATAGAACAATTATCTAATCAAATATTGAAAGAGAAAAAAATATGTAATTTTGAAGACTTGAAAAAACAATATCAGTCCCTTCCTAGACTTTCTAAAAAACAGTTTGAACAATTACCAAAAGAACAACGACAAGAATATATTAAAGTGTTGGAAACCATTACTAGCAAACTTTCTGCTAACATTTTATCTATTAATCAAGACATTGAATTTTTATTAAAGGAGAGTCAACATTCAAATCAAGATTTATCATTTATCACATTACAAGCCATGCAAATTGCGATTGATAAGAGAAAATTGATTGAAAGGGAAAGATTTGATAAAATTAGATCAGAATTGGAGCTGAAAAAACCTTTGGATGTGCTTTTTAAACGAATTAATTTCAAATTGAAATGCTATAAAATGGAGAAAGATTTTTTATTAATGGAGATGGAAAAGAAACATTTCAAAGAAAATCAAATGAAAAAATTTGAAGTAATTCCTTTCATATCGAATAATTTTTCTACTTATGTGTGGATTAAAATGATTGTTTTTTTGAAATATTATGACGATGATTGGTTAGACCTTTGTGATACTCGAATTTTATTAGAAAATGGGAATTACTTGAGTGAGGCAAATTGCGTTTTCATAAATTACAAACTCGAGGAATGTCTACTATTCTTAATATGCAATGGAAATGAAAAGGAATATGGAAATATTAAAAGAAGCGAATATGGAATAGATATGGAAATGGAAGGTTTGAGAAAAAAAACAGCAGAACAAGAAAATAGAATCTCTCTATTTAATAAGAATTTACAAGATAATTGGAGCAGTTTAACTGACTTGGAAAAAATTAAATTATACTTAAGAGAGAACGCTAGACAAGATTATGCTGAAATTTTAAAGAAAGCCAAAATTCTGGGATTGGAAGATGAGGAAATAATTGAGCTATTCATTGAAAAAGGGTACGAGCTTTTTTTACCCTCATTCAAGCCTGAAACATTCAGATCAAATATTCCTTTTGCTACTCTGGATCCCATTCTTGAAAATGGATTCCACAATCAAAGTTTGAAATTAGCAAAGAAATGGAACGTTCCAGAGGTAATTATTACTGAGCTGTACAAAAATAAGGCAGACATGGAAAAGAGTATTGTGCATTTATTAGATATATCACACTTTAAGGTTATGTTCTATTCTGAATTGAATATTGAAAGAAGCATGGGATCAACAATTCTAACCCCACTACCAAAATTGTAAAGTCTAAATAGTCATAGAAATGGAGCATTTTGAACAATTCAAACCAGAGAGTGTCTTACTCAACTCTTGAGTCTTTTCAGCAGTTTTTTCGAACTTTACCTCCAAAGCGCTTGCCATTCCATCCTCCTCTGCCAGTCTCTCTCGTATTACCAACAATTTGGATTTTTCCTCCAAGAAGGATGAGACCACATTTTGTGATACTTGATCTGAAAAGTTTGCTTCTACCAACAAGGAATAGTCAATATTCATATCTTGCTCAGTGCGAGCAGCCACTTTTTCTGCACATTGTCTTAACTCTCCTGATAGCAGATCTAATTCCATCTTTTTTTGCTCAATCAGGTCAGCCTTGGAAGAAAGCACAACATCAAAGTCTGCCTCTTCTTTTTCCATGCAAGAGATAGAGCTGGATAACCTTTCTAATTCCTCAATTGGTTCAAATTTCTTTTTCAATTCTTCCCTTCTTTTCAATTCTGTGAACTTCTTCTTTAAAGTTTCTACTTGCTTGATGACATTTCCCAAAGAATTCTCCTTGATCTTTGCTGCAAACCTAATATTGATTTCATAAATTTTTGTTGCCACTTCTCCTCTAATACCCTCTACTTCTCCTTTTCTTTGCTCTAGTTGATTTTGCATATGTCTGAGTCTCTTTTCCGAGTTATCTACAAATACAGAATTACTTACCAGCTTTGATTCCTTCAATAAGAGTTTGACATCATTATTTTGTTGTCTTGTTCCATCCAAATTTACATCAAATTGGAAGATTGATTCACACAAGGCTTGATTCCTTTTCTCCAATTCGTCCATCTCTATCAATACTCTCTCTTTAGCTCTTGAGGATTCATGATGATTACATCTTTCTTGTTCTATCTTTTCCTCTTCTCTTTTATTTAGGCTTTCCAGCTCTTGTATTTGTTGTATGATATGTTCCATTTTGATGTTATTGAGGTTGACTAAAGTTGTTTTTTTTTGATTTATTTTTAAATTGTTTGAGGCAATTTATTCGAAGGCTTTAAATGATGATTATATTTTGAATTTCATATTTGATAAATTTGGTTACGGAAAGAGCAATTTCTGAATACACATAGCTTGGATAAACCTTTTCGAAATTTACAACTATTAGAGTTTCATTATTTTCCCTCTTCAACTCAATATTGAATCCTACTGTACTAGCACTCAAGGTTGATTGCACTAAATCTACATACTTGATGAGAGATTGAGCAAGATTTTGGTTACTGATATCAAGTACTTCGAAATTCATTGGAATTATCAACTTTTTAGTGAACGGATTATAGTTATAATTATTAGTTGATTTTTCTTGTGGAGATTGTTGGTATTGTTCATTCTTTAGTGTGACTGGATTAAAGGAGGCCAGCAAAGACATCAATGAACCGGCGCTATTAGTATTTGTTTTTGTCATGTTTGTGATGGCTGCTGCAGAACTAGCAACACTTTTACCAATTTCTAGTCCAACATGAACAAGTAAACTAGGAAGCCAAAAGAATGGCAAATTCTTGTCCTTGAATCGTAATACTTGGGCTTCAATAGCTAATTCTAAAGAATTGGAAAGAGCTGATTTAGAAATAAATTGACCATTGTGCATTAGATCAATATCTTCGACCCATAAAAGAAATCCTTCAAAAAATCTAATTATATGGCTTACTGGATCAAAATTGACTTGCTCTGATTTCCAATCATTCACATAATTGAAAGTGGCTGTAAAATTATCCAAATTACATTTACAGAAAATATAACTATAAACAGTAGTGACATCATCAGCACCAACTTGGAAATCTTCACATTTCTTTTCCAATTCAGGAGTCCACCATGCTTCCTTTGAAAGGTTTTGCAACTTATCCAAATCAAAAACTTCATTTGTAGCTGTATAGTTGATATATGCTTCTCTTCTTTTGTGAGCTCTTCTGTATTTTTTAATTGTTTTGATTGTACTAGATCTAACTTTGGATAATGTTTCTATTTTAGCTATTACAGACTTGGCATGTTTGATTTGATCCAATATTTTGATGGTTTGTTCGTAGGGAACATCACTAAAATTACCTTCATAAAATAATGGATTCATATCGGATGGAGGAAGTGGCACATATTCTGGAGGTATTCCAAACATTTCAGTGGTGCTACCTTGGAGAGATCTTATTCTTTGATTCATTAATAAATCTCTATCACGATAGTGATAATTATATAATTCAAAAACTGTTGAAAACTTTACCATGATTATAAAAAAAATTAAAATAATAAAACATACTAGTTTCTCATGAACAATATTGGACGTGAGGTTTTTGCAAAGTGGATAAAATTCCTTTTCAATCTCTATGAGTAATTGTTCATTTTGATTGTCACTTGCCGATCCTAAAGCAGGAGAAAAAACATCTCTCATGAAAAAATCCCATATAATCTTATCGCTTAAAAACATAATAAAGCTCTTAATATCATCAATAGCATGATAAATCAGTGTAGCTTGATATTTTCTAATTGATGCCTTTGCTGAGCTTGAATTATTTGCAAAGTAGTAGGTTCCACAAAAAATGCTAATGAAAAATGAAATAAAATTAGATATGAATTTGAAGTTTGGGTCTGAGGTTGAGGAAGAAATATCAGAAAAAGTACCAGTTAACAATTGACCGACTATTGCAGTAAAATTATTTCTGACTATATCAAATTGTTTCCTTGGGTTTGAGGAACCCAATAATTCCAGTTTTGAAGATGATTTGCTCATAAACTTCTTGGCCAGAGCATGTCTTTCTTTTCTCCAATCCTCTTTGTACATTACAATATATTGAGTCCATTTCAAGTCAGAAGCAGGCTTTACACACTCGGGATCATACATACTCATGGCTAATTCGTCCATATGACCCATATTTTCATATAATTTGATAGATTCTTGTATTTGTGATTCTAACATGTGCAAATTGGTGAGATGTACGTTTTTACATGTTCCCTTGTAATATGTACAACCTTCTACTTTACTATCCCCATACCAAAATCCTTCTAGGATATCTCCATTAGGTAAGTATAGTTTGCCCTTTCCTTTTCTTTGACCTTTTTTATACATTCCTTGGAAATAAGTACCATCCTTATAGTGATAGGTACCAAAGTAATGATACATATCATGTTTCCAACCGCCACAATATCTTTCTCCTATACTAGGGTAAATTTCAACTCCAAATCCATACTTTTGATTATGTTTAAACGATCCAAAATATTTTGTGTTTGTCACACTACAATACAATTCTCCTTCTTGGGTTCTTTCAAAATCTATTTTAATAGTCAATAAATAAATGAAATATGTAACATACCATCCAATGTCAGCATAGTTTTTCCTACACTTTTTGTTTTAAGTCTGACGTATCCCCAATATTCCATTTCTTCACCATCATATGAAATTTTCCATGGAATCTCTCCGGATGGTACATCATTTTTCCACTGTCCAATTGCAATAGTGTCAGGTTTTTTTAGTGTTGAAGATGGGAAAATCATTTTGCCAAAGCCATGTTTTTTTCCTCTATCAAAATCACCTTCATAAATTGTCTTGTTAGGATAAAGTAATTCACCTCTACCATGTAATTCATTAGTGGAAGGCAAGACTGTTCCGACATAACGAAACTCTTTTCCTTCTTCATCTGTAAACTTGAATGATTTGTAAATTGGAACTTCATTATCAACAATGTTTGTTATCGAGTTCAAAATCTTAGACTTGCTGATAGACTTAGTAAGAGGTGGCTTTTTTACTTCAGTCTTGTCAGAGTTTGAATCAACACTAACAGTTCGTTTGTGTCTTACAGGTGTTTTTACAGTTTCTATGGCTTTAGCTGGCTCGTTATAGGCAGATCCATGTATTTTTGTTGTCATACCAGTGTTTGTTTCAATATTGTAAACAGTTTCATCTAAACTCATTCTTCTATCAACTTCAGAGTTTGATGCTGGAATTATTACTGATGATGTCGGTTCAATGAATTGATCCAACATTGAAGCTAAACTTCTTGCGCTCATAGGAGTTCCTGGCGTAGGTTTTGGAATAATTTGATGAAGATTAATGGTCAAATCGCCATTTGCTCTAATAGATTTCCTAAAAGGAGGAATACGAAGAGAGGAAGGAGAATCGTCTTGTTGATCCTCTTGTTCACCAAAATTTGTTGTAGCAAGTTTCATTGCATGTTTTGTAGCTGTTGTAGAAGTTAGGGAATCTCTTCTATTTGTTCGTGGAGTGGTTACTTCCTCTTCTTCATCACTTTCCGAATCAAAATAATTAATAGATTCCAAAGTACTAATTGTGTTTGTTGTATCATTCAAGTTTTGCTCATTCGGTATTGAATCAATAAGAGAAGAAAGAGAATTATGTCTATGATGATGTGATGATAAGTGTAACATAGTAGATCCTCTTTCTGTTAGTAGAATATGAGAAGCTGCTGATGGAGAATCCTTGTTGAGTGCAAGTGAAATTCTTCGTTTTAGATCGTTTGGTGTTGGTGAATCCAAATTGGGTCCAATAATTGGGCTAATAATTCCTGTCGGAGAAGCTAACCGTGAAGGTGTTGTTGTGGAAGTGAGTGCCGAAGAGTCAATATCATTATGTGATGTGTTATTATACAACCTTGTAGAAGGAGAGGTAGATGCTATTGTATTGAGTGGGGTAGGTGTATTAGGAACAGAGCTGGATGAGTCATTTAAATTAAAACTCTGTTCTTTTTTAGCATCGGAAGAAGAGCTAAAAAACCGTTTAAACATTTTTTTAATTATTTAATCTATTATTATTATTAATACTTGGCGAGAGAATGATTGAGTGTTATTTCACTTTCAAATAAAATAATTCATTACAAAGATTGGTTAAATTCTCTCCATTGTCAAAATCTTTGAAATCTTTAATAACGTCCAACACATTCCAAACATTATGATAAACAAAGTCACAATATTCTGGTATTAAAAACCAATTTTCCGTTTTCAACCTTGTCTGATTGATAATTAACAGTGTTTGATGTTCTCCTTTGCGCCAAAAATTTCCCTCCCTTTTTCTATTTAAAAATAATTTCTAAATAAAATGCCAAAACCTAAAAGCTCAACTGCCCTTACTCAACTTAACGTTCTTGATGAAGTTAAGGAAGAGAAGGCCATCGATCGGATTTTAAAAATTATTGATAATGCACCTAGTTTAGGATACATAAACAAAACGCAATTCTATACAATGGTTCACTTTTTGGAAAAGGAAGCTTCTGTAAAGGATAAGCAGCTAAAACTAAAAGTGGAGGAAACAAAAGCATGCAGAGAAATAATACAAAAATTAAAGAACAATTTAAAACAAAATGAAACTGACATTAAAATGATTAATAATAACAGATCGAGGATTCAAATTGCGATAGAAATGTTAAAAGTAAAAACAGAAGAAATACGGAGGGAAAGCGACGTTGTCATGGAATCAATTCTTGATTATCGTAGAGTAAGTGTTTGAATATCAAACAGTATGACAAAAGCAAATATTAGAATATTTTGGATTTGGAAAACTATTCAAAACAACAAGCAGAATTTATCAAGGAAACTCAAAAAGAGACTAAAAATTATATTAAAACCAATCAAGAACTTGATCAAATTAAGAATACAGCACTAAAGGAACGATTCATCAAGGCAGTAAGTTGAATTATTTTCTCTAACCTAATTGTTTCAAAGAATGAAAAGGAAAAGTCCCTCAACAGATTTCTAAGACATATCACAATAGTGAGAAAGAACCTAACGCATGACCCTTATCAATTCTTTGGCTCCGATCAATCGGAAAGAGATGACATTGTTTTTGGTAATAATTTTGGAGCTAATGCAAAGGAAAAATTCAAGAGAAGGAATTCTGTCTATTGATCAATATTATATTCTTCAAATTATAGACCAACTTCACTCTTCAATGTGATTTGTAATTGAAATTAAAGAACGAGATACTCTACAACTCAGGTTTTAATTTTTCATAAGGTTGGAATACGAAGAAAAGCAATTCTTTTTTCAGAACTTGTAAAGTCAGGCAATTCCCGCCAGTTCTTGTTTATTAATTCTAAAAAAAAATTTCCAACAACACAATTTGCACCTGCCTGGCTGGTAAACTATCAACCAATTTGTTATTAAACAAGAGGAGGAAAATTCATCAACAATACACCAATTAAAAAAACAATAGTTGTGTGGTCCATCAATAATTTAACATCATCCAAAGGCCACTAAACAGCAGGATACTTTTTCAAAAATTCTACCATAGTATTCATCATTATTATTTGGTGTAAAATTTTCTTGCAAAAAAACAGATCGGATCTTGCACGCTAATTTTACATAGTAAAAATATAACAAGTTTTATCAGTAAATATTAGAAAATGATGTCCCAAGAAGATCTTGCTCGTTTTGAAACACTTTGTCAATCTATTTACGGACAAAAGGAGGAAGCAAGAAAGGATGCTGAAAGACAACTTTTCATGTTCCAAAAATTAGAAAGCTATCCTAAGTTGGTGCTAATCTTTGATAAGAGCAAAGACCCACATGCTTTATTCTTTGCATCCCAACAAATAACCAAGCTATTGACAAGTCATTGGAATAGTTTTTCTAATGATAAAAAGACAGATCTTCGTAAGTTAACATTTTATTCTAAAATTATTAACTGGTTTAAAGGAAATTATCTTTTGAATTATTTAGCTAGTTGTGGGTTTGAACTTCCAAAGTTTGTATCTTCTGATTTATTTAAACTTGTTGGTAGATTGACCAAATTAGGATGGTTGGAAGACCAACAGAATCGTGATCTACCAGAATTAATTAAGAAGTACTTTATTACTGTTGCAAACCCTCAACTTTCTGTTGTTGGTATTAGGATTCTCGGAAATATTATTGAAGAAATGAATACACTCACTACAAGAAAAAGCTTGACACAACATCGTAAAATTGCTGTTTCATTCAGAGATTTAGCTTTGAGAGGAATTTTTGAAACTGCCATTTTTACTTTGAAAGACGTTTTAAGAGCTCTTGGAGGTGGAGGTTTAAATATTGGGGTTATGAATAATAATAAGGCAGCAAACGAAGCACTTTGTCAAGAGGCTTTAGAACTTTCATTAAGTTGTTTAAAGTTTGATTTTGTTGGTATATTCCCTGATGAATCTTCAGAAGACATAGGCACTATTCAAATACCTGCTGCTTGGAGACCTCTGTTCGAAGAATCTGACACCTTAGAATTATTTTGGAATTTATATACTACATTAACAAATGCCAAGTTAAGGAAGGACGTTCTGCAAATTCTTGTTTTATTGTGCAGTGTAAGGCGATCACTCTTTACAGGAGATGATGAACGAAAACAATTTTTATCCAAGTTTTTTGAGGGAATGTGTACTATCTTACAATCACGATATGGTCTTGACGATCAAGATACCTACCATGAGTTTTGTAGACTTTTAGCGCGTATCAAGTCAAATTTCCAACTTAATGAATTTGTTGCATGCAAAGGTTATGTACAGTGGCTAGATTTATGTGCCAATTTTTCAATTGAAAGTTTCACCTCTCTTGAGTGGTCGAATCAATCAGTTTATTATATTTTAAATTTATGGTCAAGACTTGTTGCTTCAAAGCCTTACTTAAAGTCTGAAAATGAAAGTTATCTAGAAAAATACGTACCAGAAATATGTAAAAAGTATACAATTTCCAGATTAGAATATGCTAGACTTTGTGCACATGATGAATGTGATGACAACCCATTAGACCACAAAGAAAATTTAGATGAGCAATTAGATGCTATACCCCAACTTGTTCATTTTGATTACAAAACAGCTGGACAACATTTAACCGATCTTTTCGACCCTGTTTTGCAGTTATACTTGGAATCTGTTAACAATAAGGTACATATGAAAAATTTGAACGAACTAGAACAAAAATTGACATGGCTCACTTACATAGTTGGTTCTGTTATTGGTAAAAGATATGTTAGCTCGCTATCTGTTGATGAAGCTGAACTATTGGACGGCACATTATCTGCCAGAATTTTGAGATTAATTCCTTTAATAGATATTAGAATTAAGAATTATTCATTTTCTAACCATCTTAAAGATGAATCATTACAACATCTGGAATATGCTTTGTTATATTTTATGAAAAATTTTAAGAAATCATACCTTGGTGATTCATCAACCTCTGTTGGTAATGGTAACAATCCAAAGATTTTTGTACGACTAGCCGAACTTTTAAATATTGGTGAACAACTTCAGGTATTGAATATTTTTATTGGAAAGATAGCAAGTAATTTGAAAGTATGGGCTAAAGTTGATAATATAGTTACTGAAACTATGGGACTCTTTGATGAAATAGCTTCAGGCTACAATAGTGCTAAACTGGCATCAAAGCTTGAAACAACTCAATATCTTTTGTTGAATCATGGTCCTGAAAATTTCCCATTTTTGAATGAAATTACAAATCTTAGACAAAGAACAGCTTTTTACAAGACGCTATGTAAACTCCTTTTTTTACAAAATTATACAGAAGATGATTTTACATCATTTATCAAACCATTGGAATCAGTTAGTGACAGATTAAACTCTATAGATAATCCAGAAATTTTCAAACAGGAAGGTGTTAAAAACGCTCTAATAGGATGGTGTCGTGACCTTCGAGGAATAGTATTTGGTTGTAATAATAAGAGAACTTATACATTCTTTTTTGAATGGTTTTTTGACAAGTACAGTGGAATTTTGGAAAAGGCTGCTCAAGTCTGGTATGCTGATCAATTTGTTATGAATTCATTGTTGAAATTTTTAGCAGATTTTGTATTGAACAAGAATCAAAGAATTGCTTTTAGTTATAGCTCACCTCATGGTATTTTAATATTCAAAAAGACAAGCTCTATTTTGACAAACTATGGTCAAAGACTCCATAACGTGCCAATCAAAAAGGAAGCGTACGCTGAAAAATATAAGGGTATTTGCACTAGTATGAATATTTTATCCAGATGTTTGGCTGGTAAATATTGTAACTTTGGCGTTTTTGATTTGTACAAAGATCCTGCCCTCAATGAAGTTTTGAATACTGTTATTCGTCTTGCACTTAGTATTCCATACTCGGATATAATGGCATATCCAAAATTATGCAGAGCATACTATGGATTGATGGAAACCCTTTTCCAAGAACATACCCATACAATTATTAGATTTGAAACATCCATTTTCTTACAAATATTGAGCTCTCTTGAAGAAGGTGTTTCCATTGAAGAATTGAGCTTATCTTCTCAAGTTTGTGCTGCTTTGGATAACCTTTTTACTTTTTATTATACTCAAGCTAAGAAAAATACTCCAGATGCTCAAGTTTTAGCAAATCACTTAAAACAGAACGATAATTTGATTCCAAATATGTTAACTCAATTCTTTAGAATAATTATTTTGGAAGAATGTGGCAATCAGTGGAGTCTATCAAGGACCATGTTGGTATTGATAGTACTTAACCCTTCATTCTATGAAAATTTGAAACAAGTAATTATCAATTCTGTTGCTGGAGATGATGTTGAACGAGCATCCAAAGTGAGGGAGGCTTTCGATAAGCTAATGGATGGTGTTGAAATTAATTTAGAACCAAAGAATCGTGACAAATTTACTGGGAATCTAATAACGTTCAGACAAGATGTACGAAATGTAATTTAAATTGGCTGTAATTAAAATTATTTAATTAAATTTCAAATTTTAAAAAGAATAAAAAATGCACAAACAATACTCAACAGACAATCTGCATGGAATTATTGAGAATTTCAACAATAACACAGAAAAAATAATTTCTAAATTCGGAATATTTGATTTATTGTGGAATAAAGTTAAGAATCAAATATCGGAGCCATCAGAATCGTTTGAACAATTTTATAATAATTCGTTTAACATTATGGATAATCATCCCGAGAAGAGTAGAAATATTGAAGATTTAAGAAGCGTATTCACTGAAAAAAACACCAACCCAATTGATTCTAATGATGGAGACTTTGATTTACTGAATAATTTAACCTCTCTGCTATCTCACTCATCTCTAAAAAGAGAAGAAATTATTAGAAAAGAATTACATTTGCTATTGGAAGAAAATAGTAAATTCATGAAAGAGTTGATGAAAATTTATTCTGTTTGTTCTATGACTTTATCCTTGGATGAATTTATAGAAAATGTTTTGGAAAAGCTTTATGACAACGGACTTGAAAGGGAGAAATTGAGATTAAAACAACTCAATAGACTACAAATCCAAAGTCTAAACAGACAAATTGACACTCCACGCCCAACCACTCTTGAAATATCTAATAACTCTTCACAATCATTTTCTTATAATATGGAGAGAAAGTATGAGTTCTCTAAACAAGTGATGAAAGTTTTTGATTCTAATGAAAGAAAAATATTTAATGATAACCCTATGGGTTTACATTATTTGGATCCTTCCATTGAGCCATATCATCCTTTGTCATTTAACAACATTATATTTAATAATGATAAAACTAAGAAGAAAGCAGATTCAAATCAATCAGAAATACCATTGATTCCAAAGAAGAGAAGAACCAATAGAAGAAGAAAATCCTAATTTAAGAAGGTGCTTTTTTTGTTGCTGTCCAAGAGTAAGGTTTGATGGAGATAAGAGTTCCTTTTAAAAAATACCTCAACCAACAATGATTAGCAATACCTCGACTGGTTTTCAACTTGATACTAGTACATTTAGTTTTGATGAGGATGAGGGACCATCATTGTTCCAAAATTGTGGAACACTATTGCGGGATAGACAGTTGTATGATCCTATTGGTTTACCTTCATTTAATGTTAGCGGAATGGAAGAAAATGCTTCTTGTTTTAGGACCTATGGTTCTTCTTCAAACTCTCCCAATGCAAAAAAGAGGCCATTTTCCATGAACTTATCCACCCCTTCTACTATGCCTTTATTGCCTGCCTTTTTTTATAAGAATAATTCTTCAGTACTTACTCTGGATTGCTCAAAGTTGTCATTGGAAAGAAATGACAAGTTGAATACCAAATATTTATTGGAATGGCTGAATACATTTCCATGTTTTAGATCACATATTGAGATTGACACTAATTCTCTTCTCTTAAACGATTTTTCATTGTGGAAAATGTTATGTGAGATAGACGAGAATCATTATTCCTCTCTTGGAAATTATATTAACATGGATACTTGTGGTAAAAATACCAAGCTTTTATCTATTACATTTTTGTACAGATCAATTCAGTATTTGATTCTTTTCTTCCAAATGAAATATGAAATGAGAATCGATTTAATAGATATTATCAAAAACCCTCTTGCAATACTAGAGGATAGTCAATCTCAAACAGATTTGAAAGAGCAATTCTTTCTCTTTTTAAAATATTTACTAGCAACAATATTTACTTCTCAAAACTCTCAAAATCTAGTTCAAAGATTACTAATATTAGAACCTTTATCACAAAATACTTTAGCCTCCATAGTCAAAGAAATTATGGATCAACACTCAAAATCATCAGCGTGTGTTTTCCATTCTGAGGAGGATTTACACTTCTTATTTGAAATGACAATTCATTTTCTAAATATGGGTTCATCACTTCAACAAAAAATATCCTATCTGGATAAGCATGTTATTGAGGAGCAAAGAAATGATTCAAGAAAACTCTATTTGGAAAATGGCACTTTGAAAACAAAAAACCAAGAGTTAGCTACACAAATAGATGACATGGTAGTAATACATTGTTCAGAAAGATGTCAATTGTATGAACAAATTAACAAGCTGGAAATTGAGTTATCAGAACTTAACACACACAAAAAGAAGATTGAAAAACAAGAATTATTAATAGAGGAAAATGTAAATTTAAGAGAAAAACTTCTAATACTTGAAAATGTTTCACAATCATTGAGAGATGAAAATATTCATCTACAACAAACAATTCATAACCATTGCAACACGAATGTGCTTCAAAATATGAATGACACTTTAAATTGTGACGAAGTCTCAAATCGAGTTAATGAATACGTTGCTGAACGAGAGTTATTACTAGAAGAAATTCAACACTTAAATTTGGAAATTGGTTTAAGAAATAGGAAAATTGATTCATTACTAAATGAAAACTCAATCTTAAGACAAGGAAAGCAACTAGAACAAGCATCTTTGGAAAAATCAATGAATCTGTACGAAGATTTGAAGAATAGCGTAAGAGTACAAACTTTATCAAAACATCCTACAGAAATCCAGAAATCGCCATCATTCTCAATCCAAACTCAAACTCCAAATACAGTGTCAAATGATGTGAGTTGTGAAACTGAAAGACAACAAACAATCTCAACAAGTACTCAGACAGATCTGTTCCCAAACAAACAAGTCGAACAAGAAAAACCAAAACTCTCCCTAACCCCCTCAAAAACCAACATATCTCCAAAAATATTTAGTCCAAAACAATCACCCAAACTCCTCAAACTTGAAAAGACTTCGGCCAGCAAATCAAGAAATAAGAAAGAAGGAGCCTCCACAGAGAAGAGTCCATATCGATTTTTCTTGCAAGGACACGATTTTAAGTAATAAAAAAATGGGAAAATTGTTTGCAAAGAGGAAAAAAGAGGAAGTAATTTCATCGTCTTCTGAATCAACATCATCGGACAGTGATAGTAGTAAAATAGTATCAAAGGCATATCTAATCACAACCTCCGATGAGGAAGAGATATCAAAGTTGAAATCTTCTCCAAACCCAATCAACATTGAAATAGTTTTCGACTTGAGAAATTCAAAAAGGCTGATACGGTGTATTCAAGATATTGATGATCATAGGAATTTGGGACAGGATCATTTTATTGAAATGCTAAAAGATAAATTAATTTTAATTATTTTGGGCCACGTGAAGGAACTAATGAGTAACGATTTTGATGAAGAATTATTTGACAAGTTTTTTAGTTTTTTAAATAGACGGTTAATTTATAGATCCATGAATAGTGTATCTCAGTTTTATATTACCAAGAGTGACAAATCAACTGATGATGTTGACCCAACCGATTTTCTATTTTTTGAGTGTTTGGAAGAGATTATAATAACCAAGAAATGGTCACGATATGGTTTGGAAGGTGTTATGAATGAACCCATTCAATGTATTTTAATTAACAATAAGGGAGATCGTTCTTGTGAATTCGAATCAGCCTTCATAATAATTTATGCCAGGGAGCAACCACGTGGTGAATTCAAATTCTTGATTTGTAAAGTTGAAAATGATGTTTGGAGTTTTCCTGGTGGTAAGAAAATGTTTCCTTCCGAATCTTTTGAAAACTGTATCACTAGAGAAGTGAGAGAAGAGCTGTACGGTTTTTCCATCAGCTCTATAGAATCTAGTATAGGACTGGGACCACTATTCTCTTTTGGGGGAAGCTCTGTTTTTGTGCACGAAGTGGAATGGGGTAAAACTGGAGAAATTGTTAATAATTTAATTAAGAATTATCAGTCTCTTAAAAAGGAAAATCAATTATTTGATTTTGATACTGAAAAAACATCCAAATTTATCAAGGAGGATGAGGAATATTTGGATAATTTACTAGAAATCTCTAAAAAATTTAAGTTTGTAGAAGAAATTGTGGATTACCAGTTTATTTCAGCAGACGAAATAGAGAAAATGCAGGGTGGAAGATCTTTCTTTTTGAAACAACTACATAATTCATTTCAAAAAAATATTGTACGACGATCCATGCAAACAAGTAAAAGAAGTAAAAAATTTAAACAATAAATATTCTAATTTAATTTCTATTTTGGGAAATAATGTGTTATTGTTGAGCAGCAACAATTTCCTTCATAACCTCTTTCTTGTAATCATAGAAATCGCCTGGATATTTGGAAATTGATTTACCAGTACAAACCCAAATTTCGTCACAAACAGAAGTGATTAAGTATTCGTCGTGACTGACCATCAAAATACCTCCATTGTATTCGTTGAGGGCAGCAATCAGTGCATCTACTGTATCAATATCCAAGTGATTGCTAGGTTCGTCCAAAAGAAGCAAGTGAGGCTTTCTGAATGTGATTTCTGCAAAAACAACTCTTGACTTTTGACCACCAGATAAAGTATAAATTGGTTGGAGTGCCAAATCACCTGTAATACCCAATTTTGCAAGTTGGGCTCTTAATCCAGGTTCTTTTTCATTGGTAAAGATGCTTGCCATGTGTTCAAGAGGAGTCATTTGTGCATTCAAGTGTTCCATATGGTGCTGACTGAACTTGGCAATTCTGATCTTTCTATTAATATTGACATGACCTTCAAGTGTTTTTAATTCTTCTGCCAAAATATTCAAAAATGTTGATTTACCTGTTCCGTTCTAATGAATGTTAAAAATAAATCGTAAATATTAAAGTACATACTGGACCAACAAGAGCAATACGGGAATCCATGTCAAGATTGAAGTTCAACTTTTTGAAAAGGATCTTTTCTCTTGAATACCCAAAAGTGACGTCTACAGCTTGGAGATATGGTGGATTCTCAGCATCAGGTGAATCGAATGTAAAGCTAAATGTTGGATCTTCAACAACTGCAGGAGTAAAATCCATTTTTTCCAAAACCTTAATACGGGATTGAGCCATTTTGGCTGTAGCTGCCTTATATCTGAATCTGTCGATAAACTTTTGAATGTGTTCTCTTTGCTTCTTTTGAGCATCGTGTGTTTTTTGTTGTTGTACCAATTGTTCCTTTCTGGTCTTTTCAAAAGTATCAAAATCACCCTTGTAATAGTGAAGCTTTTGATCTTTAGCAAGAATAATATCTGTAACTACAGCATTCAAGAATCTCTTGGCGTGAGAAACAACTACCAATGTCTTGTCATACTTCTTCAAATATTCTTCCAACCAAATGACAGCAAACAAGTCAAGATGGCTAATAATTGAAGATGAATGTTAGCATTATTAAATACTTGTAATGAAAACTTACTTTGTAGGTTCGTCCAAAAGTAAAATATCAGGTTCAACAAACAAAGCTCTTGCCAAAGCAACTCTCATTCTCCAACCTCCAGACAAGGACTTGGTCTTCATGTGCATCATTTCAGGAGTGAATTGCAAACCCGAGAGGATAGCAGCAGCTCTTGCTTCTGCGCTGTGAGCATCAATTTCATCCAATCTTTCATAAATTTCTGATAATTTTTGACCTGAATCCTCTGATCCATCTTCTAATAATCTCTTTTCTTCCTTCAATAAAGATAATCTTTCTACATCTGTATTGAGAACAGTATCAATGGCAGAAATGTCATCACCAACAATTTCTTGTTCAATATGTAAAATTTGCAAATATGGAGGAATGCCCTTAAAGTCTCTCTCTGCAATATGTCTCAACAACGTAGTTTTACCAATACCGTTTCTACCAATCATACCATAACGACGACCATTCAAAAGTGTTACATCAGTACCAACCAAAAGAGTCTTACTTCCCACAGAAACCGTAACATCAGAGACACGAATTTCTCTTGGACCCTTAAAGTCATGAGCCGTATGGACCTTGATAACACCTCTTTGATTTGTCAAACCTCTCTTCTTTAAGAACTCTTCATACTCTTTTTGTTTTTGTTTGATGATGGCTTCTTCTTTTTCCTTCTTCTTTTTTTCTTTATCCTTGATTGCTTTTTGTTTCCAATCCAAGTCATCATTCCAATTAGATTCGGAAAGTTGTTGATGTACTGAAGCCATACCAGTTTGAGAAATCATAGATTCTTGCTCGGCAACATCCTTTTCGAAACGTTTACCCAAGCTGATAGCTTCTTCCAATAAAACAACATGTTCCTCTTCCTTGATATCAGTTCTCAAAATACCTCTTTCCTTTAATGTTTGAATCATTACATTTACCACTGCCTTGGCGTCTTCAAGGTTATTGGATGTTTTGGTTTTAACAAGATAAGAAGATATTACATCTACAACATCTGTTTCTTTTCTTCTTGTTACAACATCATTTTGAGATGATAAAATACTGGAAAAGTAGTTCAAAATAGGAGTATTCAAGTGTTTAGATGATGTTTCCTTTCCAATAACATCATTAGTAATAATTTCAATAATATCGGAACATTCTTTGTTGGCTTGGAAGTAAATTTTAGATGAACCAGTTGGAATTTCTTTAAAAACTGCAGATATGTTGGAGGTTGTTGAAGTTGTTGATAGTGTTGGTGAAGAAATGTCTTTTTCTGGTTGTTTTGTATTGGAGGTTGTTGCTGGGGCTTGAGTTGCAGGCTTTTGTGCTGAAGGTTTGTTTTTGTTAGTGTTATTACTTGGCTTCTTTTTTTGTTGTGCTTCCTTCTCTTTTTTTTGTTGTTCAGCTAAAGCCTTTTTTTCTGCAAGTTGTCTTTCAAGTTCTTCTTGTTTTTTCTTCTTTTCTGCCTGCATCATTTCCTCGAGGCTTACACCACGAGCAGCAGCTTTCTTTGGAGGCATTTTTTTTAAAGAGGTTCAAATTCGAAATAAATATTCTTTTGTAATAATTATTAAATTAATTAATTGTGTTTTCATTATTTTACTAAAATTATTATGTACATAAACTAGATTTAAATTATTTTTGTCTAAAGTAAACTGGATCTAAACATTCCATCATTTCAATTGAATTTCCTCTAACAACAACTGTTCCTAGATGTGTTTTTTCGTTGGTGTTTGCCTCACCCTTCGAAAAACCTGTCAAGTCATAAGCATTCTCTAATGTAATATTCATAAATGGATCAAATCCGATCATTGTCCCTTCAACATGTCTTTTTCCATTCATCTTGACAGATAATCTTTTATTCATGTAGACTTTAAGCTCTGGATATTGATTACTTTGTACCATTTTTTTTAATACTTGTTCAAACAATTATTTATTTTATTGTCCTTTTGTATTGGAACTTAGCAAAATTATTATTTTAACAAAATTAATGTATGATGATTAATACACTTGTTAAATATTTTAATTTCATCTCGTTTTAATTAAACCATGACGATGAAGTCCTTATTCGTATTGTCATAATTGAGTTTTCATCAAAACAGGCCCAAAAAAATGAAGCGTTTCATTCAAACTTCTGCTTGTGCAAGCCACAAATTAAATGTGCAAGCACAATTGGTCTCTCTCCGATCATCTGGTGCTAAATTAATGTACTCACAAAAGAGATCTGATGAAATTAAAGAAATTTTCGAAACTAAATTACCAAAGGACTGGAAGGAAACAGCATCTCGTGAATTGAAGGATCAAGCAGTTGAGAGTCTCATCAGAACCACTCCCGAAGGAATTAACATTTTACCAATTTATGTCTCTCCAGCAACAATTGATGGAAAGGAACCAACCGGTGCAGGTAATAAACCATACACTCGTGGTCCTCATGCAACCATGTATACTTCCAAGCCATGGACCATCAGACAATATGCTGGATTTTCCACTGCTAAAGAATCCAATGAATTTTACAAACAAAATTTGGCTCAAGGACAAATGGGTCTTTCTGTTGCATTCGATTTGGCTACCCACAGAGGTTATGATTCTGATCATGACAGAGTTGTTGGTGATGTTGGTATGGCAGGTGTCGCAATTGACTCAGTTGAAGATATGAAGATTTTATTTGCAGGCATTCCATTGGATAAAATGTCAGTCAGTATGACAATGAACGGAGCTGTACTTCCAATTATGGCCATGTATATTGTTGCTGCCCAAGAACAAGGTATCACTGATTTGAATTTGCTTAGTGGTACAATTCAAAATGATATTTTGAAAGAATTCATGGTCAGAAACACTTACATTTATCCTCCAGAACCAAGTATGAAAATTATTGGAGATATTATGCAATTTACTTCTCAAAATATGAAGAAGTTCAACTCTATCAGTATCAGTGGTTACCACATGCAAGAAGCTGGTGCTGATACTGCATTAGAATTGGCTTACACTTTAGCTGATGGTCTTGAATATGTTAGATGTGGTACCGAATTGGGTGGATGTAAGGTTGATGAGGTTGCTCCTCGTTTTTCATTCTTCTTCGGTATTGGTATGAATTTCTATCTTGAAATTGCCAAGTTGAGAGCTGCTCGTAAATTGTGGGCTGAACTAGTTGAAGAAAAGTTCAAGCCAAAGAGTTCTAAATCACTCTTGTTGCGTACTCACTGTCAAACAAGTGGTTATTCTTTGACTGAACAACAACCATACAATAACATTATTAGAACAACTATTGAAGCAATGGCAGCTGTCATGGGTGGTACTCAATCATTGCACACCAATTCATTTGATGAAGCTGTTGGTTTGCCAACCAAGTTTAGTGCTCAACTTGCTCGTAATACTCAATTAATTATTGCTAATGAGACTGGCATTACTAATGTTGTTGATCCATGGGGAGGTAGTTACATGATGGAAGAATTGACCAATCAACTTTATACTAAAGCTAAGGAACTCATCAAGGAAGTTGAAGAATGTGGAGGTATGACTAAAGCTATTGTTACTGGTTTACCAAAGAGAAGAATCGAAGAATGTGCAACAAAGAAACAAGCTAGAATTGATTCTAAACAAGAAATTATTGTTGGTGTTAACAAATTTGCAACAAAGAATGAAGAAGCAAACTATGAAGTTCTCAAGATTGATAACACAAAGGTTAGAAAGGAACAAATTGACAGACTTAACCAGATTAAATCTGAAAGAGATTCCAATCTTGTTTCAAACTTGTTGGCTCGTCTTGAAGATGCTGCCAAGACTGGTAAGGAAAATCTTTTGGCTGTTGCTGTTGAATGTGCCAAGGCACGTGCAACTGTTGGTGAAATTTCATCTGCACTTGAAAATGTTTGGGGCAGATATGAAGCTAAACCAGAAATTGTTAGTGGTGCTTATACTAGTACTTGGAAACAAGCTTCCCTTGAAAAATTAGATACTGAACGTGTTGAAATGAAGGTTAAGGAATTTGCTACCAAGAATGGTAGAAATCCAAGAATTCTTGTTGCCAAGATGGGTCAAGATGGTCATGATAGAGGTGCTAAGGTTATCAGTTCTGGTTTTGCTGATTTAGGATTTGATGTTGATGTTGGTCCATTGTTCCAAACTCCAAAGGAAGTTGTACGTGAAGCTATTGATAACGATGTTCACATTATTGGTGTTAGCTCTCAAGCCGCAGGACACAGAACCCTTGTTCCTGCTTTGGTTAGTGAATTGGAACAAGCTGGATTGAAAGGATCTGATAGACCAGTAATTGTTGTTGGTGGCGTCATTCCTCGTGAAGATTATCAAGAATTGTACGATGCAGGTGTTGATTTGATCTTTGGTCCTGGTACTAAAGTTACTGATGCTGCTGAATCATGTGTTGATTTGTTGATGAAAAAATCCAATCATTAGTTTGGGTGTCTTAATAAACTCAAAAAAATTAAAAACACCATTTTAGGGTTAGTGAAACAATTCCTTCATAATAATACAATAAAAGGGTTTGATTTTTAACTCTATCACAAAGGTAATTGCTGATAAGGGACAACAATTTTCACTCTCTTATGCACTGTAAAATTGTTGCGTAAGTCAAATATCAAGCCAAAATAGAATGATATTTTTAAAATAAAAAATGAGTAATATTACTTTGGAAGAATCTGTGAGGAATGGGTTGGTTGAATACTGCAAGGAGAGAGAAATGATTGGAGCAACTATTTTCGATGAAAATGGAAATATTATTTTGAATCAAGGTTTTGAACAAACCATTCCTGCTGAACAGTTAAAGTATGATCTTTTTTTTACGATCAATAGAATATTAATTTATTTATTACAATTTTATCAGGGCTTTTACTACTATTTTCAATTCGGAAGAGGATGCATTCTCTAGTGGTATTCTTCTTTTCGACACATTGTATGATGTACATAGATTTTATGCCAATGAATCACCATCTATGGTTTACGGCAGAAAGGACGGAGACAAATCAGATTCAAGAGCTGTTGGTGTTTTGCGTGTATCGGCCTCTGATTCTGTTGTTGGCCAACCACTTTTTATTGTCACCAATTTTAAATTGCCATGTCTTACCACAAGAGCCATCACCCATGCAAGAGATTTTGCAAGACAACATTGTAAGTTTTAAATCACAAAATTAATTTATAACATTATTAAGTGATGCAACCAAAACAATAAATTTAAATTATTATAATAATTTATTGGGTAATTTGTTTTTTAAATTGATCATATTGGATACGATTGATAACGCCTTTTTGCAGATAGTCATCTAATTGTTTAATCATTTGTTCAGTTGTACCTTTGAGCTCGATTGCTTGTTGTTTGGTGCTAGTTGAGGAGGTAGTTTTCTGGGAAGAACTCTTTCCATTGGTATCAATCCCAAACATTTCTCCCAATCCAGCATCAACCTCTCTTGTCTTGTAAGCGTCAGAGTTGTAGCTCATTGTTTAATTTTTTTAATTTAATTTGATGAGTTCTTACTATCACAATTCAACACTGATTGTACATCACAGTTGTCAAGAAAGATATTTGATCTTACTGATATTATTGTTTTACAATTCTGTACTATCGATTCTCTATCTAAAAAAATGCCAGAACTGGAGGTTCTTAAGGAATCTGCAAAATCTGAATTGTGTGCCGTTTTAGACTCTGTAAGTACTCATTTTAGGTGAATATTAACTATCAAAGGTTCCCGGAGACAAAGTTCTTGTTGTGGATGATCAAATAATTGGTCCCCTTGGCCTAGTTGCTCCTTCTGCTCTTCTCAAGGAACACAATGTTAGGAAAATTTTCAAACTTTCCTTAGAAAAGACTTTTGAAACAAATTACAAGAATGTGATATACATTGTTAGACCAAGAATGGCCTTAATGAAATGTATTGCCACACAAATTAAATACTGGACGCAGCAAAAGGAAACAATTGAAAAGGAAGGGAAAACAAAAAAGATAAAAACCGTCATTGATGAAAAGGTTATTGAAGAAGACTACTACCCTCCAGAAAATTTCTCCATATTTATGGTCCCAAGAACAAATCTTATTTGTGAGAAAATACTTAAGGATTGTGGTGTGTATGCAGATGTAAAAATTGGAGAATTTGTTTTGGATCTAATAGTATTTGATCCTCATATTCTTTCAATGGAATTATCTTCATCATTTAAAGAATGCGAATTAGATGGTGATTTTTCCTCTCTTTACAATGTTGCTAGATCTATTATGAAGCTACAATCTTTTTATGGTTTAATACCAAATGTAAAATACATTGGATCTAACGCCAGTCATGTTTGCGACATGATAATGAGAATGAAAAAGCAGGTTGGTTCTCAGGTGTTCAGTGCTGTTCCTGAAATCAATACTTTAATCTTGCTTGATCGTAATGTTGATCTTGTTTCACCACTTCTTACTCAACTCACTTATGAAGGATTGATAGATGAAATACTTGGGGGAATTACTAATACTCTCTTCACCACTGACTGTTGTCCAGACAGTAAAATGAGTAAGAAGAAAGTTCCTCTTAACTCTTCAGACACTGTGTTTGAACGTGTTAGACATTTAAATCAGCAAAGAGTTGCTGCAAAGCTGCAGGAAAAGGCTCGTGAAGTAGATGAAAAAGTCAAGGAGAGGGATGAATTGAAACAATCTATTGAAAAAATCAAAACTTTTACAAAATTGTTACCTCAAATACAAGAAGACAAGAGAAATCTAGAAATGCGTAAGTTTTTATTATATTTATTTAACAAGCCTGTCAAATTAGATATCAATATTATGCAACAAATCAAATCAATTATTGGTAAAATGCCTTTTAGAAAATCGATTCAAACCCAAAATGCAATTTTAACGGGAGAAGATGAAAAATCCACTCTGGAATATATAGAGGAAAATATTGACAGACAACAGCCATTTGTACAATTATTGAGAATGTTATGTTTATATTCCGTAATTAATGGAGGATTTAAACCAAAAGTCATGGAAAAATTGAGAAGAGACATTTCTCAGAGTTATGGTATTCAAGCGTTACTTACATTAAATAATTTGGAAAAAGTTGGGCTATTGAGAAAACAAGAAGGAAAACCATCGTCATGGAATTACCTAAAGAAGAATCTTAATCTTTATGATGACAATGTTATGGACAGAAATGATGAGGAGGCACACTTCGATCCACACGCTGTGTATAATGGTTACTGTCCGATTTCTGTAACTCTTGTTGAGAATGCAATGAATGAGGATAAAGGATGGAAAAAAATAGAGCCAGTTTTGAATTATATTTCCACAAAGAGAGGAGAAGAAACTCAAAAAGGATCTCAAGAAACACAATTAGGAAAGAAAGTTATTCTTGTTTTCTTTATTGGAGGTGTGACTTTTGCAGAAATAAGTGCAATAACTTATCTAAATGAAAAAAGTAGTGATTGTGAATATATTGTAGCGACAACTAAGCTCATTAATGGTTGCACTTTCATTGACTCTTTTATTGAGGATGTTGGAGAAGATGATAAATCATTCAAAAAGAGAGCAATGGAATCCAATTCTGAAGGAATTTTTTCTGACTCTAAATCCTCTATGGTTGATGCAAATGCAGTTGTAATACCCGCTACACCTGAGAATAAATAAAAGTAAATTTAATTTTTAAAGAATTAACAGTAATAAAAATTTAAAAAAATAAGAGGTTATGATGTTTGATTCATTGTTCTCTGTTGCTATTTTGGTTCCTCTTTCTACTCTCTGTGTTCGGCTTTTTATTGACTCCATGATGTTTCACACATCTATCACTTCCCGAATGCAGAAAATTCAAAATTTATTTAATATTATTAACGAATTAAACTTTCGAAAAAGAGCTTTAACATTCAATAACCAAACTATATGTAGGTTGACAATGATAATTAATTTATTTTCTAACTCAAATAGATATGATCGATGAAGAAAAAAGAACTGCCATACAATTGTGTAACAATATCCTTAGTTTTTTACAAAAAAAGAAATCCAATCTCAAATATTTACAAATCAAATTTGATGAGAAACCAACGTTAAACCTCTATTTCTAAATTACATATCAAGAAACCTTTCAAAATCGTCCATAATATCTGATTCTGAAGGAGGAACAAAAGTTGATAATGTGGGAGAACCCATCTCAGAAAATAGTGAATCACCATTTAAAATTGGAATCTCATCGAATATTTCTGATATTGTCGTTGGCTCAATCACCAATGTCTCAAAACCAGAACACTGTATTGTGGAAATACCAAGCTCATCAATAGAGTCGAGTTGTTTTTGAATTTTAAATGGGGAACCATTATAAATGATTCTTTCCTCCTCAGTGTTTTTGTCTTTGAGGGCAACTACAAACACTAATGGTTTATCATGATTAATATCTCTAAAGGAAATACTATACTCAACATGGAGAGAAACTAACGATGCCTGAATATTAAAGTTGCAACAATTCACAACATTTGTATCAATCCACTTTTCTCCATTAAACGAGAGCTCTTGTTTGCTTTCTGCATCCAGTATTTTAAAGCATATATCATGGTATTCTGATAATTGTGTTGGAACGTCGACATATAATAGGAAGGTTTCATTGAGGGAAAGTTCTTTTGGAAAAGCAAAGTTTGGAAATTTGGACAGATCTACATTGAGTGAATCATGAAATACTGTCACAATTATCCACTGTTTTAACAAATCAAAAGCAGATTCTTGATTGCTTTTGGTTACATTAGACTTGGACCTCTTTCTTGTGGTGTCACTATCATCTTGTAAATCGGATTCTTGTTCATCGTCATTACCAAATAAAAGACTTTCTTTTTTTCTCTTCTTTTGAGAATGCAATTCCTCTGAGTGTTGAGCAAGATCTAACATTTCTTCATCATTACATAATGTAGGATCATTGGATTTTCCATTTTCGTTTAAATCTATTGACATTTTCAACAACCTCTCCTGTTTACAATTTACATGAATATTGTATGATGAATCTGCCTTTGTTTTGGCTCTTTTTCTGTTGACCATAATTTCAAAAACTGCAATAGAATTGACATTGTTGTCACTATTTGAAGAGCTTGAGCAATTAGGGGATTGAATTGAATGTTTTAACTTGGTGCTGGTGGTGATATCCTTTCCTCGAATTTTAATTTCAATGGGAGGAGAAGTTGGAGAATTGGTTGTTTTCTTCTTCTTTTTCTTTCCCTCTGAGCAATCTTCTTCGAGTTGAAATTCTAAATCTGCCAAGGAATAAAGTTTACTTGGAAGAACTATTAAGAGATAATAGAAACAATCAGTACTAATCAAACACTTGTTTGTATGTACAATTTTTGTATGGTGGTGTGAATTTGTAAACTTTGATTCCTCCTGGCCATTTGTTGTATTTGGAGAAAATTGATGTTGTATCAATAATCTATACCAATTTTGTTCAAATGTTGAACTTTTTCTTTTTGTGTTTCCCTTTTTTATAAAAATATGAGTGGAACAGCCATTATCAAAGAATTGAGGAGAGTTGACAAGTTGGTCAAAAGTTGGACTCATTGAAGTTGTACTACAACTCAACTTTTTATCTGTATTTATAGAATTAGTTGTATTAGAAGAAATAGAATCTTGAACACTATTATTCAATAGAAAGTTAGAAAATATTTGATTCAATTGACTCATTGTAGAATTGTTCATAGTGTTATTCATTAACATGGTTAACATTTGAGTAGAATCTAAATTATCATTCACTTGACTTAAATTTGTAGTACTGGTGGAATTGATGATAGGTTGTTGAGTATTATTTAGCAATGGATCATTTGACATCATCATTCTCATCATTTGCATGACAAGATTTGAATCCATCACAACTCCATTATCACAAGTGTTCATTGTTGCTGATCTTTCACCAATACAATTATTCGAATTGATAGTGGTATTATTATTATTAGGCAATGTTGTATTGATATTGTTGTTCATCATCATCGTTGTATTTTGTTGGGATGATGTCATTGGAGTGAAAGAGAAAGATTGGAGGGAGTTATTTGTAGGTATCGGACTGTTGATGGAATTTGTATTGTGGTTGGAATGCATTTGTTTACTTGAGGAAGCTGCTTTCACTGCCTCTAATAGCATACTAGTTAGAGTTTGTTGATGTTGTTGTTGCTGACAATTATTTTGATTCATAATAGAACACAAAGAAGAATAAAGTTGTAAAATTGTTTTTTTTGTGTTTAATTTACTGTAGGTGGATCATTTTGACTTGTGGCAGGTAATTCCAACATACAACAAATCTTAGAATCACATTTTGTATGTTGGTATGAACTGATAAGAATAAAAATTATTATGGAAACAAGAAAGCAAATTCAATCGGGTTGACTTAAATGATACTACCAAAGACCGATTAAGAATTGATTCAAACCTCAATAAACATCAAACAACAAGTCTAAATCGAACAATTAATTGTGTGAGAGCAAACTGTTTGACAAGTAGAACAGCCAATCACTTTTCACAAAACCGATGAGCGTTGCGTGTGTGAAGAAGACTATCAACCATCCGTAAAAAAACTCACAGTCTTAGCACCGCGCATAAAGTAATATCAAAAGCATCTGGTGCCCAAGAGACTTTGTCTTGCTTTTTAAACTATATATTAATTTATTTATTTATTTTAATTGGATAATTGTACAAAATGTTATTAGGTTGGATAGATGAATTGGGACTTATTCAATCAGACCCAACAAAGAATATCCTCAAAACATTTCCTTTGGATGTTAAACGAGTAGTTATTTCATCTATTGTTGATTATTTTAATAATCAAAATAATACTGCAAAGAATGGACTTAGTACCACTGCCCATGTTGAATGGGTTATGGAAGTTGTGGGACATGCTTTCCAATTACCAATTGCCGATCATCAAACTATAGATAGAGCTATCAATGTTTATAACAAGTGGCTTTTCGAAGAAAATCAAAGACCAATTCCTCTCCAAGAAAATTTGCAATACTTTGTCCAACAAATATTTAATCACTTCTCTTTACTTTTTGAAGAGAGAGGACCGGAATCTGGAGCTACAGGAGGTCAAGAAGAAAGAAAACACCACATTCATCTTTGCAATAGAGTTTTAGACATTTTCCTTCAAATGGGTCTTAAGGGTGACATGTTAGAGGAAGTAACTTGGAATCACATTTTAAAGATTATTCTTGGTATTACAGATTCTACATTGAGAGGTAAGAGGGGATTGCCTGAATTATCCTACGGTCTGTTGAAGGTTCTTTTTGAGTTATGGTTGTGTTCTTTGTCAGATGACAAGGTCATGTGGCGTCACTTACAAGAACATGGTATTTTATGGTCTAAAAACAATGCCACTATTAATCAGTGGAATAGTGTTTGTATTGGGTTGACTAGTCGTGTAATTAACTTGTTATATGGTCCAAGTGAAGGTACAAGTGTTGTCAGAATTCAATGGGAAGGTCTTAATGCAAAGAATAATCCTAATCCTAATGTTGGAAATTCTACAACAGAGCTAGATTTACCTGATGAATATGTTTATTATGCTTGGAATCAGTTCCTGCACATTATTGGTAATCCTAATAAGCTTGTGGATCCAGAAATCCATCTCAAGGCATTCCAAGGCATTGAAGTTATTACACACAGTTTAGCCTATGTTGGTACTGATCCACCAATCAAGCAGTTGAAAGAACAGAAAGTTGATTTCCGTATTCCATATGCACCTGATGCCAATTCTATTCTTGACATTTTCGGCCCATGGTATTTTGAAGCTGTATTTAGAGAAAATGCTAGTAATTTTAATCAAGGACGTGCTGTAGCCTATAGTGCTCTGTGTAAAATATTTTGTAGAAAGGGTGGTAGTCCAATTCATACCAGATATCTTTCACTTTTCTACAAGGCTCTATGTCAAGGTTTAGAAGATGAAGATCCAATCGTTGTCATTGCCATCTTATTGGGAAGTAAGAAGATTTTCTGTTACGAGGAATTGGTTGGTTCTCACATTCTTATAAGATACTACACCAAAGTTTGTGATAAGATTTTGGGTGGAACTGGTAATTCTGTAAAAGATAGCAGTCAAAACTCCAAGTATAATATTGAAGTTAGACAGGCTTGTATAACAATAATTGGAAGCTTGATCTGTTTCCCAAATCACTTCTCTTCTCCAAATATTCAAAAAACAACCTCCGATCAAGAAATTATCAATCAATCTACTGTTTATCAAGAGCTTAAATTCCAAATTCAAACAATTTTACAAAAAGCACTCAAATCAGAAAGAAATCCAAAGAATCTCCAATACGTAATTTGGGCAATTGTTGTTTTAATATATGAAGAGATTGACCACAATGCAGAAATTGCAATTGTCTTTATAAGAAATATGTTAGATATTGTGAAAACCTATGCTCCAAAACCATTGAAAGAATATCCACCAGAAGTATTTATCGCAATTTATGAAGCTTTGAGCTCCTTGACAAATTTATATCCAAAACTTGCTGAAGCCGAACCTATGATTTCACGTGAAATTGTTTTCCAACTCAGTACAATAATTCCAATGCAAGTTGCCCTCCTCAAACAAAATCAAACGAGTGCTAAACTTATTGAAGAAACATTCTACAGCATGGCTGATTGGGTTATGTGTGGACCTTCTGTAATTATTTCTAATAAGGAAAGTATTACCAAGGTAATATTTGCCATCGATCAAGGTTTAAATATTGTTAAACATGTTGGTGTACCAGGTGGTGTTAGTGCAGGTGTTGAAAGTCCAACAGCAACAGTCAATCCAAGAGCTTCTACCACTGGTCAAGCCATTACAAGCAGTAGTACAAGCTTTTCTAAAGATGATATTGAAAATATCAAAATTTCTGCTGAGTTTGTTGTATCCCACTTGATGAATCATGTCTCCCATTTCCCAATAACCAATAATAATGCTGCTCTTACAGCCACACTCTCAGAAGAATCACAATGTCTTGACGATTTAGAACCTGAAAATTCTAATTATGTCAGATTCTACATTTATGACAACCAATTTATTATCAGTTTAATTGAACAACCTAACGAAAAGGGTGGCCCAGGTGTGACCATGATTATGAGAGATTTAACTGGTAAATATTCTTGGGATTCTCGTGTATTGTACGGCGAAGTTCCTAAGCCATACAGTGAATTAGAAGAACGTGGATGTTACACTGGTAGTAATATTGAAAATTTGTTAGGCAAAACTCAAGAAGCTGAAACAAACTCAACTTTAATGCAATACAGTATTGAAAGACCTCTTAAGGATAGAGATACTGTTTCATTATTCTCTGATCTTATAGAAGAAGAAGAGGATAATGAAAATTTATTCCTGCAAACAATTGATAACGAATATACAGTACTTGATGTTTCCTGTAGAGAACCAAACTTGAGATACAAATATGGTGGAGATTGTAAAGCAAGCATGTCTAGATTATTACTTTCAACAATGGGGTTGGTACATATTGCACTCACAAGTAGATTTGTTCCTCTTCAAAGCAATAGCAAGTTACTTAGAAGTTTGCGTAACTTGGATGGTACTCAACCTCGTGAAACTCACAAAGTTGGTGTTGTTTATGTTAAGGAAGGACAAGATGATCAACAGGATCTTTTCTTGAATGCCGAAGGAAGTGAACAATATACAAGCTTTGTTAAATCTCTTGGTTGGAATGTACCTCTCCAAGAACATTTAGGCTTTATGGGAGGTTTAGATAAGAATGGTTCAACTGGTACCAATGCTCCTTATTATGCCGATTATAGAACTGAACTAATGTTCCACGTTCCAACAATGATGCCTAATAATTCTAAAGATCCTCAACAAATTCACAAAAAGAGACATGTTGGCAATGATCATGTTAACATTATATGGTCTGAACATACTCGTGATTATTACAGAAATACTATTATTTCACAATTTAACTTTGTTCACATTGTGTTATATCCTTTGAATAGAAATCACAAGGGCTTGTTGAGAGTTGATGTCATGGTCAAAGAAAGAACATATCCTGTATTTGGACCTGTTCTTGATGGTATGATTTTAAGTGAAAAAGTAGCTGGAGCTCTAATCAGAATGACTGCATTGAATGGTTCTAGAATCAGTAGATCCAAGTCAACTGGTATCATGCGACCATATTTGCAACGTAAAAGTCTTATTGCTGAATTGGCTCAACGTTACAAGGCAACAGTTGAAACTGATAAATATTATTGCTCTTTGTTTGTCAGTAAAGAAACAAGCAACGTAATACTTGACCCACCTTCACAAAAGAAGAATATTAAATAAATTAAATATTAGTAAAAATTTGTTGCATTTAAAAATAAATTAATATATTTAAACTTGATGGTTTTTTTTGATTTAATTTTGGCGGGGAGTTATTTGTTATTGTAAACAACCAATACGCACCAAAAAAAATATCGCAACATGAGTTCATATATTCGTGAGCAAAAGAAGGTTTTGAGACAAACCATCAAACAATCTATCACCGAACATTGCGAAAAAGTACACAATGGACAATACACTGGTGAAGATTTGGCCAAGGAATTGAGAGAATATCGTTCCACTGAAAAGCCAAGTAACTTTATGGTTTGGAAGAGACTCCACAAGGGTACCGGTGTTTATGCCAGTTGGAAGGATGATAATATTTTCAAGTGGACTTTCAAGGAATTGACAAGAGCCAGAACCTTCCCATGGTTGGTTGCTGCTGCTTCTTGGTGGGGATTTGTTTATCTTTTGCCAAAGCCAACAGAAGAAGACATGAAGAAATCACCAAACTACTATCCACACGGTCACCCACCAGGATCTAACATGACTCCTCACTACCAACATCTCGTTCATGAAATCGAGGCTCCACCAAAATTCTAAATTATTTTTAACTTAATCATGGGTGTTTAATACAAAAACAATGTAACTATAATAGTTCTTTTGATCCGATTTTGTTGTTCAATAAGAAAAACGACAAGATGATGAAATAAATTATCTATGTTATTTGAATAGCCAACAAGAAGTTAATATCAGATTATTATTAAAAAATTAATAAAACTTTGTAAAATTTAACTTTATTTTTTATTTTGAATTAAAAAAATGCTCTTCAATTCATTTTTGCGTAGCGTCTCAAAGTCGGCATGTTTAAACAAATCGTCATCAATATATTTTAATAACATTGCCCGTTCATTCCATTCTTCCATAACACAATGTATTGAAACAAACTTTATTAGTGAAAAACCAACATTGATGAAAGAAGATTTTAAATTATCAGACCTCGATAAAAAACCAAATGTTACTTCAAGAGAAAGAAGGAGAAGAAGAATTATTTCTATTGAAAAGAACAAGAGAGAACAAACCGGAGCTACCAGTCTCACTGATGAAATTTATAACAAGAGACCAATCATAGAATTTCCAAATCGTTACTTTGCTCTCTACATTCCTTCTGTAGTTAACAAGACATCAAAAGTTGTTTTCCATGTTCCTATGGATTATACAAAGCCCGAAATTAAGGAATATTTAGAAACATATTACGGTCTTAAAATTAAAGATGTAACTACAATGATCACTCAAGGAAGACTTAAACGTAGTAGAAAAGTTAGAGGTGTCATGGAAAAGGAGCCAGATTTCAAGAAGGCTACTGTAACTTTATATGAACCAGTAGATTTGGGATTCAGTGATGAATTGAAGATTGAATTGGCAAGAAACTATGATAAGCGTTTGAATGCCAAACTCAAACAAGCCAGAGAAGCTGCCGAAAAGATGAAGTCTGAATCTGGAGTCAATAACGAAAATGAGGCCTCTGAAGAAGAGCAAATGAAACAAATGGAAGAAGCTCACAAACAAATGGAAGAAGCCAAAGCCAGAGCAAGACAAAATAAGGATCAAGCCGCTGAAGCTGTTGAAGTGAAGGATAAATAAAGGATATAGGCATTGTTACAATTTTGAAATAATTCACAATAAATTCAGTTTAAGTATGTTAATTAGAAATATTTTGTAAGAAATGCAGAATAAATTATTTAATTTGATTGATTTTCTTCGAATAATCCAATCATGTGACCATCTGGAGATCTTAGTGCAGCAACTTTTCCATGGGATGGATATTTAATTGGTCCATCTAGAATAGCACCCATCTCTAATAATTTATAAATTGTCTTATCCATTTCATTTACATCAAAACACAAGAATGGTGAATAGCCGGTTGTACTGGATGCTTCTCTTTTTCAAAGTTAAATCAATAATATGGACTATTGTGTACAAACCCTTCAACTTTATTCAAACATACTTTCATATGTCCAGATTGTAATTCTGCCCAATGCTCTGTTGAATGATTTACTGTCATGCCTAATCCCTCCGAATAAAATTTTACAGATTTCGGAACATCTTTTATCAGAAGCATAACATTTTTGAGGGAAGCGATTTTTTTAGACATTTTTTTAGTATTTGATTGGTTTGTTGTATCTGTTTGTTTAAAGATGAATCTAATTTTCATCTTTAAGATTAAAGCTTCAATTTGATGGAAAAACCAACAAAAAATTAAAATAAATTAATATCAAAAAAAATGAATAACCGTGGTGGTTCCCCATCACACCAATACAAAGAAAATAATTCGTCTGCCAAGAATTTCAATCAACAGCGAACAATGTATTCTGATAACAATGATAACCATGATAGCAGATATTCTTCTAGTAGGAGGGATGATTCTAGAAGATTCCATGACGATCATCACAGTAGTTATCCAAACGAAAAAAGAAATAATGGATATCCACCATCAAGTAGTAATTATAGAGGTGGAAGAGGAGGATCTAATAGTCGTTATAGTAGTAATAGCAATCGAGGTTATAATAGGGGGAAGTACAACAATTTTGGCTCACCACAAAGATCATCCAATTATCAACACAATCAATATGATGAATTTTATCAATCATCAAACTATTCCGAACCAATGTACAATTATCCAGTGGATAGCTCTGCATATTATTCTTATCCATCAGCTTCCTCTCATTCTTATAATTCGAGTTTGTACAAACCTAACGAAACAACGCCAAAAAATGTTGACACCAGATCTCCGAGAAAGAATGATTCAACTCATCCAGAAGATTATGTGAACACATATCATTACCTTCACTATCCTCCTTACTATCCTCCAAACTACTATCCTCCTTATTATCCTCCAAACTATCCTGTTAATAATGCACCTCCACCTCCTCCTTCATCTTATGATTCAAGAAAATCTGAAAATAGAAGAGATTGGAATGAACAAAATCAAACTAAAAGTGACAATATGCCAACTCAAGATACAAAAGTAGAACCCAATACGAAAACTGATTTACCAAATGAAACAAAAGAAGTTGAAAAGATAATAGAATCTAATGAAACACCCAGGGATCCAAGAATATTCCCATATTCTAAAGTTGAGACTCTAGAAAAAAATGAAATATTTTCCCAAAGCACTCTATCCATCAAACGATCAGAATATTTTTCTCAAATCAAGAAAGTTTCCACTCTTTTAATTCCTTCACTATCCATTGACGCTAAACTCATATCTAGTGAAAGCGATTATATTAAGAGCTTGAAAACTAAAAAACAGCCAAAAATTATAGTAACAGAAATACCAAAGGAGTATGTTTCGATTTCTCTAGAGGATGCAATTAAAACAACAGGATCAGTTGTACAATTTGAAGCATATTTCAAAAAGGATTCTAACAAGATTGAATCTGCTTGTGTGGTCTTCTCAGATTTTGAAACATGCAAGAGATCTGTTAATGAACTAATAAGTGACTCTGATATTAAATTCAAGATTCAAAATGACTTTTATGGACTAATTCAAGAAAAATTTACTTCTAATCCTGAGTTTGAAAGTCTTAAACAAAGAGAAATGGATAAGAAAAAAAAGGAAACGAGAAAAGAGGTGAAAGAAGAGGAAAGCCAATATCAAGACTATAACAACGTGCAACAACCTTATGAATATTATCAATATCCACCTTATCACCAATACTATCAATACTACCAAATGTATACACAGCCTTTCTTCCAAATTCGAATTAAAACCAAGTACGGGGAAAAGAAGGAACAAAAACTTTATGGAGTATTTAAAGATTATTACTGCACACATTTTTACTATAGTAATGGGGAATTTCATGTGGAATTTGGTGCTGCTGAAGATATGGAAAGAGCATTTAAAAAGCTTCACAATCACGTCGTTTTAGGACATGTTATGGAGCTTGAGCGAAATTGCGAATCTTATACAACAGAGAAACCCTCACTGGTAGAACAAGCAAGTGATCGTATTAAGCTAAAACTAAGAGATCAATTAATGACAAAATTTCAAAGTATCTATGTGAAACAAGTGAAACAAATGTTAGAATATCAAAAACAACAACAGAAAACAAATGATTCCAATAAGAATATAATATTAGAAAAGGTAAAGCGAGATTTAGAGGAAAAAGAAAGGTTCGAAGAAAAGTTCATAAACTCAAACGAAGAAGATGAGGAAGAAAAGAGTGGAAAATTTAACGATGAAGATGAGGAATATAATTCAAATGATGAAATGAGTGATACTCATGTAGAAAGTGAGCACCTTATGAGTGACTATGAAGAGCTCGAACCAACACCAAATAGTACTGAACTGCCTTCACAAGCTCACACTTCCATTGAAAGCGAGGAGGAGGAATACAAATTTGAAGACGAGGAAGATGCAACAAAAATTACCAAAAAAAGGAAGCATCAAGAAATTGAAATTCAAGAAAAAAGGAGGACGCCAATAACCAATGACACTACCAAAATTTTAACAAAGGAAGAACTTGAACTAGAAGACAAACTGTCTCAAATAACTGATGGCTGCTCAAAACTGAAAGGTCTTACATTAGAAAAAGTCAGACAAATGAAAGAGGTTAAAAAACCAGTCTCTAAGGAGGTGGTAAAATCCATGATGTACGATACTTTGAGAAAGGTAGAACTTGAGGGCACCAAAAAGATAACAAACGAAAGCAGAAAACATAGAGCAGAATCAAGAAGAAACCTTAAAAGTAATCAACTTGACACTAGAAAGAAAAATCTCAAATTTGCTAAATCTCCAATACACGATTGGGGTTTATTCGCGTTGGAAGATATTGAACAAGGCGAAATGGTGATTGAGTATGTGGGGGAGGTAATAAGAGAAGCCCTTTCAGATATTAGAGAAAAAAGATATGAACAAATAGGCATTGGTTCAAGTTATTTATTCAGGTTAGATAATGATCTTATTATTGATGCTACAAAGAGAGGAAATTTAGCAAGATTTATTAACCATTCTTGTGATCCGAATTGTTGTGCCAGAATTATTGAGGTTGACAAACAGAAGAAAGTATGCATTTATGCTCTGAGAAAGATTCTTGTAGGCGAAGAGATTACTTATGATTATAAGTTTCCAATTGAAGAATCTAAAATTCCATGCAAGTGTGGCTCTCAGAAATGCAAAAAATGGCTTAATTAAATTGATTTTTTTACAATGAATTTTATTATAGTTAGTTTTTACAAAATGTTACAATTATTTGACGGAGAGAGTCTTGGCCTTTTCGACAGCCTTCTTCTTAATATTGTTGGCAAAAAGATCAGAACCATCCTTAGATACATAACCAATGAATAATGGATATAATTCACTCTTTGCATCTGGGAACGGATGGCTAGGATTCTTCAAGAAAGCATCAGTGGCATCTAGTTTACCACCAGCATATTTCAAAATAGAGTCCTTTCCACCAGGGTGATTCTTCAAGAATGAAGTAACATTATAAACACGATTGAAAACTATGATCCAACAATCATCAGCCTTGTCATGTTTAGCAATTTCTGTTGGAGTGAAGAACTTGCTGTGCTCTTCTTCACGAAGGGTACCAACAATGTAATCTTCAATTTCAACAAAGGCTCTTTCTGGATGTTGAATTCCATAGAAACCACCAGTAGCATCACCACCAGAATTACGAACAATAACATCGCCACCAGGATGAGATGGTGCAAATTTAGTCAGATCATAGACTTTGTTATCAATAATAACCCACAAATCATCCATAGAGTTGTGTTCGGCAACTTCTTTACGGGTAATTCCCATTCTATTTGTGTGTTGAATTTCATCAACTTCATTGGTTGCGCTTTCATCAGCAGCTTCCTTGAAGAAAACAAAATAAATGACAACCAAAACAAGACCAACAGTGATGCCTAGACCAATTGGAGAGGTAAGAAGAGCAAGTAAAGACATTTTTTTTGTGTGGAGTTTTTTGATTCAAAAAGTAAATGATAAAAAGAGGAGTGCGAATATCTTTGTAAAAAGATGAGATTAGGTGAAACCATTCAGTTTCTAAGAATTTGTTAATAACAACGTAATGACACTTATTTTTATTACTGATATTAAACAGAGAATTAGAAATTGCTGAATAGTTTGAAGTGTGTTTTGGCGCTAATTATCAGGATCTTGTTTGAAAAAATGGCGCCAAAATACTTACATTTACAAAAAAAATGAAGAAGCAACACCACGCCTACACACTGAGATGTGATGACAAATATCATCGATTGGATATTAATATTGTTATATCCCACAAATTTTTAGAACACAACAAGAAATCATGCTTGGAACACCCATTAAGGCATGAGTTTTGCATTGAAGAGGACAAATTCTTACTTTTCATGGAACACAGAGGAAGAATTAATGATGATGATGAAAAAAGATCGACTGTGTCGGAACTTATTCAAGAGTATAGAGAAGAACGTAAAAAGAATCCATCACTCTTTAACAAGGCTGATGTTGATGGTAATCTTCTGAGGGATCGATTGGCAGCTTTAAAAGAAATGGGCCTTCGATACCAAATATTATACACAGAAATTAGTGAAGAAATTGAAAAAATTGTAAGTTAAGATTGAATGTTGATATTGAACAAATCAGAAAGAAGAAATGGAAAAGGAAAAAACTGAAGAGGAGAAGTTGATTAGAATTAAAAAACAACGAGAGAAGAAGGTTGTCAATTCTAAACTTCCCATCAATCGACAACAAACCATAATCTACTCTTCAGAACAAAGAATACAATTCAGTCCAAAGGTTGAAATTACAGTATCAGGTAAAAATTTTGGACCAACTGTGCTCACCAGTAGAGAAAAATATCTAGCTGACACCTCTCCGGTGCTAATGGTATGTTTTTCAAATCTTTTACACTAATTTTTGAAAAGAAAATATTGGAAGAAACTCTCGAAAAGCAAAACGAATCTGAAGAAAAATTTAAACAAATTTCTTTTCATGAGCTAGATAAGCAGTATAAGGATTTCAAGTTATATGATTGTTTCCATCCAGACACATTCAAGAAATTTATATTATTTGCCGAAAATCCCAACCTCAAACAAAAATACCATTCAATATTAGAAAGGCAGACAGAAGTAAACACTGAAAATGAGAACAATATTTCAGAAGCCATAAAACGATTGCAAGAGGTAAAAGAAAACCATTTAAAACGGTTCGAAGAAAACATTTCACGATATAAGAATGAATTAGAACAAACACTGGAGAAATGTAAGGAGTTTGATATGGAAAAGCTTAGATTATTATATGAAGTTCACAAGTATAATGAGCTTGAAAAAGTTGACAGCCTATTAGAGGCAAGAAAGAAAGATATTGAGGCTTTCTTTGAGGAAGAAGAGAAGAAAACAAAAGAATTGTATGCAAAACAGCAAACTTCAAGAAGAACTCAAATATCAGGGGACTTGGTTAAATGTGAAAAACTATTGAGTGAAATTTTTCCCTCTGAAACAATTGTTCCATTATTGATTCTATCAGATATTTTGGAAGTTACAGAATTGAAAAATTATTGTATTCAAGCTGTTACTGAAAAGTTTGGGGAGCATGTTTATAAGGAGGCTCTTGGTTCGAGAATTATGGCAGAAACAATGACACAAATTTTGAGTCAATTACCTGTAGAAAAATTGAAAGAACTTAAAACTACATATGGATTTCATTTCCAAAGATCGGCTGTTGAGAAGGAAATTGATTACAGGAAGGGAATGTTTGCAGATGAGTATAGAGAAAAATCAGTGGAGGAATTAATGCTTTTCCTTAAAAGAGGTGTAGTATTTCCAGATGTTTTAATGGCAGAGCTAGAAAAAAGAAAAGAGAAGAAACCATATGTTTCCCTCAATACTGAGCGTTGCTCCCCATTTTTGTTAATTGATGATGATTATTTGACAGTACATTTAAAAGGGCAAAAGAGATATTCTTGTGTTCATGCTTCACATTCGCTCAATTTTCAAGGGTGGGCAAAATGGTATTTTGAGGTATCAATAGAACAATTTGATGAATCATTTGGATCAAGCATTTCAATTGGGTGGGATGTTGAGAGAACTGGGTGGGATGGGCCTATTATTGGTCTCACACCTGGTTACAGATCTCAATTTGGATACAGTTGGCAGTCTGATGGGTGTAAGTAGTCATTAATTAAGTTTATAATGAAAAATCAAAACAGTACTTCATTTCTATGGAAAGGGAATGTTTATAGGAACTAAGTTTGTTGCTGGAGATGTGATTGGATGTGGAATCAATCAAATTAAGAAAAAATTGACATTTTACAAAAATGGGGAAAAGATAACCCTAATTAAAAAAGAATCTAACAGAAGGGTTCAGGAAATCAAATATATCACTATTCAGGATGAGAGTTACGAATTATTCCCTGCAGCATGTTTGTATTCAACAAAGAAAAATTCTGATTGTACAGTGAGATTTAACTTTACAGGACCATTCATTGGACAACCAAAACATTATGAAGCTTATGGAAGTGAGAGACAAATCTTGAAACAACAAAAACAAATCAAACAAGCACTTCAACTTAATTAAAAAAAAGCTTTTCTTCTTTTGAGGTTTTAAGAAGAACAGACATGAGTATTTTTCTGGCCACTTTCTTATTAAACGACTTGAGGGGCGCTGTGCTTATTCCAGCCAAAAATTTTGTAATGATGAGCCGTACTGTTGTTCTCGTTTAGTGGGATAGTTTTAAAAATATTTATTTAGAGTTTTTTCCAGATGGTCTTAACTTCCATGAACAAGTCAACTCCAAAAGTACTTAATTCAACAGCAATACCAGACTTTTTACGGGTTGGCCATGGGCATTGACAGAGACAAGGTTGAGAGGCTGTAAAAAATTATTGGAATAATTCAATCATGTTATAATTAATAAAAACTTACAATTCAACCACAAAGAACCAACAACCAATTGACGTCCAACACGTTCTAATCTTTCATCACTTCCTGACATGACAGCAGCGGCCAAACCATATTCAGTATTGTTGGCCATTCTAATAGCCTCTTCTTCAGTTTCAAATGGTACACCAACACTCAAAACAGGACCGAAAATTTCTTCCTTCCAAATGGTCATATCTTCAGTAACGTTGGCAAAGATGGTTGGGGCAACAAAGAATCCCTTAGTTGGATCTTGAGCAGCAGCCTTTTCTGGTCTACCACCACCAACAAGACAAATAGCACCTTCCTTCTTGGCAGTTTCAATATAATTCATAACCTTATCATATTGAATCTTTGATACTTGAGCACCATGAGAAACAGACTTGTCAAAGAGAGAATCACCAGTAACAATCTTTCTAGTTCTTTCAACCAATTTATCCATCAAAGATTGATAGATAGACTTGTGAACTAAGAGTCTTGAAGTGGCAGAACAAATTTCACCCTTATTAGCAAAAATACCTCCAACAATGGATTCAACAGCCAAATCAATATCACAATCTTCGAAACAAATAATTGGACTCTTACCACCCAATTCCAAATTACAACGAGTCAAATTTGGAGTACAAGAGGAAGAAACTTTCAAACCAGTTGCCAATGAACCAGTGAATGAAACCTTCTTAATACGTGGATCACTTGTCAACAAATTACCAATCTTGTAACCATAACCAGCAACAATATTAATAACACCTGGTGGGAAGATATCCTTAATATATTCACCCAAAACAAGAGTGGTCAAACTAGTATATTCAGATGGCTTGAAAACACATGAACAACCAGTAATCATTGCAGGACCCATCTTCCACATTAATAATAACAATGGATAATTGAATGGCAAGATTGAAACACAAGGTCCAACAGATTCGAAAACAATACGATTGGACAAACCATGTTTTTCACTTTCATGATGTTCATTGGTGTAACCATCCAATTTCTTTTGAACATATCCAGCAAGTGATGCATAATATCTGAGAGTATTACAACACTCATCAACATCAGCTAATGATTCAAAATATGTTTTACCATTGTTTTGAGTTTCCAAAGTGGCCAACTTTTCCATATTTTCTTGCATCTTATCGGCAAGTTTGTTCAAGCAAGCAGCTCTATTGAATATTAGGTTATCAAAATATTACACTTATTAACACACAAACCTTTCGGAAACTGGTGTATTCTTCCATCCTTCAAAAGCATTGACAGTACTTTGAACAGCAGAACGAACTTGTTCTTCAGAGGCTTGAGTGATCAAACCGATTACCTCTTCGGTGCAAGGATTGACAACAGGAATATACAATTCATCTTGACTTGTTGTTCCTTCCTCAGATTCTCTTGAAACAAATTGGTTGTTGATGAGGGAGTGATACTTTGTAAGAGACATTGTGATGCGTTTTTTTATTGGTGGATGAACCGGTTGGAATGGTGAGACGAGTTTAAAAAGAGGCCGAGGCGAAAATTTCACAGTGTATGATGATTGGATGCACCTAGACAGTAACTCAGAGTTACAGTTTACAAAGAGTTGTAGGTTCATTATTCATTTGCCCTAAGAACTACTACACCTTTAACTTTAACAAGAGATTAAAAAGGAATATCTCTTTAACAATTTAATTTAAAGAATCTAATATGCAAAAACAGTCACAAACATTGGTGTTTTCTTTCACCACTAACCAATAAGGGATATTAATACAACAAAAAGATTTTTTTTAATAAATATAAAAAATGACATCACCAGTTACCAAACAATTTCCGAATCTCTTTTTTGATTTACATTCAAATGAAGAGGAACTCATTGAACAGATCAGGTTTGTAGATTTTAAATTATCTTTAATCACCTTTACAGACATGAATTTACCACTAACTTTTTTGAAAAAGTTTCCGAGGTTAAAATCAAAAGATTAACAGGAGGAATAACAAATAGAATTTACAAAGTGGATGTCAATGATAAACAGGTTTTATGTAGAATTAATGGATTATGTACAGAAAAAATAATTGACAGAGATGTAGAACTTTTCCACATGCAAGAAATGCACAAACACGGTCAAGGCCCACAAGTCTATTGTGTTTTTAAAAATGGTTACGTTTATGATTTTATTGTTGGAGAATGTACATCTACTGCTGAATTAATGGCTGATAAAGCTGAAAAAATAGCTGAAAAGCTTGCAAATTGGCACAAGATGCAAATTGACAAGGAAGATAGAGCTCCAGTACTTTGGAAGCTTATTAACAAATGGTTAGATAATACCAAAGCTTTTGAATGGAGTGGAGAAAAGAAAGTCAATTTTGAAAAATGTAGGTTCGACATGGTTGTAGAACAATGTGAAAGGTTACAAAAAGAAATTTTTGCCAGTAAGCCTAACACTGTTTTGGATCCCAAGGATTTAAACCAAGTTTTGGATTTATTTTCTATTGGTTTTTGCCATAATGACTTGTTAGCCCTCAATGTATTGTACAATAAGGATGATGACTCTGTACATTTCATTGATTATGAGTATTGTGGATATAGTTTCAGAGCTTTTGACATTGGAAATCATTTTGATGAATATGCAGGATTCTCATTAGATAAGAAAGACTACCCAAGCACTGAAATTCAAACTAAATTTATCAGAAAATACCTTGAAACCTTGTATGAAGGTCCTCCAAGTGATATATCTGATCACCATGTAGAAAAGTTCAGAAATGGAGTTACATTGTTTGCTTGTATTGGTCATCTCTATTGGGGTGTTTGGGCTATTAGTCAAGCATATTACTCAGATATTGATTTTGATTATTTACAGTATGCAAAAGGAAGATTTGATTGGTATTTTGAAGAAATACAAAATGTAGATTTTGCTAATTTGTAATATCAGAAATAATAATAAATACTAAAAAATATTATGAAAAAATGAACAATAATGTTTCCTCTGTAACACTACATCGACATGAGGACGAAGAAGATGAATCCAGTAATATTTTGGAGGAAATATCAAGAGTACAACATTTTACTAACGAACCTGAGGTGGAATACGATAGGTTTCCTTCTGGTTCAAGTATTTCTCTGCCTTCTCAACATTACGGAACAAGCAACGAATTGAAACATAATTCTCTTTTAATAACGTCAAACAAATTATTTCAAGCCAATAAGCCCCATAAACTGCAAAGAAATGCTGTGATTTCCAATGCTTTTACTTGTGCCATTTCAGTTTTGTTAATAATATTATGCATTATTCTTCCGTTTATTCCTTTTTATCAATTTATTGATATTAGCACTACATATTATGTCACCTCTTTTATGATTGTATTTTTGCCAGTATGTGTTGTACTTTTTGTGACAAGTATTATTGGTATGATAACTTTCAAAACGAGTAAGGACTACATCAAGAGCTTACATATTGGATATATTTGTTCTTTATTGTTTATTGTCTTTTTGAATTCAATCTCTATTGCAATAATGTTCATTTCAACAGAACCAAATTATCACTTTAATAGCTATTTGAGTTTATCTGTTTCTGTTGTTGTTCTGAATATTCTTATTGCTACTTGGTCAACAATAATGATAGTCATCACAATTATTAGAATGAGGAAAGAATCGTTTGAATATCAATATGGAAAACAGGCAAAGCCTCAGGTTAATCTATTAATTTGAAAAATACATAGAATTTTGGAAGTAGATTAATCGCCAGGTTTTTTATGGAATACAAGAGAGAGCTCCCAAAGCTCATTGGAACGTTTAGTATTTTGTGTGCCACCAAAAAAGTAGGTTTTTGTAAGCTTTTGTAAAGAAATGTCAGCAGGCATTCTCAACATTATTGGATCGCTATTTTTGTCTTGATTTGCTGGATGCTCGTGCAAATATTTGGAAACTTGATGTTTTGCTAAGGATGATAAATGTTGCTTTTCGAAAGGCCTATAAGTATTGCAAGAAATATGAGAATAAAAATCTGAAGCAGCCATATGTTTGTATCGATGAGTTGGTAGATCAGTTGTGCTGTTCCAATTATCTGAAATATCAATCCAAACATTTGCTAATAAATCCAATAACCAAACTCTGTCATTGATTTTTCTTGTATTTCCTTTCAATCCTCCAAATACCATTATTCTATTTCCCCAAACGGTTGCAGAATGACCATACAGAGAGCCATCCTTGAATGGTCCTTGAATTTTTGGTATTTTGATCTCTTGCCAAAAGAAAGACCGTGTGTCCAACGACCAAACAGAATCTTCAATTTCATTGGCACCGTTCATTCCTCCAATAATGATTATCTTTGAATCAATGACACTTGCTGTATGCAGAAATCTGGGTGATGGTTTTGGTAATACGGGAATAAGGGGAATCCAGAAATTTTGAGACCTACTGAAAACATACAAGTCATCTAATGCTAAAAAGTTCGACCCTTCTCCTCCATGAATAAACAATAAATCATCTTTCACTGCACACACTGAATGCATTCTAGGTGTTGGTTGACCTTTTACACCATTACTGTTCGATTTGCTTAAGCATTTCCAAATAGGAAATGGATCAGGTTTAAATATCCATAAGTCATTATATAGTGTTCTACTATCAGAATCACCTCCTCCAAAGATGCACATAGTATTCGAATCAAAAACACCAGCACAATGCCCAAAACGTTTTTCTGGAATGCTGTGGTTATGCAATGGGTCAATCATAACCTTCATCCATTTTTGTAACCCAACCTCAAACAACCATGTCTCACTAGAAGAACCACAATTTGTAGATCCTCCAAATAAACACAATTTTCTTTTGGAAGGAAAAGCTATTAGTGATCCCGAGTTTGTTGGAGGAGGAGATTCATTGAGCATTAAGCTATCCATTGTTTCAAATTCATAACGTTCTCCAAATTTAGTTCCAACAGGTTTTTCAAGCGTTTTCTTTGATTCTTTCTGAATAACCTTTGACCATTTAACACTATTCATTGATGCTTCAATAAAACTATGATTAATTTGAGTGTCATTGACACTTGGGGAGATTTTACCTTCAAGATGATTTGTTAGAGAAATTGTATGGGAAAATAAATTACGGAGGGAGTCTCTAGAAAGAGGATTGCTAGGGACATGGGAAAGAGTGGAATTTAAATTGATCTTATCCATCAAATTGGAAGAGTTAAGGTCAGTAACGGTTTTTTTTAAATCCCCTGATTCTTTTCTTTCCAATTTTTGGGTGGGCACTGCATTAGTTGTTTTTCTTGGCTCTAATTTTAATAGGGTAAATCTCCCACTATTAGATAGTGTTTCAATTTCTATTGGGACAGTATTGTCATAGGAGTTTTTTGTGGTCCATGCTTGATCTTTGAAAGACCTATTCATTGGGCTTTTAGAGATGAGAACCACTGAAGAAGAGTTGCTTTCCGGGATTTTTATGGGTTCGGGAGCTTTTGCATGGTTATTTTTCTTTGAAAGAGAGGAAATTTCTAGCTCACTAAAAGGTTCAGTAGGTTTTTTCCTGAATGAGATTGAGTTTTCATTATTTGGCTGAAAACTAACATCCTTCTTTCTAATAGGACTGAGAGGAGTTTTCTTGATAAACGTTTCTTCCTCAATAACTAGTTGAGGTGATTTACTGGTCGATCTTCTGTTGTCACCTTTAGGTGAAGATATGGTTAAACCAAATAATCCTTTCTTTTCAATTTTAATAGGATTTAATTTTTCATCATTTGTTTGCTTGTTTTTTTCTTCATCATTTTGAAAACTGGACCTTAATTGATTCCTTTCATTCCGATTATACTGTCCACTTTTCCTGTTGTATTCCATCTCCACCCGTTCATCATTGTTACTTGCATCCAGAAAGATATTTCCAACTTGAATTGTTGGATTTCCACTCGGAGGTCTAATATCAAAATTACCGTTGATTGAGGGATGTTTCAAACTTGATGAAGACCTCTTTCTCATAATTTTTTTGTTGATTTTGAAAACTGTAGATTTTGGCGGTTCAAAAACAAAAAATGCAACAAGATCCCAATCGTAGGAACATCACTCGTCATTACAACCCAAAGGAAACATGTTATCATCTTATCGGAGACTTTAAGTTGCTTTCTCCGTGGAATAAATTTAAAATTAATATTATTCAGCTTAGAGCAGAGTGGGGTATACTTTCCCACAATCTATCACAACAACAAACGTTACATAATAATTATAAATTTTCTGATCCACACCACAATGTGGCTTGGAGAGAGATGTATCATCCACAAGTAGTGAAATCAATGAGAAATAGAGTCAAGACTTGGATTAAAATTACTTCTTTTTTTTCAGCAATTTCTCTCTTTGTGGTCTATCCTATTGTTGAAAAAACTTTAGAAATTGAAAGAAAGAGGAGAGATCTTTTCATTTCTCAAAGAAATACCTTCATAAAAGAGAAGTCTCTTTAATTTTTTAATGAAATAATCAAAATAGAAGGTGATTAGTGAAATCTCTCTTTGCACCTATGGTAAAAAACGAATTTAAATGATGTAAATTCTTCTTCAACAATAAAAAGCAAATATTGTTTCAAAAAAAAATTCGAACATTTCACCAAGAAAAAACGGAATTTGAAATCGTGACAATTGCTTTTAATATTTGAAAATATAACACAATGGCTAGTGATGAATTAATATGGTCAATTTTAGACAAATCATTTTGTTCATTTAAGAACAAGGCAACCGATAAGAATATGTGCACAAATCCTATGAATGTGGATGGTCAATGTAGAATGGTTTATTGCCCATTAGCAAATAGTAAATATTCAACAGTAGTTGAAAAGAAAGGCCGCTTGTATCTATGTATAAAAACACCGGAACGTATGCACTTACCAAGTAAAATGTGGGAAAAGATTTTAATTTCTGATAACTATCAACAGGCACTGAAGGATATTGATTATCATTTGCAATGGTGGGATCATCAAAAGATTAACAGAGTAAAGAAAAGATTTACAAAATTGTACTTGGTACTGAGAAGAATGAGAAAACTTAGAAGCAAAGTACAACACAAGATTAAGACCGTCAATAGAACCTTGGAAAAGCGATTGGAAAAGAGAGAAAAGAGAGCTGAAGAAGTTGCCAGAATTGAACATACAATAGAAAGAGAATTGTTGGAAAGATTAAGAAATGGTGTGTATGGTGATCTCTATAAGAAGAAGATTAAACAAAATGAAAAAAAGAAGGAAGAAGAAACAGAGGAAGAATATAATATTGATTTGGTTGCTGACTCCGATGATGAAGATAATTTTGACCCAGATAATCTGAATAAGTTTGAATTGGAAGAAGAGAATGAACAAGATATCGAGGATATGTATGCTGATTTAGAAAATAGTTACAGTGACGATGACAACACAAGTGTTGGATCTTCTGCATCTCAGGCTGATATGGAAGATTTAATGAAAGATTTACAAGACTCTGATATTAGAAAGAGAAAACGTGACAATAGCCGATCCAATTCAAAGAAAGTCAGATATGATTATGAACGGGAATACGAACAAGTTTCAAACTCTAATTTACAACATTAAATTGATTATTTTTAATTTCAAAATACATTTGTTTTCATTATTTTGTTGAACTTAAAATTTTAATGTTAAAAAAAATGGCATCTATTCAAATCGGTGGTTTTCTCTTCGATGATGAAAAACCGGAAGCAAAACAACAAACAACTGCGACTTCGAATAATTTATTAAAAAAGAGAACATTAGATTCCTTCATAAATGATAAGACGAAAAAAGAGATTGAACAAAAAGAAAAACTTTTTCTAGGTGCTTCATCTTCTTCTGTTAGACAACAGTCAACCGTTCCTGGCGGAATAGCAATGGCAATGAGAAGTAAAAATATTGGGAATGATAAAAAACATCATAATAACAACAATAATAATATGCCAAAATCAGTAGAGGAATTAACAAAAGTTTCACAAATTCCTGCCAGAAGAACAAAAACACCAAACGAATCAATTGTTCAAGATGGAAAGGAGGAATTCTCTGCTGTTATTAATAATGATCTTTTTTGTCCGGAACCACTTTCATCATTTTCTACTCAACTATCACCAATAGTTATTTCTACTCTAACAAATCAAATGGGAATTGAAAGGCTAACAAAAATTCAAACAAGAGCACTATCACCAATTTTAGGAAAGTCAAACGTATTGATGAAATCAGAAACAGGCAGTGGTAAAACATTGGCTTATTTGATTCCATTAATAGAAATGTTATATAGACAATCCTTGGAGAAAAAGATATCACGTGATGATGGCACATTTGCAATAATTTTAGCTCCAACAAGAGAACTTTGTGTGCAAGTTGATAAAGTTCTAAAAAAGATTACCTCCTCGCTAAATTTTATGGTATGTGGTGGAATTATGGGTGGTGAAAAAAGAAAGAGTGAGAAGGAGAGATTAAGAAAGGGTGTTAATATCCTAGTTGCAACACCTGGAAGGTTAGAAGATCACTTGAGAAGCACTCAATCATTCAAATGTGACAAGGTAAAATACTTAATTTTGGATGAGGCTGATATTTTACTTGATTTTGGATTTGAAGAAAGAGTTAAGAATATTTATCAAATGTTAATTCAGAGAAAGTTACAAAACCCATTGATATCTCAAAATCAAACTGAAAAGACACTTTCTGAATCTATACAAAAAGTTTTAGTGAGCGCTACTCTCCATTCAAAGATTCAAACTTTGGCACAACAAATTGACGTTGTAAATGCACTTTACATTGGTCATGGAAGTGATGGAGAATTTATTGAGAAGGTTTTCAATTTAATCACTGACAAATTGCCTTCAAATATATTTACAATTCCAGCTCACTTGACTCAATATGCTATTATTGTACCTCCTCAATTTAGACTTGTAATGTTGGCTGGATTTTTGAGATCAAAGACCATGAGTGAAAGTTTAGAGCAAGAACCAGGAAAAATAATTGTATTTTTATCATGTTGCGACTCTGTTGAATTCCACTATAATTTCTTTAAATACTTCCAATCCAAATTTAAATTTATTAAGGAAGTCGTTCAAACAACTCAAAAGAAGCGTACTGGAGCAATGGAAACAGACTATAGCGAAGATGCTTTTAGACAAATGGTTAAATATGAGACTGACGAGCCACTTATTCACGTTCCATTATTTAAATTGCATGGAGATATTGAACAAAAAGAAAGAACCAATATCTTTAAACAATTTAGTGATGCAAAAGAAGGTGTTTTATTTTGTACAGATGTGGCCGCACGTGGTTTGGATTTACCATGTGTAAAATGGATTGTTCAATATGATCCACCTGGTAATCCAAAAGAATATTTACATCGTATTGGTAGAACTGCTAGAATGGGTGTTAAAGGACATGCTGTAATGTTCCTTCATCCTCATGAAGAGCTCTATAAGAAACTATTGGAAAAGTACAAGTTAACTATTCATGAAATTAAGGGTGAAACATGTTTGGAATCGATTATTCTTTCATTCCGTAGGAAATCGATGAGAGATCCAATTGAAGCAGCTGCTTGGTTACAAAATATTTTTGAACAAGAATTGGTAAATAGTGGAAAGGAAAATACTGAATTATATTCTTTGGCTGTTAATGCCTACTTCAGTTATATCAAATATTACAGTACCCACGGAGGTGATGTCAAGTATATTTTCCATTTGAATAACTTACATTTAGGTCATTTAGCCAAATCTTTCGCTCTTAAAGATTCTCCTTCAAAGATTAAGGAAAGACAACAGACTCTTGGTGTAAAGCCTCTCTCTGTAAAAAAACAAGAATTGGAAACTGTTTATGCAATGAAGGACAAATTGGGCAAAAAAGAATTTTTAAGAAGACTGAAAGATATTAGAGGTAGTAGCTCTATCAAGTCTAAAGACAACAAGAGAAAGAGAGACGATGAACAAGAAGAAGAGAATAATGAACAAGCTGTAGATGAGTCAACCAAAGATGAGGGATATGAAAGCTTCTCTGATGACGATGATAATGAACAAGAAGATATAGGAATGACTGAGAAGAGTAGCAAAAATCCACAACAACCTCCTGTATTGAAACCAAGTACTGGTCCAGTAACTCTGAGGTTCAACAAGAATACAAATGGAGGGAATAAGGTAGTTTCATTTGGGAAGCCAAGTAATAGTGATGGCACTGAGGCTTCAACCACTGTTGGTAGCTTCTCTTCTAATTCCATTCCAACCTCAGGCTCTTCTACAAATAAGACTCAAACAGCCCAAGAAGCAAAACCAAAATTGGCTACGAATAACGGTACTACACCTGCTACAATGGGTGATAACACCTTGACACCACTTCAATTAAGACAAATGGAATTGAAAAAGAAAAAGTTGACACCAAATGAACGTATGAAGTTGTATCGTGACTATGAAAAGGGTAAAGTACAACCATCTCGTCCAAAGATTGTAATTCCAGAAGGATTAAGAAAGAATAAGAAAAAGAATGAAAATGATTCTGGTATGGGTGTATCTTTTGATGAAAGCAAAGTTATTTCCAAACCAATCACAGAATATGACCAACTTTTAAGTAGATATGCTGGTAATGAAAGTACCAGAACGGGTAGAATGATGATGAGTTCAACCAGCGAATTTGATGCCTCTGTTCCAAATTCTAATAGAATGAGGTTGAATCCTGTAGATGATACCCCTAAAAGAAATAATTGGCATGGAAACAAGAAGGGAGGAAACAATTATAATAAGAAGAGAAAATATTAAATATCAAATACTAGCATTCGAAAAACAATTTAATTTTGTATTTTAAATGTGCTCGCAAGCTGGTTGTATTTTAATAATACAAAAAGTTGTCTTCCGGATGTTGCTCGGTAGTTGTCTTCCTCTCATTAATAAAAATTAATTAAAAAAAATACAACATTCATCATCTTCCCTCTTTTTTAAAATACAATGAGCGGCTTGCAATTGTTGAACCCAAATTCTGATTCTGCTAATATTTCTGAAGCTCGTCTGATAAATATTGCTGCTGCAACTTCAATTCAAAATCTTCTTAAAACCAATATTGGACCAAGAGGAACATTGAAAATGTATGTAGAAAAGTAGTAATACATTATCCGAATAATAATATTTAATAGGTTGGTCAGTGGTGCTGGTGATATCAGAATCACAAAGGATGGATCCATTCTTCTCAATGAAATGGTACGTTTTATATTATGAATTGTCATAATTAACTTATTTATGTGGTAATTAGCAAATTCAACATCCAACAGCAGCCCTTATCGCTCGTACTGCCACAGCACAGGATGACATAACTGGAGATGGTACAACAACAACAGTTTTATTAATCGGTGAAATGTTACAACAGGCAAACAGATTCTTGATGGAAGGATTGCACCCATCTGTTCTTATTGAGGGTTTTTATTTGGCTAAAGCCGAAGCCAGAAAATTCCTCGAAACATACAAGGAAGAAATGAAAGAAAAAATCAAGATTGACCGTGAAGTTTTAATTAGTGTTGCTAGAACTGCTCTCCAAACTAAATTATATCCAGAACTCGCCAATCAAATGGCTGATATTATTGTTGATGCTATCAAATGTGTTCAAATTGATAATCGACCAATTGACTTATTCATGGTTGAACTTATGCACATGCAACACAAGATGGATCTTGAAACTAGATATGTCAATGGTTTAGTTTTGGATCATGGTGCTCGTCACCCAGATATGAAACGTGAAGCTAAGGATTGTTATATTTTAACATGCAACGTTGGTTTGGAATATGAAAAATCTGAAGTTCACTCATCTTTCCAAGTCAACAGTGCCGAAAAGAGAAAACAACTTGTCGATGCCGAAAGAAAAGTTGTTGATGATAGAGTTCAAAGAATTATTGATTTAAAGCACCTAGTTTGTGGAGATGATCCATCTAAGAACTTTGTTGTTATTAATCAAAAAGGTATTGATCCTATCTCTCTTGAAATGTTTGCTAAGGCTGGTATTATTGCTTTGAGAAGAGCAAAGAGAAGAAATATGGAACGTTTAACTTTGGCCTGTGGTGGTGTTGCTATCAATAGCGTTGAAGAAATGGCACCTGACGTTTTGGGATATGCTGACCATGTTTATGAACAAGTTATTGGTGAAGAAAAATATACTATTGTTGAAGGTTGCAAGAATCCACACAGTTGTACAATTTTATTCAAGGGACCAAATAAGCACACTATTGCCCAAGTGAAGGATGCAGTCAGAGATGGTTTGAGAGCTGTCAAGAATGCTATTGAAGATGGTGTTGTCATTCCAGGAGCTGGTGCTTTTGAAATTGCTTTAAGTGCTCATTTATTGAAATATGCCGACTCTGTTCAAGGTAGAGTTAAGTTGGGAGTTAAATGTTTTGCTGAAGCTCTTTTGGTTATTCCAAAATCTCTTGCTCAAAATTCTGGTCTAGATACCCAAGATATCTTGATTAAGCTTCAAGAAAAACACCAAAAGGGACAACCAGCTGGTTTGGAAATTTATTCTGGTGAAGCTATTGATCCAATTCAAGCAGGTATTTTGGATAACTTTATTGTAAAACAACAAACACTGGAAGCTGCCACATTTACTGCCACTCAACTACTCTATGTTGATGAAATTCTCAAGGCAGGTAGAGCCCAAAAACCAAAGACAGAAGAACAAGATATGGAAGATTTCGAATAAATTTAAATAATAAATTATTTTCTCAAACAGCCTGTTTAATGATAGAAAAACGGAAGAACTAGAAGTAACTTGTTTGAACAATTATGAAGAGATTAGGTAGTGGCACCAAGACATGTTCTGTAATATTTACCAAAAGTTCATAGAGTCGCATTGCTTAACTCTTGACTGTTTATTGTGCTTCTATCAGGAAAATGGCATTAACTTTCAGCATCCTTAATTCCTTCATTTGAAATTTGATAGATTGCTTCAGCCTCTGGTAAAGAAGGTGAGTCATAAACCTTGCAAACACGTTGTTCTGCTCTTCCTTTTCTCAAATAAAGTCTAGTGGTACTAGCATGAGCAAGAATATTACCTCCAACAGGTTTTTTGGGATCGGCTGTGAACATTGAGGCTCCAGATGGATCAGCTTGTACTTGATTTGTAATAAACACAGCAACATTGAATTCCTCAGCTAACTTCATCAAACTAGACAAGTATTGACCTAGTTTTTGTTGTCTCTCACTCAACTCTCCTCTTCCACAATAATCTACTCTAAAGAGGGCTGTAACACTGTCAACTATGAGTAATCTGAATGTGTCCTCAGCAAATTTCGAAGTCAATTGAGGCAACAATTGGAGCTGGTGATCGCTGGTGTAGGCTCTTGCAACAACAATGTTTGAGAGAACATCTTCACCATTCAAGCCAAACCTTTCTGCAATTGGTCCAATTCTCTCAGGTCTAAACGTCCCTTCCGAGTCAATAACTGCAACCTTTCCACTTCCTCCACCTTGAGATCTTGGTAATTGAGCAGTTACGCACAAAGTATGACACATTTGAGTTTTACCAGTTCTAAATTCGCCAAACACTTCTGTAATTGACATGGTTTCAATCCCACCTCCAAGTAAAGTATCTAAAACGCTTGATCCAGTAGTAATTCTAATAACCTTCTTTCTTTTTCCCATAAAATCAATTCCTGAAACGAATCCACTAAAACTAATCTTTGATGTTGCTTCCAAAATCTTGTCAACTTTAGCTTCACTCAACCCCTTGATGGCACACAACTTTTTACGTGTTCTCATCATGATTGATTCCACAGTGTAAATTCCAGCCTCCTTCAACTGGTTCATTATGAAAAGGCTTCGTCAATATCAAGATACTTACCTTTTTAATATCGGCTGCACCAATTCCAACCTCTTGAAGTTTGTCGATAAGGCTCCAACTTTGCTCATCTGAATCAGCACAAGCCTCGGTTTCTTCTTCTTGATTAGTTTCTTCTTCTTCCTCTTCAACTTGAGACTCTTTCTGCTTTTGCTTTGCCATATTTTGACTAGTGTTTGGTTTGTTTTTTTTTGAAATGACTATTCTAATCAGCTACACATCTCTTTAAATAGTCCCAAAATGCGCGTAAAATTACAAAAGATTGTATTCTTTCATTGTGAAAGCCTTACTTCACACAACAAGCCTAAAATAATTTCCCTCCAAAATGTTATCACTTTCAATGTTCTCCATTCAAACAGAACAATCTGCCATCCGAGAGTTGCTTGGAAGGTCTATTAATTGTGTCGTCCTCATTAACCCTAATAATAATTTAATAATTGCTTAAAAAATTATCTTACGAAGTTGCATGCAGTATCTCCTTATTGTTCATATATTTCAAAATATAATGAATTATAGATTGGATAACATTAATATTTAAACGTATTTCGTACCATGAAGGTTGATCAACTAGGAACTATGCATTGCTTGTTGCACACAAAATAATTCTATTGTTTCACACTCTAACAGTGATTTTGAATCACCTTCAATAGATCAGTCAATGTGTTGGAATACTCAAATCTCTCAAATTTCAGTCAACAACTAAATTAAATCAAGCTCAAAGAAATGATTTACACTGGACAAGAACTGTTTTTAAAGCAATTAAATGAGCCAGCGATATCAGATTTGATCACTAGTAGTAATATTCAAAGGTGTAAGCCTATGGTTAATTTTAAAGATCTGGAATCATTTATTGGATTAAATGAAAGTTTACAAGATAGATGTGATCCAATTTCTGTTTTCTATGAGCCCTACTCTGAAAAACATTTATCCTTTTCATTCCCAATCCCTTATTGTTCTATTCAAGACTCTATCAAAGTTAAGAAAATCACTAATGTAAATGTATCTACCATTAATTTGAATGCAAGTAATGAAACAACAAACGATCCTAAGAAAACAAGAAAGAATTTAAATATGAAAAATCCATTGCCACCCAACTCCAATTCCATCACTTTCACGACACGTGTGTTATCCAGAAATCTCCTTCCCCAAACTCAGTAACTGAGGGGAAAAACATTTTTTTACACTATCAGGACAAACACAATTTACAAACACAACAAACAGGTAATGCAGGAACCTTATCAAAATGGAAATATAAATAAAATCTTGAATTAGGATTTACAATTAATACTATTAATAATAAAATATTATTTCAGATTTTGTAAAGTGTGCTGACGACAATAATTCGTCATCTTTTTTTAAAAAACAAAAAAAATGAGCGAATTATTTGAAACCAGCAATCAAGAAGATGATTTGTTCGGGAACAGTGGTGAGGACTTCTCATCCTTTTTGCAACAACCACTTTCGAAACCAATAGGACAAAACACGGAGTTGGTTTCTGAAATGCATAGTATTTCTTTATCCGATACTGTGGTTAACCACCCAACACACATTGAACAGGAGAATGACCAACAGGAAAACAATGATCAAATCGTGCCTTCTTATGAAACTGTCAAAGAAGAAAAAGAAGAAGAACCCCATACTACTCTTCAAGATGATGGAAAAGAATTTAATTCCGAACCGGTAAACAATGATTTAGGTTTTAATGGTGAAGACGATTTATTCGGTGGATCAACCAGCAATGTACAGGATTTTGGTAGTATGATACTAATGCAACAAACACCTCCGATAGTTGAACCACATATTGCACCCCAAGAAATTGTTCCTCCAATTGTTCAAACTTATTTAAATCAGGAGAGTGCCATTCAACACCCTGAAAGTACCCATCCTATAATTTCATCTCCAACTATTAATACATCTTTTCCTCCAAATAGCGTTCCAACACTCAATCAATCCATCATTGTAAACAATAGTAGTGGTGCTACATCAAGTACTTTGAGCCCACCTCCTTTGCGTTCTACAAATAGTACCTCTTCAATTTCTTCCAGAAATAGATATGTGAATAGTTTCGGAACACAATCCAGATCTGCCTTCACTTTACCTGTTTCTAGCCCACCAAGTGGTACTCCAACAAACATCAATCCTCAAACTCCTCCTATGGTGAATACTGAAAGAGTTGTTACAAGCACTCCCCCATATGGAAATTTAAGCAGTAGTTCTGTTATTCCTCAATATCCTCCAGTGGTTAATGCAATTAATTCAACATTGCCTCAACAAGTTCCAACTCCAACAAATGATAATCACTTTGCAAATCACTATTCCAACAGCCAAAGCATGATTCCACTTAACAATAGATCTGCTGTTATGGAAGGATACTCTTCATCACCTCCACCTTTCCAAGGTAGACAAACACCAACCCAATTTGCAACTACAACTAATGGATTGGTAAATAACCCAATGATTAATAATGGACAAATGGTGAATAACTCATTGATGAATCCTGCTACAGTGAACAATCAAAATATAAATCATTTGAATGGTAACTCAATGATGAGCCAATCAACTATGAGTAATATGGGGATGAATAATGGACAAATGATGAATAATTATGGAATGATGAACTCTACAATTAACAATGCTCATCCAACTAATTTCATGCCTAACAATATGAATAATTCCATGAATATGATGAATCACCCACATTCCAACAGCCCAATGATGATGAATAACCCAATGAACCAATACATGAACCCAATGATGATGAATAATTCAATGATGCAAAGATCAATGTCTCCAAATTATCAACAAAATCAAATAATATCTAGACAAATTTTAGATCAAGAAATTGAGTTACGTAAAACATATCCAAAACCAATATTTTGCTTTTCATTTGGTGGAAAGATTATTACATCTTTACCTACTATTAATCCACACTCGCAACCATCAAACAGCTTTGTTCACCAACAAAGAAATCAAGCTCTATACTATCAACCAGGATTATTTAAAGTGCAAAAATTGAATCAATTAATTAATTATAGGTCCAGTATTATCAAATCATTGGAGGATTATCCAATCACCAATATTTCTCAACAATTTGATGAAAATAATTCAAACAACATTAATATTTTGTTGGATCAATTGGTTAAATATATGAACTTGAAAATATATGAAAAGCAACAAGCCCTTATCCAAGATAATGACGAAAAGTGTATGGGAGAAAAAATGTTATGGGATTTGGTTAAAATTGTAAGCAAATATGTAAATGGCAATGTGAACATGGTAACTAGTGATATTAATTCCCTTCTTACTGTTCTAATTAATAACGTACCAACTGAATTACCAATTAATTCAGAAAATGAACAAACCTCCTTCAATGAGGCGGAACATGTTGTCAGTATTCAAAATTTGTTAATCAATGGCCAAATCAAGCAAGCTTGTCAATATGCACAAACCAACAAGATGTGGTCTCACGCTATACTTTTGAGTAGTATGATTGATAAACAGACATATCAACAAGTAGTTTCCACTTTTGCCAAATTGACTCTCAACTTGGGTAGCCCACTTCGTACTCTGTATTGTACATTTGCTGGAAAGCCTTTGGAAGCATTTGAATCAAACAACTCTGTCAATGTTGATCAATATGGAAATCAATATACATTACAAACATCTCAAAACGAGCAACAACAATTAGAGAAAATGTCCTCTCAGTGGCTACAAAATTTATCCATAATGTTTAATAATAGACAAGGTGCTACCAGTCAATCAGTAATTGAAAAGATAGGAGATATGTTGTGGAAGGATTGCTATCAAGTCCCTCAGTCTCACTTTTGTTACATGATAGGTGACTTGAGTGCTATTGTATCAGCATTTACGATAGCATCTAATTATCAAGCTGCAACTTCAAATCAATCATCCAAGGAAAATATTCAGCAACAATCGCAACAAGCAATGATTGCAATTTCCAATATTCTCTCCACTAGTATTGTAAATAAGAGAGTAATTTTATTAGGTGGTGATAATAAGAGAGATCTTAGACATTATATTAACGAAGAAACAATTCAATTGTCAGAGATTTTTGAATTACTTAAAGCAATTATCACTAAGAATTGCTTGACAGCTGTCCAAGAACAAAATACCCCTCCAATATCAATGATTATTAATTCATCATTGTTAACCTACAAGTTGGTATATGCATACTGCCTTGCTGATTTTGGATTCTTGGAAAAGGCAAATGAGTGCTGTGATTATTTGATTGAAATTGTGAAGAGAACTCAGCAATCTATGAAGTTCAATAATTATTTCAAACTCCACCTTCAAGAGCTCAAAAATAGAATTATTGAAAGTAATAGACTTAACAATATAGTAGTACCTCAAAGGAAACCAACCTCAGGTGCAGCTAATAATTCAGGGGTAACGGGATGGTTCATGAAGGGTTTAGAGAGCATAATCCACGGTGGAGATAGTCCAACAACTCCAGTCGAAAGTACAACTACCCTCATTCAAACCAATACAATCAATACCAACTCAATGATACCAAACAATAATATTCCATCCCAACAACAGCCTAATTATCACAATACCATTGGCCAGGGTATTCAAGCAAATCCAATTCGCTCATCTACACCAACTAATATGATTTCTACTCAGCCTTCTTATCAATCATCTACTCAAACCCCACCACCCTCAACTCACACACCTCAACCACCTTCCTATCAAGCAACATCTATTCAAACTCCACCACCTTCCAATAATACTCCTCCACCAACCTCCACACCTCCAGTCAACCAAGCAATTAATAATACCTATGCTGAAGAAGGAAGTGGTGTTGGTGGTTGGTTCAAGAGTTTGTGGGGAGGAGGAAGTAAAGCAAGTAAGAAAGAAGCAAACATTGGCAAGAAGAATGAATTTTATTACGATGACATAAAAAAGAGATGGGTAAGAAGAGGTCAAGAGAACGAAGTTGAAGCACAGGTCCAAGCTCCTCCACCATCTCTCTCTGCAATCTCTTCCACAACCCTCCAATCTGCTGCCTCACAAATGAGAGGAGGTGCTGGTAGATATGTAAACATGTTCAGTGGCCAACAACCCACAAGTAATCCACCAATGATGTCAAATATGCCTCCACCAATGATGGGAAATATGCCTCCAAGTAACCCAATGACGGGAAATATGCCTCCACCTTCCTTTGGTACAATGCCATCATCTAATATTATGCCTCCATTCTTCAATCCTAACACCAATAATTAGTTGGAATAAAATGCAAAAAATAATTGAATAACAAAACTTCAATCAAAAAAAATACCAGCACAATGCCAAAAGTAAGAGAATTAAAACACCACGAACAAAAGCTATTAAAAAGAGTTGATTTTTTAAATTGGAAGTCGGATGGTGTCACTCCCGAATATAAGGAATATATCTTAAAAACCATTCAAAAATACCAATTAAAAGATCAGAAGGAATTTTTTAATTACCAGAGAATAGCAACACAAATCAACAACACATTAAATAGTATTAAAGAATTAGATGATAAAATTTATAGAGACTTTAAAGTTGATCAATTAGTGATGCTTGGTAAAAAATTATTTGATATGGGAATTTTGGATTCGGAAGCAGAAATAGAAACATTAAAAAAGATAACTGTGGGTAGATTGTGCAGGAGAAGAATCTCGTATCTTCTCAAGGTTTTACACTTCTCTGAAAGTGTAAGATTGGCTAATTTGAATATTCAACATGGCCATATTAGGATTGGACCAGAAGTTGTCAAAGATGAAGCATTCCTTGTTTCAAGAAATCTTGAAGATTTTATTACTTGGACAAACAAATCAAGAATCAAATCAACAATTCGTAAATTTAATGAGACATTTGATGATTTTGAAGAGCTACAAGAATAAAATTAATTCTACTGATTTTCCTTCTCTCAAAATATGTTATCTTCACAAGTGCTAGGAAGGTGATTAGGGTTGCTCTATTGATTTCTACCTGCATCCCTTGGAAAACCATACGGAAACTTGAACACACGTCTTGTAGAACAATGTTCATTTTGAATGAAGCAATATTCTGAAAACAAGGCATATTGTGATTATTTTATATTTTACAAGAATTCAGGTATTGTCTTAATTCAGATTCAAGATCAGAAGCAGAAGGTCTGTCATGCATGACAGGATCAACCATGGCCATTAGAATGGCTCTCAGCTCTAAACTCATGGTTGCTGTAAGTTTTGCAACAAGTGGTCCCCAATCAGAGACTTTACATTGAGGATTTCTGGATGTGGCACTTTCATAAAAATCTGTGAAAACTTTTGGATTCATCAAGTACAAAACAGTAGCTCCAAGCGAAAAAATATCTGCCTTTTCGTCAAAATATTTACATCCATCAATTTCTGGTGGTTTGAACATGGGCTCCAAATATGGAAGATCATGTTTCAAATACTCTTGTCCAATAACATCAAACAGGCGATAAGCCTCTCTTTTGAAATGAACACAGTATTCGAAATCCTGAAGAACAAAACAAAGAAAGTTTTGAGATAGTTTTCCTCCTCTTCTTCTTACATTAGATGGACTCACATGCAAATGACAAACATTTCTCTTGTGTAGAAATCTTAGAGCACTTGCTATGTCTAAAATTAAAAGACATACTGTAGTTTCATCCCATATTAGATCTTGTTCAATATTTTCTAGAGACTCCATTTCACAGTATATATTGTTATTGAATAATATGAATGGTAATTGTTTGGAATAATCAGAATGAGAAAGAAGTAGGCCAATTATGTATTTCTCATTCTTTGTCAATTGTTTTAGTATTGTATTGCTTGCAATGGAATACATTGTAGAATTGTTATTAGATTCACCAATATATTTCAACACTTTTCTGTTGAACAAAATACTTGTTGTTTCTGTGGAAAAAGTTGATGTTAAATTGTGTTTTGTCTTTGAGTGTTGATATTCAATGGACGATTCGATGGCAAAATCTGTTTTTTCTTTTTCGTTTTGGTTGGCCTTTCTGATAGGGCTATAAAGGGCTAGTCTCGTTGAAAGAACAGATATTAACAATAAAATGGAATCTAAATCTGTAGAGCTGAATTCCTTATGATACAACCGATAATTCTTAATAAATACAGTGGATTCTGTTAAAGTCTCAGAGTCCTCATCTCTTCCTGGTGTGCAAGTTTTGAAGGGACATGCATCCAAGATAAGTAAATGAATTTTGGCCTTATTTACAATTAGAGCCATATTCTTTGTTTTGTTTTCGACCTCGTCCATGGAAATATTGGAATTCATTAAATTATTTACCAAAGAACTTTTCATGACTATTAAAGTTTTGAAAAGATCGGATCCTAAATTTTCCCAATCATCCTCATCATCTGATCTAACTTGAGAAAAGAAATAGTTCTTTCCAAAAGATTGAGCACAACCATCAATTGATATGTAAAAGTTTTGGAAAGGCCATCCACCTTGGCTTGCAATTGATTTGAACTATTCTTGTATGAGACAAGTAACAGAAATAAAACTTACCAATGATATTTTGAATCAGTCATGGAGATTAAGTTTTTCATTATGGAATGAAATGAGATAGAAATGTCATTCTTTGTTGTTTCCTCATTCAAACAATCACTAACAAACTGAAACACACTGCTCAAAACTCCAAGAAGCGATTTTTTGCTGCTACGAGGAAGGGAATCTGATATTTGTTCCAGCAAAATATCCAATGATTTGTCATTTGTAACGTTTGATGATTCCTCTTCCATTTTCGTTGCTAGTACAGACAATTGTTGAAAAATTGATTCTTCGAATAATTCATGATGTTTCAAGTTTTGATCAAAACTTGAAAGATATATACCCAAAGCGCAACAAAAGGAATCAACCTCGGATTTTCGGAAAGGGGTTGAATCGAGGATGTGATTAAAATGTTTCTTTTCCTGCAATTGTTGACCCATGTTGGATAGGTATTGGGTTAATTGTTTGATAAGAATTTCAAATTTATCTTCATCCGATAATTCCTCACATTCGTTGACATCATCAATAAATTTACATAGACTCTCCTCATGATGTTTACTAACCCTCTTTTTGAGCCTTAATTTGTTCAGTGTTAAGGGAGAGGGTTTTGGAGTTTGATGTAAGGATTGGATCGTATTTTGTTGTTTGGTGCTTTTTGTTGGGAATGATCCAAGCTTTTCCAAATTATCATTACTGCCACGGTTTTGAATTGGTATACCAAACATAATGGTGAATCTGTCCAAATGGTTTTTTGGTGAGTTAACAGATGTAGGTGATAGATTTGTTGAGAGTTTGTGTGAGAGTAATAATGGAGAGGTGTTCTCCCTTGTTGGAGTGTTTCCAACAAATGTCTTGGAGGTATGTTTGTGGAGACTCATCAGCACCTCCTTTTTAAACGTCTTGGAAATATTTTGTTCTTATTATACCACAGTGCTATCAATAATGGAAGAAATTGTAACGGTTGGAGGGTAGTGTCTGTAAGGCGTTCAAATAAGGGTGTGGATTAATTTTTTAAGAATTAAAATTCATTTATCTAAAAATTAAAAAATTACATATTTTGCGCTACCCAATTAATTAATAATTTTATTTGAAAATTATTCAAGAACTGTTTGAACTTTTCCCATTTCTATTGAAAACATTCTGGTAATTCAATATTCCACTAATTTAAAAATATCGAAACTTTTTTTAGGAAATCTATTTACAAATTTATTTACATTTTTTAAATTTTCTTTTTACACCTCTATTTCTTCTCCTCAAAGGCTTTCATGATTTCATCAATCTTCAACTCTTCAGTGGTTGCTGATTGATGTTTTGGTTTTGAATCTCCGAGAAAATCATCCATAAAACTCATGGAGGAGGTTGTTGAGGAAGCACTTTCGCTTGGTTTAACATTATTATTGGAGCTAAAAAAATCTCCCAACTCATCACCTAACTTATTATGTGGTTGAGTGGTTGGTGTAGAGTTTGATTGAGTGGTAAAATTGAATTCTTCCATATCGAACAGTGTAATTGACTCTTTTTTTCTTTGCTTATTTTTTTAGTTACTTTATATTGACAGCATGACGTGATAGATACATTTTTGGTTTGAATGTTGACAAAAGTATTTCTTACTTGTATTCTTTACAAAATAAAACTTGAAATAAATATGAATCATTGAAAAATTTAAAGTTGTTGTTTATTGGATTTATTTCTTATTCCAAGCATCCATAACTTGTTTCATGGTTTCTCCGAGTCTGGCAGGAGATCTGGAGACGACAACACCAGCATCTTCCAAAGCCTTAATCTTTGATGGAGCATCACCCTTACCACCACTGATAACGGCACCAGCGTGACCCATTCTTCTACCTGGTGGAGCAGTAACACCAGCAATGAAACCAACAACTGGCTTCTTAATTGGGTGATTCTTTAAGAATTCGGCAGCATCTTCTTCAGCTTGACCACCGATCTCACCAATCATAATAATACCTTCAGTTTCAGGATCATTCAAGAACAAATCCAAAACTTGAATAAAGTTAGTACCATTGAATGGATCACCACCAATACCAATACAAGTGGATTGTCCCAAATTGACAGCAGTAGTTTGGGAAACAGCTTCATAAGTCAAAGTACCGGAACGAGAAACAATACCAATCTTACCCTTTCTGTGAATGTATCCAGGCATGATACCAATCTTGGATTCTTCAGGTTTAATAACACCAGGACAATTTGGACCAACCAAACGAATGTGCAAATTGTTTCCGTATTCAGGAGCAGAAGGAACCAATTTACGGAACAATTCAAGATCTGAACCCTTTCCAAGAACAGCATTACCCTTTGAACCAAAAGATGGTTTAAAGATTTCATCAAGAGTCATTCCTTGGGCAACTTCATCAGCAACTTGACGTGGTGCACCATATTTACGGAACATTTCCAAGTTCTTTTCATTGAGAGCTTGCTTGACAATGAGCCTGTGTTGTTTCCAATCATTATCATCATAAATTTTGTTTAAAGATTATTTTGATTGAATCATCATAATTTTCCATATTTTCCAAGTAATTTAATAAATTCCAATTAATAATAATTGCTATTACTTACATATCATGTTGAGGAATACCTTCAGTAATACAAACAATCAATGGCATTTCGGCTTCAATACTTTCCAAAATAGCTTGGGCAGCACCAGAAGGTGGAACGTAGATAACACTGGCAGAAGCACCAACCTTTTCTCTAGCTTCCTTTACACTAGCAAAGATTGGAAGGTCCATGTTTGGGTGAGTTTGACCACCTTTTTGTGGGTGAACACCACCAACCATCTTGGTACCATATTCAATAGCTTGTTTGGTGTGGAAAGTACCTTGCTTACCGGTAACACCTTGGCAGATAACTCTGGTATTCTTGTTGAGGAGCAATGTTCTCTTTTGAGTATTCTTAGTTAGGAGTTGTTGAACAATGCTGGCTTGAAGAGCAGATTTCTTGTTGGTGTTTTGGAAGAGTGATTTAGAGAGAAACATTTTTGGATTATTTTTTATGAGTCCTCTTTGAGACTTCTCGTTTTCCAAGATCAAAACCAGAGTCAATTATTCAGTCTTTATTCTCCATGTTTAATTAAACAAAAGCTTTTATTTGCGCCATTTCACTTGTTACAATTATTGCTCTCTTTTTAATACAACAAGGAAGTTGTAGGATTCCTTTTTGATTGTTGGAGGACCCATTCCACTTACCAAATTGTAAAATAGTTGAATTAATATTTGTGAAAGTTTTAAAAATTTGATATTATTGTATGAAAAGATAATATGATGAGTATTGTCAATGGCAGTAAACATGCTTGTTGATGAAATTCAAAAGAATGAATTTTGGATGGTTGATGTTTTCAATAAATAATTAATAAATAAAAAAATGCAGCGAAGTGCTAGTGTAAGACAACCTCAAAGTCAAGCAGTAAACACTTCATCACCTTCATCAAGAGGAAGAAGCAGCTCTAATATTTCAACATCATCATCAAAATATGAGGACAAATTAGCTGCTGAGGAGGATATTTTAAATTCCGTTTCCAATATTTATTTTCAAGATGTACAACAGGACGAATCTGGGAAAGGGGTTGACCTTGTGGAGTTAATTTTATCACAACCAACTGTGGATTTAACTGATGAAGCATCTATCCTCACAGAGTTAAATAAATATGAAAAAGTCTTGGGGGTTGTAAATAACAGACTTGGTAAAACTGTGATGAATAACTATAATTCATTTGTTGACGGAATGACAAATGTGCAAGAAGTTGGAGCCGATTTAACAATGACTTCACTCATGTGTAGAAATGGTAGAAAAAGAATTAAAAAGGCCCAAGAAGATTTGGTAAAAGGTGGTTTAATGATTGTGGCACAGTATAGAAAAAAAAAATCTCTCAAGGTAATTATTCCTATTATATTTATTTAAATTATTAAAACGTATAGAATGTGGAACACTATTTACAAAAAATCAAAGAGGTTGTAGATTCTGACAAGGAAATGAATCAATTATTGGAGGATGGAAATTTCCCTGCTGCTATAAAACTAATGATCGATCACAGACAATCTGTTTTGAGTATGAATCAATTTTGTTGCATTCAACAATTGGATAGAAATATTAAAAATGTTTATCAAAGGATGGAGGCTAAAATGAAGGAAGCTCTTCTCTCTTTGTGTGCCTCTTTTGATAATCTTTCATATGAGAGAATTTTAGTAGCGTATGTATATTATTACACAAGTTAATTTTCTAATTCAATGAATAGATCAAAAGAGTTATCGTTGGGTGAAATATCATCAGATATTACAAAGAATTATACTGATGCTGTTGACCAATTACTAAAAGAGGTTGTCCTTTCTTTTGCCATGCAAAATCCAAAAGTTCAAAATATTGAAAGTCTTGTCAAGTAAGTTTTACTATTATTCCTACATATGACATTTTTTTTAGAATGGATTATCAAAATCTCTGTAAGAAAATTCACTTTGATCATGTACTATCCTCACTTTTCAGATCATTGAGTACAGTCAGTGATATAATGTATAATTACTATCAAATGTATGCTTGGCACTTGCAAGAAAAAGAGCACTTGAAGGATTATGATTTTAAAGTAACAAAAACAAATCTTGACCAGTTCAGAAAAATACTTTGGGAAAACATTCAAAAAAAGATTTCTGTATTTTTAGAATCTTGTGATCTTTCCCATTTCAAAATTGACAAGTTTTTACAAGTCTTTCACTCTGTTAATATGGTAAGTGTAGGAAAATTTGATTAATTAATGATCATTATTGAAAGCTTTGTCAATTGGGTGAAGAGTTCAGTCAAAGCAATTGCTTTAGACTTCAACGAGCCATTAATGCAAAAAGTAATTCCTACTTTACTCATTATCACAAAGATATTTTGGAAAATATTAAAACAATGGTAGAGAATGAGAATTGGCAACAATTGGACTCTGTTATTTTTAATATGAATGATATTCCAGAGTTTAGGTCCAAATCAAACAATGCCCTTGATAATTTAGGAAATGTCTACGAGGAATATTCTAAGAAAGTAAGACAATTTTTAAAGTCAAATGATCGTGATAGTAACCCTTTCAAAGTTGCTTTTGATAAGGGATCATTCTTAATGACACTTGGCAATGACCAAGAAGAGGAGAAAGTTGATGATTATTCTTCATCCTCCTCATCATCATCTGAGGAAGAAGATGAAGAATATGTAAATAAGAAAAAACAAAAAAAGAAGAAAAAGAAGGATTTGGAAGTCTATACAAATGTTTCCTTGACAATGTTAAAGAGAATGGGTGTTTATATTCAGGCTATGGAGGTGCTGCAACCAATATGTCTCGATGTATTCTCTTCATTCACTACATTGTTCAAGTTTTATGTAAGTTTTTGGAATTTCTACTTGGTAATAATATGAATAATATTTTCCAGTTATACATTGTTCATGCTTTATTTGCAAACATTTCACCAAATACTGTCAGTTCAACAGTTATTAATCTTGATGAAGATTTTAATTATCCTGAAAATGACACTCGAGTTTCAGAATCTCTTCAAAAAACGTTCAAAAACATTCGAGAAGAATTAAACAAGTGTGCCAAAGACAATAATAATGGTGAACCATTCTTTAAAATACCAAAAGTATCACAAATGATCAACATTAGGCAACCACCATTGTTTGGATTGTATGAGAGATCAATTGCTGCTGAGAGTTTGACCTTCCTCTATAATGCCGTAGAAAAAATCATTGAAAAGAGAATGGAAGAATTAATACCAAAGAACAAGAGATCCAATGCTAGCCAATTTTTGAAATCAATGAAATCAGCCACGGAAGAAGTGAAAGATTGCATTTATGGAAGAACAGTTAAATATTTACTCTTTGATTTCCCTTATATGGAAAAGTATCCTGACAAGATTGCCAACTGCAAGTATCACATTCAAGTAATGGGAGATCAATGCAACAAGTTTGTTTTTGAACTAAGAGATGATATTAAGAAATTCTTCTCTATCAAATTACAAACAATTGATGATAGATTACCAGAAAACTCTATCAATTGCTTGTGGGATCTAGCTGTTAAATATGTGATTGATGTTTTGGTTGAAGGTTTCTCTCGAGTTAAGAAATGTAATAATGAAGGTAGAGTCCTCATGCAACTCGATCTTCAAACATTTACAACAGAACTTCAAAGAATGGTTCCAAGCTCTCTAATTGAGAAAAATAAGGGTTCTGTTCCTCATGTAGCCATAGCTCGAAGCTACATTCAGGCCTACTATGAGCAAAATGAGAGCGATCTTTTGGAATGGGTAAAAAAGAATGTACATCACTTTACTGTAAAACAAATGGCTGCAATTGCCACTTTAAACTTTGGGGCTAATTTGAAAAAGAATGAACTGAAACAATTGACCTCCCAAGTGGAGCAATTGGCAACATCTTTGAAAATGCAAAAAGAACACATTCACTTGATGGAAAATTCTACAGATGAAAATACATCCCAACATGAAACCCATGCCACATCTGCAGTAAAGGAAGAGTCTGGATTCTCATCCATGATTAGATCAGGATCATTTGCCTCCACTAAAGAGTTACTTTCCTCACTCACAAGAAGTGGCAGCTCAACAACAATAGCCAAAGACTCACAACCAAGAATAAGCACCGAATCCAATAACTCCTCCACTACAATATCTTCATCAACAACAGCAAATAACCTCTCCACTCCAGCAACCTCCAATACATCAAGAACAAGCATTGATTCCCAATCAAGACCAAGTTTTGAATCCCCACACAAACAAAGTATAACATCTGCTACAACTGATAAGATGAAAAATTTATTCCAAGGTGGTATGAGTTATTTGAAGAGGGCACCCACAGCAACTAATAGTAATCCAACCCCTACTACAAACAATACTAATAAATAAATTGTCAATTTATTTCACAAGCTAGTTATTTCACAGACCAATGTAATTTGTCAAATTAATTCAAAAATTTGTAACATGACCGAAAAATTCGCGAAAAAAAATATTCCTAAACAAACAATACTGATAAAATGGCTCACGCTTGGCACGGTAAGTTTTCTAAAACACGAAATATTTATTAAATTGGTGTTTACATTATTTAGATTTGAGTAAGTAATTTTATTTTAATGAAACGTATTTGATAGAATTGTGATATTTATTTAAATAGGTGTAAGTTTCCCTTTCATGAATTTAATATTAAAACTTTTAAATAGTGGAGATGTGAAGGTGGTGAAGACGTTGATGAAAACGACCCAACCAAGTTCAATGCTCTCATTGAAATTCCTATGGGTTCAAAGGTTAAGTATGAATTAGACAAGGATTCCGGTCTCTTGAAGGTCGATCGTATCCTCTCTTCTTCAGTTGTTTATCCTTCAAACTATGGTTTTATTCCACAAACCCTTGGAGATGACAATGATCCAGTAAGTAGAAAACATTCACCGTTTTGATAACTGTTTATTTCATCATGAATGCAACAACAATAGCTCGATGTTTTAGTCTTGATGCAACAAGCTGTTGCTCCAATGATCTTCTTGAGAGCCAGACCAATCGGTGTTATGGGTATGATCGATCAAGGAGAAGGTGATGACAAGATTGTTTGTGTTCACTGTGATGATCCAGAATACAGCCATTATACCGACATTTCTGAATTGCCACCACACAAGTTGCAAGAAATGCGTATCTTCTTTGAAGATTACAAGAAGTTGGAAAAGAAGGTTGTCCAAGTCACAGGATTCCAAGGTTCTAAGGCTGCTCGTGAAATTGTTGCTAAGGGTATCAAGACTTACCAAGCTTACATCAAGGAAAAGGAAAAGGCTGGTGAATCGCTCGTCTCCCCAAAGCTTCAAGCTTATAAGACTTTCTTCAGTGATTAAATAACATCCTATCTAGATCAATAATAATATTAATTCAAATTGACCCAATAAATATTATTAAATATCATTTATTTAATTTTGAACGATCGAATTCAAAAAATCTAAACTTCTAAACAAATTCGTTTCTATTTAAATAGTTTTAATTTCAAATAAAAATGTCATATGGTTCAATAGGCAATAGCCCACACATTTTACATGCAGCATGTAATGTCCCACATTTGGGCCTCGTAATGTATTCTATCAACTCTAGTGTTGTTACCAAACAACAAAGTCAATTCGTTAGAAATATTTTCGAAAAATTAGTGGTTTCGAACACAAATTCTTCAGGAAAACAAACTTTCAACTCATCAGATAACTATGTACACGTGTTAAACAAGAACGGAATGTTGTTTATGTGTTACTCACCAAAGGGAACGAAGTTTAGAGTGGTTTATAACATGTTAGATGATTTGGATATGGAATTAACAAAAATACCTCGACTTATCAACGCCAACAAGAATGATATTTTAAATATTATGAAGGAAACTGTTGTAAGTTAATTTCATTGGAAGAATGTTCATTAATTTCAAAATAGCTCTATTATAATGATCCAACAAATGATAAAATTACAAACCTCCAAAAACAAATTGATTTAAATAAGGACAAGATGATTCAGAATATTGACAAGGTATTAGCCAATAGTGATTCCATGAATGTGTTGATTTCTCAAACAGAAGATATTAAAGAAAATGCTGCTCTCTTTGAGAGAGGTGGAAAAAAGATGAAAAGAAATATGCAATTTCGTCTCTTTCTCATTGTTGGTTTGATTGTATTGATTTGTTCTGTTGTTTTGGGTATTGCTATTTTATTAATAGCCTTGAAAATTGCTGGAAAGATTTAACATACCATTATAAAGTGAAATATTAAATTCTCATCTCGAGGAGTGGTCTGGTGACCTAACCAGCAAGTTATCTGCATTCATCATCTTAAAAAAAAATTGCTTGGGTAAGGCTCCATCATGCATCATTGAAACATCAATCTTGAGAAGGATCTGCATAAACTCAACAATTACTCCCACCACCATCTAACACCACCCTTAATATCTATCCACAATGTATAATAATATTCAACCATTTTTTCCAACCTCAACCCTAGTCATGATAAATACAGCAACGATCAATCATCAAGAATGTGCAAAATATGATGTTTTATTCAACTTACAAAATACTTATTTTGCCACCTATAAGGAAGAATCAATGGAGGAGCTGTTAAAGGAGGGTTTCCAAAGAATTTCAAAAGACGGCTTTAATGTTATTGGAAATTCAAATGTCTCTAATTCTCAATTACTCCTTCCATTGGTTGGTCTATCAGACTCCTTAATCAATGTAAATACCGAAAAGCTAGAAACAATGGAAGTTTGTAATTGTCAATCCCCGATTAATAATAAGGTTGAGACTCCACCATTGATAGCTAGTGCAGGTTCTTCATCTCCAAAGAAAAAAAAAAAGAAAACGCCACCATCAGGTTTTTCAGATTTCAAATTGGAAAACCCTGTTGAGCGTAAGAGGAAAAAGCCGTCTGCAACAATAGTTGTACCTTCATCTGGAGAAGGAAGTTCTGACCAGGTTGATGGGATTGTTGAAATTGATATCTCAAAATATCACCCAAGAAGAAAGCAAAGAAATTATGACCACATGCTAGCTCAATACAAACTCACCAAAAAGTAAAGCATGAATGCTTAAATTTCAATGACATTTAATTGTGGAATTTAATGGTGGTGATTAACATGGTGGTGATATTGTCTCAATAAACCATCAATATCATCAAGAGTTTGTTGTTTAACATCGGATAATTCCTTAATCTTGTTTGTGACATCCTTAATTTGATCATCTGTAAGATTTAATCCTAATTGCTCAACTCTGTATTTAATAGAGTTCCATCCAGTTAAACGGTGAGCAATGTGAACAAATCTAGTCATACCAAAATCTTCTGGTTTCAAAATTTCATATGTACTTGGATTGTTGAGGATAGCCTTAGCATGAATACCAGCCTTGTGAGTGAAAGCACAAAAGCCGGTAATGTAATTATTGAATGGAACTTGGATTTCTACAATTTCAGCAACATAGTTTTCAATTTCTCTCAAAAGTGGTAAATTATATTTTGCCTTGACATGTTCTGGATCAGCAGCATACATTCTAGCTACAAAACCTCCAAGTGGTGTGATACCATTTCTTTCACCAATACCAAGAATGGAGGTATCAATGTGGGTACAACCAGCTTCAAGAGCAGTAAATGAGTTTGCAATTGCACAACCAGTCTTTTTGAAAAATTAGAATAATATTATCGAGGAAACAACTTACATCGTTGTGACCATGGAATTCAATGTCACAATTTACAATGGATCGGACAGTTTTTACCAATTTATAGACTTGTCTTGGATTAGCAACACCTACGGTATCAGCAATACCAACTCTGTTCACACCAACTTTATCAACTTCTCTATAAATTTGCAACAAGTCAACCAAGTCAGAACGGAATGAATCTTCACTGGAGAAACGAACTTCTTTTCCTTGTTCCTTAATATATGAAATTACTTGTTGAGCTTGTTCAATAATGTATGGAATATCTTTTCCATGTGAAAATTCTCTCAAATAGGAACTTGTACCAAATACAACGTCAATACCATCAACTAATGAAGCACATGTCAAAAATACTAATAACTATTCAAACTTACCACCAGCTTCAACAGCCTTCTTGGCGTCATCGATATGACAACGAACGTGTGTCAAAACCTTGGTCTTTTTCAATCCAAGTTTAGAAATTTCGGAACAATCCTTGAATGATTGTGGAGAACTGGCAGGACTTGTGACTTCAATATATTCTACACCAAAATCATCCAACATTGCTGCAATTTCCTTCTTTTGTTCAGTTGTGAAGAAGGCATTTGCAAATTGTTCTCCTTCTCTCAGGGTTGACTCAATTATATTGAAATTGGTCAAATTACTTTCGTCTTTTTCATTGTGAGGAGAAATACCACGAGTAATGGTTTTTGGTTTAACTGATGTTGAACCTTCGAGTTTGGTACCTTGTTTATGTTTAGTACTGTTGAATCGGTGTTGGATGGAATTTGAAACAATATTATTACAATTTTTCTTTTGGAGAAGATTTCTCAAAAAACGGTGGGTAATAGAAGAGTTCATGATAAAAATACAAGAGGAAATTCTGATCAGTTAGCAAACGAGTCTAGTAATGAGCAAGGGAATTGGGTAACAACCAAGTGTCAAACTTGCAAGGAGAAAATTGTGTTTTTTTTTTCAAAGTAGCGAGAAAGAAGCGCGAAAACATGGAAGAATTTATTTGGGAACGATCCGGGGAATTTGTTGCTGATACTGCAAGAGACTCAATGCAATTGGATCTCTTCTTGGATCATGTCACAACAAACCACATCCATATATTTAATTTATTAATGTCAATTCCTTAACAAATTGAAGTAATTACATGTAAAACCAAATAATAATCGGACCATTTTGTTCTTTTTGAATTTTATGGAACATTGTTGGATTATGGAAGGATTTCTTATTGGATGACTTGATGCAATATTTGGAACTGGTGCACGGAGTTGCACGATTACAGAAGGGAAAAAGTCTTTTTTTATTGTGACTGCAAAATTATTTTGTAAACATTTGTTCAGTTAACTTAACTGTAGAACCTGCTCAGCTTCAAATTCTTTATTAAACGTAATGATTGTAGAAGTGGATGACAGAGTACAAACTGCTATATTGCCCTATTGGTTTCTGCTCAACGACCACTTTGATCAAACTTTCATCATTTTAATAAGGTGGGAAATTCTTAACGTTAAAAAAATGCTTAACAACACTACAGTGGGAAGGGAAGGACAATCAAATGTTAATAAAATCCCACCCCCTGTAGTAGTATTTAAAGAAAGTGAATTAGTTGAAGATGTCCATTCAAACCCATTACAACATGAATATGATGAAATAAATCCAGAACCAAGTCTCCGACGAGAATATTTACAAAGAAAAAAAGAGGAGGAGTTAATTAAAAAACAACAAGCTCTAAGGCTTCTTCTCAAGTCTGAGGAGAAGAGGAAAAAGAAAATTCATAAAACAATTAATTTAAAAATGGAAGTGGTAAGTTTGTCAGAAATAATCATTACTTAAAGTGTTAGGAAAGAGAGAGGATAAAAATGGAAAATGTAGAGAAAACCCTTGACAAGTATTCACTCTTGAAAAGGATAGAAGAAGCTAGAGAATTTGATGTAAAGAAAAAGATTTCTCTCCTACAACACAATTCCTTCAACGTATACATGTCGAAAGTTAATCTTGTAAAAAAACTAACTGAAATAGAAGGTGAGTATTTGTGTGAAGAATATTCTAACTAGAGTCAGTTAAGGAACAAATAGGAAACCTTTCAATTGAGCTAAAGAATGAGGAGAGTACAGAACAATTGGACAATGATAATCAAAGAAGCTATGACGAAGTTAAAAAACTTGCTGTACAACAACAAAGAACAATTATCAAAAATACCATTTGTAAGAATAGAGAGCTTGCTTCAGGGACCTTTGCAAGTAATTTGGAAAGTCTTACCAGAGTCTCCGAAATGGAGGAAGAAAATGAAATTGAAGAAAGTTTGAATCAATACCTCAAGCCTGCAGTCGATCATAGATATCAATCTACCATACAGTCTCATGTGAACTCTGAAAAAATCAACAATGGTGTTATTAATTCACTTATTGAATCAAAGAAGAGAGATATTACAAAGACGTACGAAAAAAAAATATTTGACACTCATTTGGAGAAGGTCAAGAAATTAAAATATGCTGCGGAAGTTGTAGGAATGAATCCTGATGATATTCAACAATTACTAGAATTACCAGCTGAAGAATTTGAGACTGATATTGGCGTAGCTGATGCAGAAATGGACAGTATAAGAGTTGAGATATTTAATTTGGAAAATAAGAGAAGGCAAAACCAAGCCAATCATGTTCAAAGCAAGGTCGAGTTGAAGGATGTTATTGAAACTATGGAGCAAAAGAAAAAGCAAACTAAAATTCTCATTCCCGAATTGAGGCAAGAATTGCAAGAAAGAAAGGAAGAAGCAAGTAAATATGAGGAGGAGTATGGAGGAATTTCTCTCACTACCATGGACAGAATAACAACAGAAAATTTGAATGAAATTCAAAGAATCAAATCCAATCACCAAGAATTGCAAAAAGATATTCAAACAATGGTAAAATCAAAGAAGGATGGGTTAGAAAGCGAAAAAAAAGATTTAGAGAATGAGGCTAAAGAAATTGATCGTAAATGCAATGAATGGGTACAAAGGGTAAAAGATTTAATGGAAAAGGACAAACAACGAGGTATATTCTTAAAAAATTTAGAAAAGAGCATTGAAACATTGAAACATGAATGCGAGAACTTTGTTTCCAACTTTGAAATTAGAAAGAAAGAGACTCATCTTAAATGTAATGAAAAATTCTCCGAAATGCTCCTTTATGAACAATTACAACCAATTTTGGAAAAAGCCAAAAAGTTTTACTCACTCGAGGTATCACAAAGAAGCAACGAAAACTCCTCTCTAATTGAATCCCTTCAAAAAAGAAAGAAAGATCTTGAAGACCAAGTGCTTGAAACTGAAAAATCAATCAAGAAATGCATTGATGATGCCACATTTATGAAGTCCATAGCATTCGATAGTATTCATCTTCCTCATAGCATTTTATCCAGGTTTTTGGAAGAGAAGAAGAATCTACTTCCTGAATGGATGAAATTAATTGAAACCAAAACAAAGATTCTTGCTCAACAAGCAAGTAAGCCATTCATAGAGAATCAAAAAACTCTCTGTGTACTTGATAAGTTTGCTGATTCGATATTGATTAAAGATATTTTCAGCTCAACTATCGGAGTTGTTTCAAGCCCTGATGATATATTTGAACGAGAATCAGATCTTGAACGAATTAAGAAGGAAGTTGTTAAACAAACATTCCAACAACAAAGATTGGCAAAATTTTTACAAGAACTCGTTAATTCGTACGAGAAGAAACGTTATACAAAAGAACCTAGAAAAGTGAAACTTGAAGAGCAAAATCTTATTAAGGATATTGCAAAGAAAGTAGAAGAATTGAAGAAGAAACTTGAGGAGAAGAAGGAAATTGAGTCTGATAGCGAGGAAGAGAGTGATTTAGAACATGACAGCGACTTGGAATCGTCCTCAGAAAGTGAATACTTTAGTGATGAAGAAAATGAGGAGCAAGACTTAACAATTCCAACCTCTGTAAATGTTGTACAATACGAAGTGTCAAAGATTGTTGAATCAATCAAAATGTCAATTCACTCTAAGATTAATCCAGAACTTGAGTTTGAGCACCCAACACCAGAAGCCAACTTTTTATCAAAAACATTTTTCAAGAGAAAATCATTGTTACAAGTTTTTTCAAGCAGAAGAAAGGAAGTTCAAGTTAGAGAGAAGTCAAAAATACTGAACTATTCATTCCTCAAATGCGAAAATGTAAAGGGCAAGAGTCAAGCTAAAGAAAGAGTCTTTTCAAGAATTCAAAATATTAGATCAATGCTATCAGAATATGTTGACCTGAAGAGAGTAGATGGAAAATTGGAAAGAGAAGTTTTACCAAATATCAACGCACAAAAACGATACTTGGAGGTAATCAAGGAAAATATTACCAGGAATGAGACTCTTAACAAGGAGACTGCCACACCACAAAAGGTCAAACAAGGGATTAACCAACTCAGTGAAACTAACATAGATCCTGCTCATATTGAAAGTTTAAAGAGCAAGTCATATTCATCACTTCCTGTAATCCGTCCATCATCTTTTGGATTGTAAAAGAGAATGTCAAAATTGAATAACTGCAGGTTGTATGAAGCAATTAAAATAAAATTAAAAATAAAATTTTTTAAATTTAGAACAAAAAAATGTCCACAAAGCATAAGAAGAACGACGACGACGAATTAGCTGATTTTGATGAAGACTTGCAAACAAAACCAACAACAGCCTCTGCTGGTGATAAAAAAGCCGCTAATAGCAAGGGATACTCATCAGTCAACAGCTCTGGCTTCAGAGATTTTGTTTTGAAACCAGAAATTTTGAAGGCCATAGTTGATTGTGGTTTTGAACATCCTAGTGAAGTCCAACACGAATGTATTCCTCAAGCTATGATTGGAAGTGATGTACTTTGCCAAGCTAAATCTGGTATGGGAAAGACAGCTGTCTTTGTCATTTCTGTTCTTCAACAACTCGAAACTATCGAACCAAAAACAATGTGTGTCATTCTTTGCCATGCCAGAGAATTGGCTTATCAAATTTGTCAAGAATTTAACAGATTCTCTAAATATCTTCCAGATGTTAGAGTAAAATCTTTTATTGGAGGTATCAATATTAAGACTCACATCGAACAATTGAAGAGTGAAACTCCTCATGTTGTTGTTGGTACTCCAGGTAGAGTTTTACAATTGGCCAAAGATGGTCACTTGAAGCTCGGTAATGTTAAATATTTTATTGTTGACGAATGCGACAAGGTTTTAGAGTCAGAAGAAATGAGATCCGATATGCAAGAGGTTTGTTTCATCAATTTTTCTTTCTGACTGATCGTTCCCTATTTCCTCTTTTAACAATAATAATTCATAGATCTTTAAAAAGACTCCAAAGACCAAGCAAGTCATGATGTTCAGTGCCACCCTCTCCACAGAAATGCGTTTGACTGCCAAGAAGTTCATGAATCCAAGTTCACTCATGGAAGTTAAGGTTGACAGTGACTCTAAGCTTACACTTCACGGTCTTCAACAATACTTCATTTTGCTTAAGGAAGAAGAAAAGAATGGAAAGTTGTTGAGCTGGCTAGATGCATTGGAATTCAATCAGGTTGTTATCTTTGTTAGAACTAAGAATAGAGCAGAAAAGCTAAAGGATATCTTAGAAAAGAATGGATTCCCTTGCTTGACAATGCACTCTGATATGTCTCAAGACGAAAGACTCAAACAATATCAATCATTCAAGAATTTCGAAAAGAGAATTATGATTAGTACTGATTTGCTAGGACGTGGTATTGATATTCAACGTGTCAACATTGTATTCAATTATGATATGCCAGATGAGCCAGACTCTTACTTGCATAGAGTTGGTAGAGCTGGTAGATTTGGTACCAAAGGTTTGGCCATTTCATTCATTTCCTCAGATATGCCATCCAAGATTGGATCCTATGAAAGAACCATCAATGATCAAGAAGTTTTAGAGAACATTCAAAAGCGTTTTGAAGTGAAGATCAAGGAAATGCCAACCCAAATTGATGTTGGTACTTACATGACATCATAAATTGTTACCCTAGTTAAGACAAATAAATACATGTTATTTTAATAGATATTTTATTGCTTTACAACATATTCTACTAATGTTTGGGAAATTGGAAGAGTCAGTAAAGGCGAAGAGTCCGATTCCATTGATTTTTGTACCAATAGTTTTTGTGCTTCAGAAATCTTTCCAAATTCCAAATAAATCCTCAACAACGAATTAGGATCGCATTGTTTTACCAGCCAGTTTGGTAAGTAACATTCCTCTCTTTGAATGTATCCACTTTGTAATTCTTGATAAATAGTTCTAATTGCGGAAGAGGCAAATAAATAACCTGTAGATGCATTATTATATTTGTTCAACTTCATTCTGAGTAAATTCCACATCTTCTTAGAAGTACCACTAGTGTTAATATCACCACTTTCACAACATTTTTTGGTTAATTTTGAGAACAAGATACACATTTCTGGAGTAGTCAATTTACATGCAGAGGCTACCATAAAAGCTTTTTCAACAGTTTCATAATTTCCAGATAAGAATTGTGAAATAATATCTATTGGATTACTCAAAAGTACGAGAGAAAGTATGTTAAATGAAGGAGTTTTCTTTTGGGCCTGAAGAATAAAAAGCTTTGATGATGATAGCTGATACCTCTTTTCCAGATGCGATAGAGTAATAATGTGAGGTTTTGTAAATGTCAAATCTTGTTCAACTTGCATTTGATCATCTCTAATTCTTTTTAGTGGACTAATTGCCCTATCCATGGATTCTTCGTCACTGCGTGGATAAAGGAACCATTGATTGTTTTCTGAAACAGTTTTCAAAGCATTGAGAGCAATCAAGAAGCATTCAGTTTGCTTTTGAAGATAGGCTTCAAGAATTTCAGCATGACAATCGTTAGGAGTTGCAGAAAATGGAACAATTCTTATTTGACTTTCTATTCTTCTTCCCAATTCGTAAATGTACATTGCTGCCTTGTTGTAATCTCCTCTATGAATGTTGTAAGAGTAAAGGAGATGATAATAAGTGAAAACAGTATTTAGTTTTTGTGTGTGTTCTTCTAGAAGTGTGTAATTTCCTGATCTGGATCCATTTGTACACAATACCTTAACATGGGATGTGCCGATATTGGCAAGTCTAATACTGAGATCAGCGTATTTGGCTCTTTCATGAAGTAAGTCATTGACATCATTTCTGCTTCCACTAAATGGTAGTTCACAGAGCATATTACCAAAATATTTGCATTGTTCGGTGCTATAGGCAGCCAAATCACAAAGAGTACCCACAAACTTTCTCAAATCCGATTTCTTTCTTTGGATATCATTTTGTGAGTTTAGAGAAACATATGCCATGTCAAAGCGTTCAAAGTGTATACAGAGAGAAAATAGTACACTATACAAAATACTAATCTCTTCCGTAGGTATCAAATCACTGTCAGCTTCTGTTAGGGAGAGATTGATAAACTCCAAAGCTAATTCTGGATGCTTTTCACATAACTGCCTAATATAATTATAGTAATAGAAAAGAAGAGATATTTTCACACGATCTTCAATTGTTTGATTATTCAAAGTAGGTTCAACTTTCCAGTAAATATTCATCAGTTTAAATAATGCCAATGTTTCCTGATCTCTTTCTCTATTACTAACACCAATAATTGCACATCGCAAAAAGTTTTGCTTTGCTCGAGATAGATCCCCCTCTTGTAAATTTGCAAGGGCCAAGTAATGATAGGTGAGAGGGAATGAAGAGTCATAACTTTGAAGGAGCAAGCAGTATCTCTTTAAAGCGCCATATGCTTGCCAATTTAATAGATATTGGGCTATTTCTACAGTGTTTCTTTGGGCTTTGTTGCTTTCATAGTCCACCAAAATAACACGTTGAATTATCATCAAGCTAATATTAGTTACAAGATAGGAAAGGGGTGGCTGTTCTAGATTTGTTTGCAACTTTTTCTTAACTTCGTGTTCAGTCAATAACATCTCAATAAAATATTTAGTATCAATGGTTGGGGAAGGATGAGTGAGAAGAAAATCAGCCATATTCAGTTTGGAGTTTGAAAGGGAGACAGCCAAGTTTAAACTGTTTGTGCTTGATTCTACAATTCTATTGCAAAGCCACCACGCCAAATGGTAGCTTCTAAGTAAGGAGTAGCAAGTGTTTGCTTCAATATTGTTGTTTTCTCCATTTAAAGTTAATAGACCAGCAATTTCAATAAAAATGCATAACTGGCACAAGAGCTGATATCTTGACTCTAAAATTTGTATTGAAGAAGCATTAATCAATTGAATAAGAATAGAGTTATCCATTGAAATCAAGTCCTTCTTGGATTCTATTTCAGAAACCATTAAAGTACGTATTATGTAATTCAAAATAGAGGATACAGGTGTATTTCTAATGGCTGACATTCTATCAATTAATCCGTTAACAAAAAGCTTCTTGTGATGGCTTTGTTTAAAGTCTTTGATGAGAGTGTCTGGCGTGTCGCTGTTATGGTTTGAAAGACCAGAAACAAGCTCTGTAGCCATTTTTCTGGCAATTATTGCAGGATTGTCGTTTGTAGACTCTTGTGAGAAATAGTATGGTAGTACAGTAAAGGTAGATAATAACTCAGATGCTGACTTATCAATAAAGTTCAAAATTCTAAAGAATTCTACAAGGTCCCTAGAGAATGTTGATCGTTTGGAGATACTTTCTTTGATTTCTAAATTGTTAGCCAAAAGAAGGTAGTTTCTACTTCCCCTCAAAGATTGATTGGCTGTTTGTTGAATAGATTCTAGTATATCAAGTTGACGGAGCAAACAAATTGATTGGTTATACATTACGGCAGGTGTGGAATTCATGAAAACAAAGCCAGTTGGTTGATTTAAACTTGATATACGTGCTAAGGTTTGCAAAAATTCCAACCAGGTTTGAATTTCAATTTTAGACTCAAGAACGTTTCTCTCTAATAAATCTTTTGTTGTGATTTCTGCCCTTTTTTGTGAAATGGTGTATTCAATGGCATATTTGATTTTGTCTGACCAGTATGCGTCATTAATATAAGTAAAGGGAATTAATGGTTTATCCTCGGTTATGCCTAATTCTAGCGTTAGAGAATGTAAACTATCTTTTGGATAGAATGGAACTATAGATCTGAATAATAAGTTCGAATTTAACTGTAATCTAGTTGTAGAGGTAAATAAAAACTGCTCCACATATGAGCCAATATTTTTTGAATTACTATAAACATTTCCGTAAAACTTAGATACTCCACTAGATAATTGTGAATGTAATGTACGGGCAAAACACCAAGCAGAAGGTTGACAAGAATCACTCAATAAAGAACCATAGGCAATAGTATATGAAATATTTGCATTTTCTTCCAAGTTAGATGTGTAATCTCTAATTGACCAAATACCCCATACAGTACCATTATATAAAGAATAGCTAATAAGATTGGAAAATAAGTTCTTTCTTTCCCGCTCTACTGAGAAAATATCTTTTGGAAGAAATTCTGAAGAAAAACACTTGACATTTTCAACTCCATTATATGTAATGTCAAATGAATTGTCTTCACTAAATGTCTGAAAACCAAATACTGTAAATTGTGTTCTATCATTTTGTGTGCCACTTGCAATAATTTGGAATGTTGAATCATCACTTTCTTTTGTTATTTTTAGAGGAAGGGAACAAAAGTTAATATCATTAATTCCATCATTGTGAAGATTAATTTTCAAAAGTTTCAAATTATTTGCTGGAAGTATCTCTCTACCCAGTGAGACACTGGTGTCACTATCTTCTTTCCAAATAAGAAGGCTTCCATCCCTATGCAAAGAGGCAATAATGTTGAGTTGATTTTCATAAAGGCTTAGATGTTGTACTGATACCGTAAGATTTTTGAAAACCTCTTTAAGATTCTTCTCAGAAGATTTGTTTGAAAACCAGTTCCAAGAAGATGAGGTTTCAAACAAAAAAGTGTTATGAATAAAATTTGATCCATCTCTAATAATTCTTAAAAGATTGCCATTAGCTAGACCCACAATAACTGCTTGTGAATCAATTGCACAAAGACAAGTTGGAAAATGTTCAGAATAAGTCTTGAAAAACTCCATATTATTGCTATCCTGAGATCCGCTTCCAAATAATCCGTTAAAGATAGATTTTTGTTGTAATCTATTGTAGGTTCCTTCAATTTCTTGGTCTGAAGTACCAATATTAAATGAGTCAACTTGAAGATTGTTTTCTGTAATTCCTTCAATAAAACTCTTCTCTTTCTTGTTGATGCTCAAACAAAATAATGTTCTGTTAGAAGATAAAAGCCAAATTACTATTCCTCTTGAAGTTTGCTTGATGGATGTACCTGGCAGAAAAATCGAATTTTCGGGTGATTTGATGACTAAAGTTTTGGTACATGAAGTGGCTTTAAAATCTAGTTCATGTAATACAAGATCTCCACCAATGGTTTGCCTATTTTGTGTCTATATAGAAGTCTATTTAAATACTTACCAAACCAAATTTTTCTCTAAATTATTATCCACAAACGAGAAACTTCCAGAATCACATTGCACACCAACATTATCATGAAAATGAGCAGATTTGAGCATATTTTCATAATAATAAGAATTAACCATGTTGTTAGCTCGTTCACTATATTCTTGTAGGTATAATATTTGTTTGTTATTGTCGGCACTTTGATGGCCAAAGGCAAGATGACTTGCGGTTGGTAGAAAGAGTGGCACTTCCGCAAACATTTTTCTATTTTTTTAAAACAAACAAATAAACAAGATTATTCCCAGCGTGATTGGTGTTTAATAATTTACACTTGCCATCTCTTCAAGTTATTTATTACATGCTGACAGCATATTAGCACATTCAAGATTAATTTATTAAACCTACTAATAAAGATTCTCAAGATTTTGTGAGTGTGGATACACCAACTATTAACAAAAAAAATGCAGGCATCCCCGAAAGCAGCAAAGGAACGAATTAAGGTGTTTGCAAGATGTAGACCAGTAATCGAAGAAGAAAAAAAAGGGAATGATTGTAAATCTTGTGTAGAAATAAAAGGAAATGAAATTAAAGTGAGCAGACCTAATCATCAGCCTAAAACATTTTCTTTTGACGGAATTTTTGGACCAGATTCAACCCAGGAGCAAGTTTTTAAAACTGTGTCCTTGGATGCAATTGAGGTTAGTGTGATGTTTTTGGACGTTCTAACAAGAAAAGGACGTTTTTAATGGTTATCACTCTACAATATTTGTGTATGGACAAACCGGTACTGGCAAGGTATGTAGTAACACTGATTGAAGACTTATTTATTTAATCATACCAGACAGTAAGTTTTAGAATTATTCCAGCCATTCCTATTCTTTCCAGCATACTCTTAGCAATATTGATGATTCACAACCAGAGGAACATGGTTTAGTACCAAGATGTGTACAAGAAATATATAGACGAATTGATAGTGATATCAACAATGAATACCGTGTCAGAATGAACTATCTTCAAATTTATATGGAAACACTGCAGGACTTGCTGCAGCCTGACCACAAAAATCTGCAAATTAGAGAAGATCCAGAACTTGGTATTTATGTATCAGGAATTTGTTTTAGAGATATCAAAAATTATGAAGAATGTATTAAATATTATAGAGAAGGCGATGTAAATAGAGTAACAGCACTAACAAAAATGGTAAGTTTGGCTGGAATATGTATTAACAAGTTTAGAATGCGTCCTCGAGTAGAAGTCACTCTTGTTTAATAATTAATATACAAAAGTCCAGTAAGTTGAATGGAAGAGAAGAATTGGAGGGATTGGAAAAAAAGAAGGTTACAACTGCAAATTTATTTCTTGTTGATCTAGCTGGAAGCGAAAGATTGAAAAAAACAGAAGCTGAGGGTATAAGAAAAAAAGAAGCCAACTATATAAATCTTTCACTGACAACTCTTGGAATTGTGATTCATAGTCTTGAGGCAAATCATATTCACATTCCCTTCAGAGATTCAAAATTGACAAGATTATTACAGGACTCACTTGGGGGAAATGGAAAAACAAGAATAGTTATAACAATAAGTCCAAGTATTATCAACAGCCAAGAAACTATTGGAAGTTTAATGTTTGGTGAAAGAGCCATGAATGTGAAAACAGTTGCAAAGGTCAATGAGGCTGTGGACTATCGAGCATTATATCTTAAGACAAAAGCTCAATTAGATTCATTAGAAGAAAAATACTCTGAACTTGAGGAAGACTACTTGGATATTACAAATGAAAATGATAAAATGGATATTGAGATTGATTCCCTGCTAGAGGAAAATAAGAAACTTGTTAAAGAAAAAAAGATTTTGGAGAAAGAAAAAGAAAAGGAGAAGGAGAAAATCGTTTCTTTGATGAAGGGGGATCTTTTGGATTTGGAGAATCAACATGAGAAAGATATTGCAGAACTGAATGACAGACTTCTTTCTGTTTCGAAAGAGTATGAAAATGATTTTCAAAAGAAAGAGGAAAATTTAAAGAAAATACTTTTTGAAAAGGATAATGATATTGATAGGTTAGAACTATTAGTTCAAGAATTGACAAGTGATAAAACATTTTTGGAGGCAGAATTCTCAACTAAAGACAAAGAAATTGAAAATTTAATTGCTTCAACACACCAAATGGAAAGAGATTTGGAAACGGCCTCATATCTATGTATTAGAAGAGAAAATGAGCTGGAACAAGTTCAAGAATTAATTCAACAATTGGAAAAACAAATAACTACATATAGAGAAACAATTGGTAAAAACGTTGATGAAATTGAATTGTTGAAAAGAAAGATTCTTTTTAGTACTGAAGAAATGGAGAATGTGACAAGGTTGAAACAAGAAAGAGAAGCAGAATTGGAAAAAGAAAAAAGATTTAATAACCAACTTAAGGATGATATTGAATTGTTAAATAATCAAAATACCAAATTGGAGGAGAGACTTGAGTTTGAAGTGGCTGACAAGGCTCTCCAAAAAGAAATGTTTAGAGAGATTTCAGACAGAGAGTTGCTGAAAGAAAGAAAAATATTGGCAATTACTAAAGAACAGCATCAAGTTGAACTGGAACAAATGGAGGTAAATATTGAAAAGCTCACAAAAATGGTTAACGAAAAAAATGAAGAAATTGAGGAGAGAGGAATTGATATTGACAAGTTAAAATTGATGTTGTTCGAAGAACAAAGAGAAAGGGAAAACGACAAAATGGAACTACTGTTAGAACAGGAAAAACAAAGAACTGAAAAGGAGTCTATTCTTATTGAACTGCAATATTACAAAGACAAGATCGAGGAATTCACCTCCAAAGTTTTCAGCACACCTAATAACACAACTATTATTAATATAGTAGAAGAAACAAGTGACCCAAGTTCAGTTTTACAAACTCCTCCAACCCCAATGATAGAAAAAGTTCCAATTTTTGATTTTGGAAAAATAGTTAATGTTCAAACAAGTATTATCAAACGACATGAACATCAATTTTTCTCTCTGATAATCAAAAACCTCATTTCAGAGCAACAAAGAGATAAGTTAGTTTTGGTAATTAACAAATTAACGAAAGAAAAAGAAGGATTACAAAAAGAGCTCCAAAAGATCGGATATCAATTAAAGGAATTGCATACTGATATTTCAGAGTTGTTTGCTAACTCTAGATTCCTCCATGATGACTTGAAATCAACATCAGAATTGTTTGGAACAAACCTCCATCAAACACTGTTCGAAAAGCAAGGTCATTCAAGGAGTTTTGATGTTATTAACGGAGAGCTAAAAGACTTAAAGTTCATCTCTAAAAAGTTTAGGGATGAAAGCCCAGATGAGGCAGCATTTGATGCCATAAACTATATGGTATGGGCTCTAGAATATTCTCATCCTTATTCGTCATTGTCTGACAATCTTCTGGGAGAAGAAAATTCCAAAGAAATTATCAAATCTCTGCTTGAAGAAAGTGAGAAGCGGGTGAAGTCGTCCAGTAAAACCTCTGCCGAACACACTCTAGAAATTGACTGCATATGGAAGCATGTAAAGAATTCATTGGACTGTTTTTATGATTCGTCAACAGATAATTACAAAACTGTATTGAAAGAACTGGACTGTGAAGAATACTACAAGTTATACAATAACTTTATCAGAAAGAAAAATGCAACAATTGAACTGGAGGAATTAGCTGAACTGCCATATTCAATTTATGAAATACTATCCGATTCCAGAATCATGGTCTCTAAGACAAGAAATAATTGTTCAGAAAATTCTGACATGTTTAGATTAATGTCTTTCTGGTTCTCCATGAGTAGTAAATGTCTTAAAAAGGTTTTGAACAGAGAAGAAATCAATCACAAAGCAGGGGTGTATTTAATGCACGAGTTTATTCATCTCCTTCATACAGTTAGAAATGTTTTATATCTATTTGATTGTTCGGAAAGAGACGTTTTGATTTACAAATTGGCTCTTCATGGATGTGCTTCGAAATTATCTAAGTTTATTAACTCTAGTGAAGAAGTAAGAAGAGAAATGGAAGATAGAATCGCGTCATATGAAGAATTGAGAACAAGAACTGAGGCGGCACTTGTGATACAGAGATTTTACCGAAAGACAAAGAGAAGAATGCAAGAAGACTTTATTCGAAAGCAAAGAACCGAATTGATAGCCCAATCACAAGCTCAAATGGTAAAGATCAGAGAATTACAAAAATCCGAGTTGACCTTTAAAGCTAGCGTGGGAAAGCAAATTGCGGACACAGGAAGAGTTCTTATCAAACAAGGTGTATCTGAACTGGATCACATTTTCAATATTCTAAAGGCGTATTTTTTATATGGAGATGATGATGATACACCCTTAACACCCTCCTCTCCAAGAACAAATACCTCCAGAGCTAATAGTATTATTTCACCAAACTCGCCAGTATTAACGACACCAGAAAGAAATAGATCTGGAAGCCTTTCGCCCTCGCCACCAAATCCGTTAAGGGAAAATTTTGGGGGAAGACCAAAATCAACCGTTTCAAGAGCATACAGCAAAAGGTTCTCTGAGGTTGATGTGGCAGAAATTAATGACATTCTCTCCAATACTAAAGTTTCTCCAACAGCAAGAAAAGTCTTGGAAAAGTCTTTACCCCCAAACATGACAAAAAGGTAAAGCAACATAGAAAATAAGCTATGGAGGTTAAAACCATTTTCTGAATAAATAATAACATATCATTTATCATTTAAAAAATATTTCGCACCTCATGAAGTTGCTTCTTGCTTACTTAATTATTTTTCTAGCAGTTGTTAGTAGAGTTATTGCTTCATCAGGTTGTATTCTCAACAGAGATGGTAACTGTGGGATGACATCAAATGCCGCTGGGGAATTGCTTCTATCTGTTGATCCAAAACAACAATTTAACACTTTTATTAAATCATCATCTGTGGGAAATAATGGGGAAGTTATCTGCAGTACCCCTAATAGTTTCATTTCCAATCCGTTATGTAAGGAAAGATGGTTTAGAAAAGCACAACACGATAAACAATTTGCCTCCAATTCCCTAAAACTGAGATGTAATATTGATGTTGTTAGGGGCGATTGTCAAATTGGAAATTTGCATTTTCCTCCAGAAAATCAATATAAGTTCTATCATAATGATAATCAAGAAACTCATATCTGTTCATCAATCCAAGGCTACTATTCAAATCAACTTTGTAAAGAAAAATGGTTTAGAAAATTAACATTATCCCAGCACTCACTTCTTCCTACTAGTGAAACAAGCATTCCATCCTCAATTGTTTCTCATGAGGTCAATAACATTATTGCTATCAGTTCAACTTCTCAAACCCCATCTGATGTAATTGATTTAGCGGCTTCAACTACGAACAATGTTGAACTCACCAATGAACCTCATTTTAATACTGATCTCACTCACGACTATGATATAGTTACAGAGTTGGCAGAGGCTTTTGAGAACAATGATGAAGATGATGAGTTTGATGAATTGGAAATTGATGACTCAGACGAAACAGATGTTGATGAAGGAACTGAACTTGTTGAGGAATTACAAAGTGAGGATTCAAACGAAACAGATATTTCAGAGGAAGAGATTCAAGAAAATGCTAATGACAACACTGGAGATGATTTTAATAATGAAGAAGAAATTGACAACAAAGAAACTTATATTGAAGAGGAAGCAGAATCCGTATTTGAAATTGATGAAGAGGACAATGTTGTCCACAATGCTGCCGATAAGCCAATCCCTTCTAATGAAATTACTAATTCTTATACCAAGGAAATTGAAAAAACACTAAAAGAAATAATTCCCTACATCAAGAACAAACCAAAAATTGTAAATTCTGTACCATATATTCAATCCGCTACAAACGTTTCTGGCTCAATTGGTAAGGTAAACATCAAAACAGTAATTAACACTGGAAATATTAAAAATAATAGACATCACCACAAAAGGATTTCCAAAAAAAACCAAAGAAAGCTGCCACGTGTGGGACGCGAGAGAAATGAAGTGAATCAAATTACTAAAGCTGTGAAAGAAATTGAAGAAAATTTGAAATCAAGAAAATATATTGAATCCAGAAAAGAAGAATTGAAGAGGAGATTTAAAGAATTCCTTCTTAATTCACTCAGAGTTTAATAATATTTATTAAGAATAACTGTCACTCTAATTGAATAAATTCTTTATTTGGTAATCAAGTAAGGAGTATCTTTTGGAAGGTAGGTAATATTTTTTGCATTTGATAGTGTACTTGCAATTTCCTTACTAGCTTCAATTTTTCTCAATTCAATTAAACCAGAACCTGATTTGGTCATTGCATTAGATATCATTTGAGCAGCTATGGCTTCTCCTTCAGCCAAAATAATAGCTGCCTCCTTTTCGTATTTTGATTTTTCAACAATAAAAGCTTGTCTTTCAGCTTCTTGCTCTGCTACTTGTTTCATTTCAACAGCTCTTGTAAATTCCTTACTAAAACTCAAGTCAGTAATTGAAACATCAACCAGATCAATATGGAATTTTTGTAATGCTCTTTCTCTGACCATTTTTTGTATTTCCTTTGAAATTTGTTCTCTTCTCTGTATAATTTCTTCAGCCTTGTATCTAGCAATAACAGCCTTCATGACTTCATTTCCGACAGATGGTAAAATACGTTCATCATAATCTCCACCAAGATCTTTATAAATAACTGGGAGTTTTTCGACAATAGGACGATGTAAAACTCTCAAAGTAATATTTACAGTTTGTAAATCTTTTGTTCCAGTCTTGGTTGTGATTTCTCTTGGACGAACACGTACATCAAAAAAGATTGGTTTTTGGATGAACGGAATTTTAAAGTGGGTTCCTTCCCCAGCAACATAATCATCACGAATACCACCATTTACATAGTCCATAAGAATAGCTCTCTCTCCTCCATCCACTGTGTACAAACAAGATAATCCCAATCCTAAAACTGCTGTTGAAGCAAAGGTAGCATATGTCATGCCTTTCAAAAGTTTGTCCAAAGCTTGCATTTTCCGAGAATATTTTTTTAGAAAATTTTGATTGAATTTTCAATCAATAAATTATTTAATAAACCAATTGTTTATTGCAAATGAAATGGCAAGGTAATTGATTTTCCTTTGTAATTTTCTAAATTTTCTCCAGCAAAAGACACAAGAGGAGAAATTTCACACAATTCCTTCTTGCAATCTCCAATAATGTTTGCTCCTGCTCTTTCAAGGTACTTGGTGTGGAGCACGGATACATCCTTTCTACAGGTCTCTGGTGAATCACTATTGTTTTGATTAGGAGCGTTTTTGAGAGGGGAAAATTCAGATTCTCTTTCTACTTGGAAAATTGTAATAGAGTTGGCAAATTCAACAATGTCAAAATTGAACAATTCAAGCTTTACACCTGCTTGTTTCTTCTTTTCTCCTGAATTGATATCAATAGATTCGATATCCTTCTTTGCAATGTGATAGAGTTTGTGTGTATTTAAAATTTGAGCACATTTTTCTAAAAAGTCCAAAGTATAGAAAAAGTTAACAATATTTCCAGCATTGAATGAAAGTTGTCCAGTTGTTTGATCAACACTTTCAGCCATTTCCTTTGTAATTTCACTGTATTCCACAACATGGTATTTTCCATTTCTCAAAGCAAAAACGCCAACTTTTTCATGAGGCTCTCTTTTTGGAACAACCTTAGTTCCAAAATCTACACAATTCTTTACGCAATGTCCAACAAATTTTGGATCTCCAACCTTAACAAGTATGTTATCGACACAATATGAATGAATATATTTGATTCCTCTCTCCTTCATATGATCTAACATTCCATATTTTGCCAAAGCCTGGTACACTCCTCCATTACCATTTGGTGCAGTAGCTATCAAATTTTTTTCTTGCAACATTAATTTTCCGTCCATAGAAAAGCATGGAAGAGTACCTTGTTGGAAGAATAAAATTTGGTCTTGACA